CCTGTTTCGAGACCACCGGTGGAACCAGAGTCTTGAGAAAAGAGACAGGAGCAAAAGGAGTTAGCTACATCCCGATTCAACGATACAACGGATATTGATCATAGCATTGTGATGTATCGTTTTTTGAAAAACTTAAAATCAAGGGCCATTTTGAAAGGTAGGTACAGTACATGTAGTTTTTAAAAATATTTTCACAAGAAGGCAGGCCCGTGATTTTGTTTTTAAAACGAATAAAGTGGCCGCCTTTCCACATTTCCCTCCACCTAAAATTCATCATAAATTCATTTTAATTGTTAAATAGTGTTGGCTTACCCAGGTGTTCTCATTTTGACAGCTAAGTACCACTATTTTCTTTTATAACCAAATTGCAACAATCCAGAGTAGTCTAGTTAGTCATTCAGTTAGCCGCCAACAGTCGTCACAAATAGAAAGGTAGTTAGTCTGTCTGTCTGTATTTGCCATTCTTTTTCAAATTCGGTTGAACTGAGTTGTAAGGCGATTTTAAATGCCAATCACTATCTGAAAACCTAAACATTGTATTCATCTAATGTAAGGTAAACCAAGACTGCATTGAACTAAGAAAGAACCTATAAGAAGACATCTAGTGTCTTGATTAATTGTTAATCTTTGCAATGAATGCTATTCTTACCTACTTCTAAATAAATGTTTATCTCCGTGGAATTCTATCGTGTGAGATTATACGATGGGAGACAATTGGAGAAGACGAACAGTATCCGTGAAACATCTGCAAAAAAAGCCATCTCTTTCTGTTGGATGTCAGAATGGAGCTTGTAAATAATGGACAGTCACCCCACGCATTTGTTTTTATCTTAAACTTTACCTTACAAAAACTGTCGGGCGGTTATTTGTCACCACCTTTTGAAGATTCATAGACCTTTTGAAAAAGCAGTTAAGTAATCGATGCGCTAAATTTACAATTTCGGAATGTCTATAGAACGTTAGATTTTACATTTAACTTTTGGGGTAGTCCCCCCTTCCGTTCTGTTGTCTAATGCTTTGTAAAAACATTAGGCGACCTCTGGCAAAATGAGAAGTTTGGAGCAATTTAGTTGGCAAGAAACTGTTAGCAGGTTGCTGCAAGAGATCTACAGTTTGCAGCAAGTTTGCAAGAAGTCGTCCTATCCTTCCAAATCAAAACAGTACCTCATTTGAGAGGTAAATTTCCTCTTGCAATTTCGCGGCAGCAATTTATTTTTGCTAGGAGTAAATAACGTGTAAAAACATAATATCTAATATCTTCGTAACCAATTTTTTTTGTTAATACAAACCCCCATCAATAACCCATTAACCTTGACAAACTTTCTAACAAAAATCGTCAATATTTTAATGCAAGCAGGACGATTTATGTCCATTTTCTATAGATGAGGTTAATTTGAGTGACAGCCGAAGAGATAACTACAGGATATTATTTCGGAAGAGAATGCAAGAAGATTAAGAGAGATAAGATAAAAACAAGGAAGTGAATATTTCACAAGAGTAATCAATTCAACAGCAAACATGATTCGAATTGTTTCTCGATGTCAGCCACCCCAGTAAAAGCAGGTCGTGGTGAATTATGACTTATTTATATACCCGATATACCTGTTAGGGTATCCCTCAGCGGCTGAGTTATCCCCCCAAAAAAAAAAAAATGCCATTTCTCTGTGCCCTACGTATTGTATTAAAATTGCCCATCGCCAGAGACTACATTGGAAAAGAACTAAATACATAGAACAGAGGCAAACTGTACAAGTCAAAATTGTATGCAATCACTCTGCTTTGATGTTACACAGTATGTCGAACACCAAGCTACCTTTTTTAGTACAAAGGTTTGTTAGCTGCTTTTGGAGACAGGATGGAAACTCTAAACGGCAGGAATTTAGAGAAGTTGATTTCGTGCACAGATTGAACACATGCCTTCTCTCAAGGTATTACCTTTATATATCAATTAGGACATTTTGAGGACGTCAGGTACATAATCTCCGTGCCATTAATCAAATATTTTGAAATGGATCGGGTTGCCGAAAGATACAGTGGTTAGTTAAAGCTAGAGTCAGTTGATGAGATTGTGGAAGTCTTTATGTTTTTCTTATAGATAAAAAGTGGCAAGTCTACCAGTGCCCCAACCGTCTCGTGCACGAATGGTAATTTGGGCTGAATTTTTTTAAGCTGTTTGGTTGTTGAATCTTGATGGTCTTTCTGAACCTTTGTACAAACCAGACATTTACATTGCTTTGTAGATTAAAACGTGCTGCTGATGAATAAGATTGGAATATCAAAATTGATTTACATTAACATGAACTGCTGACATATTTACATGTATAAATTGCCATTTGCCTGGCATGAGCTATAAACATGTGTATGTGCATATGCAGTATTTATTTTCCGGGTACCCTTCTCCACCATTATGTAATCAACGTATCAACTTTCATAGTCACCGTGGCAATATTGAAATTTAAGTGAAAACGTTATTAATTTAAAATTATGTGTAAATCCTACTCTCTATTCAAGGGAACACGACACGCCCTGAGACACACAGAACATTACCACATGTACGCACCTCAGCTAATAAAACGTGATAATAGGGAGTATGGATACTTTTCTCGATACTCAGGATTCGCAAATGTTTGATGTTAACTGTTATCAATAAGACTGGAATACTAAAAGCAATTCAACTCGCCACAAGCGGGTACATGACAATCACTTCCAGAACCAGAACCACTTTAAAGATAAAAGAACGTAGAATTTATTCACTCTGATGTTTTCAGAAACCACAATGCACTGTACAGCAAACTATTTAGGTCCACATCTAATACTTTACTATTATATGCAATGGCAAAGTCTGTTTTACAGCACCATTGTCATACCATGAGTAAAGGAAAGATACATCCAGGTACATTGTGTAATCTGCCACACACCGCCATTTAATGTTTCTGCTGCAGGTGTGTTAGGCAGATTACCAGAGCAATACAATGGCCCCTTCTTGCATTTTATTCACTTTTATATGATATTAAGGCGGAAGTAAGTTAACAGTATTTCAGTTTGTCAGTCTATTTATTGGATATTTTAAATGAATTAGCGAGATGAAGTTGATAATGGGGGTAACTATGTGTAGATATTAGAGGTTTGAGTATCCGTTCATGAACATCTTACATTAGATCGATTTAAATTTTGCTGATGAAAGCTCTAGAAGACAGCTCTCCAGGTCAGAAGATGAAAGCTTTATTTAGAAGAAAGTCTATATGCAAGTAATACTCCCAGTGATGGAATGGACTCTATAGGATAGTTTGCACGTCCAATTTTCATTATTTGAAGTACATGTAGTCCATGATCTTTGCAAATTTCATATTTCAGTTAAACTGTGAATAAATGCAGCTGTACCGGTAAGTTTTCCTTAGATTTTGATAATTTAATTCTAAAATATAAAAAACACGATTCCTAGCCCAAATATGCCATTGTATAGAAATGTACGCGCAATAATATCACAGGTGTTATGGCTGTATACATTGTATGAACTTGAACAAAAATCTCACCAACAACAACCGAGTAATGTGCGTTATATACAGTAATACTTATATATCGTATCAACCGAGCAAAAGTGAACACGACTTAATTAGGGGACAACGTTTTGTCACAGTAAATGCTCTCTGACATATTTAACCAAGCACGACGTTAAATAGATCACATAACCACGAGGGTGACAATTAAGGTATTAATCAGTAATACGAGGCTTTATCTATCATATACCATATCGCACGATGTTTTATCACCAGTAACTATGAATTTGGCTTTACTTTCTTTATTTACACATATTGATTTCAATTCATATTTTAATACTTTATATACTTCTTAAATAAGGTGACGTCAATGAAGTCGCTCCTAGTAAATATTTTAACATGTACATATAGTTGCTATGACAAGTTGGCTTTGTTAACTCTCTTCCTTTATCTGGAGACCGTGATACCTTTTAACAGCGTGATAAATGGCATGCTTGAATACCATAAGTTTCAAGGATGAAACACACCAAAGTCAATGAAAGAAGCTACAGCAACATTGATACCTTGTGGATAAAAAGATACAATGGTACAGATGTATGTCTTTTTTACAGCTGAACAACATTCCAACTGTCATAAAAACAGGAACTTGATATTGTATCTGCAAAGAAAGAGCCCCGTCAGTTAAGGAATAAGTGGCACTGATAATTATTTTACTGGAATTGATTGCCTGTCGTTTAAGTAAGGCCATGAATCATTGCCTTATTTTGAACTGTTCACACTTGTGATGAATTTAAACACATTTGGATTCGTCCTTCAATGAAAAAGAAAAAACAGTGTGTAAGCACGCTTTACAACCAACATTTTCAACCATACAGCGTAATGTGTTCATAAAGAAGAAACTTATTGAAACTATCAACAATTTATACATGACAGGTAAGTTTGAAGCCCACCAACTGCAAGTCAGTAGGTGGAAATCTTACCAATTATAATTCACCGCTATGCTATTGCCATGGGAACAGTAACCTGTGCCTAAACGGTGATATCGCATCCAGAGAGAGATCGAAGTTAATTACGAGCTACGACAGTTTGCTATAAGCTAGTCATTTAAGGTATTTTAAATAGAATCGATCGCAGTAGACAGCAATTAGCCAATTTGCTATTGTCAGAATTTCATTTCATATTTGTTGTTTGCTTATTGTTCGGAATCCATCGGACTGTATCTTCGCCGCTTGCTATAAGCAATGTCAATAAGGTTTGAACTGGGTTAATTGAGAATTTTATGACTGATAATACCATCTACAGTGCGTGCAAAAAGCTCAGGATAGATTTTACGTAGGATATAAATCGTAATGACGCATATTCTAGCGTCGGGGAGCAGTGATTGAAAAATCTCTTTATCTACAAACTGACCCTCGGAACGTACAGAAACGGTAATGAGCAACTACCATCTAACGAACGGTGGAAGGTGAAAAGACTGAAATTCCTTTAGGCCTTTGGTAGATCAAAGATGTTTTCTTGGTTTTCAGGAAGAAAGACCTCTGCAAAAATCGCTGGTGTGAAGGAAGTCAAAATAAATATGTTGGCTGAAGAAAGGGGTTTGACATTAGAAATGACCAAGCCACCGACAGGGCCACCCGTTCATGATGACAACTTCAGCGGAGCCGTATGTCATATGCGAGACAGTCCTTTTAGAATATTAAAGGTAGGAATGCGAACTGCAGCACTGCATATCATCGCAAGTTCACTTTTTGTAACTGAATATGAAGAATATAAACATTTTCCCATGTTTAATTGATGTTTTTTTTAAATTGATTTTTCATTAGTTTATTTTCATTTTTTTAAATTGTTTATGATGTATTGTTTTTTAGAGTTTAATTTTATTCCCACTGTTCATTAGTTAATTTATTTGTTATAGAGATTTATTAGCCATAATTTCATTCACTTATTGAGAAACTCAAGCGACAAACACTGATACAATAGAAAGAGAATACACGAAGAGTACATTACAGTCATACGCAGATGTCTGCACTTGCCAAAATCTTGATGGTATTTCTTTGCAACTGCTCATTGACGAGCCCTGGTTTTCTTTAAAACATCATTGTGAAATTGGTATATTATCATAAAATGAATTTTAACAGGCAACGGTATAGATAATAAAAAGATAAATGAGAGAAATAATTTTTAAAAACATTACGTGCGTCAAAGCGCAAAAGCTTGTCGAAAGTCCTTTACTCTAACAGATAATACCAAACAGAGGAGTTGATATGAAAACAAATTGCGGATATTTATTTATTTATTACGGACGCAATATTAACACAATAGATATAAACAAGAGACCCAGAAGGGAGTGGACAAAGAATGGTATCCCATCTAATTTTCCCACTAAATCGAATTAACCTCGACAATAGAAATTTCTTTCTATTCATGCATCATTGCACGGCCCATGCACTTCGATTCGATGCTTTATACCATTCCTAATCAAATAATTAAACCCTCAATGAATGGCCAGTCGCTTAAAATGTCATGTTTTGTAGTACACTATAGAGGGAAATATCGACATCAGATGGTTTTATTTGGTTTTTTCAGGCCTGGCTTAGGAAAGATAAGTGCCTATGCAGTATATGTTGACATAGATAGTATGACATTTAGGGCATTCAAATACGGATAGTATACCATTACATTTGCATAGGAAGACATCTCTTATAACTCCTCGCTCCTGGCGACTATCATAAAGATAAAAAAGCATTCGTTCCCGCAGATCGACTCGCTGTCAAAACCAGGAAATTGAATTCAAGATGCTCAGTCTGAGAATATTGAATTTTTCGTAATGCTGAATCAACACATGCCTGTGCCTGTAAATCAACATATGGCTGTAGTAAACTATCCGTTCCCTTTTATCATCCATAAATCAGATTCTATATGATAACTTTTAATTTCTCATGGGGGAGGGGGCATTGAGTGTGGACTGGCATACACCTTTTAGGTGATCACCTCAGCAATTTCCAGGGATATCGTAAAGAGTTGGGGAAATAAATAGCTTATAGGTAAACAATTTGCTTTTCGTGCCATTGCAAGCTTTAAAAATACTTTTTACTAACGTAGATATGCAAACCGTATATACACATTTGAAGCTTGTGGTATTATCTATTCGGATACGTTTTATCATAACATACAGTGTATGTTGCAACTAAATTTTTACTGAGGTACATCAATATATTTTTAATTTCTTGACGTAACTTCACTAACATTTTTCATTTTGGAATTTCATGATAGCAATCTTACGCTTGCAGCAGACAATGAATACTGTTCCAAAAAAAAAAAAAAAAAAAGAAAGAAAGAAAGAAAGAAAAGAAAGAAAGAAAAGAAAAACTTTAATTCGTCGCACAGCTTTTTTATGGTTATGTCATCAACCTGTGAGAATCGAGATTGTTGCCTGTTAATTAGGAGGATAACCGATATCACCATATTTAATTGTGTGGTCAGTAATTGGATGAAACTGTCAAATGCAGATTAAACTGTCAGTGGCATCAAGACGGAAGTGTCACGCAATACGCCATCGCCATGCGTACCACACCATTGACTCCACAATCTGTAAAATATCGACCTAATCTTCAAACATGAATTAAGGTACATTGTAATGCATTGTAATACAGCCCTACTAGCCCTACTTTTTTTTTTAATGTGATACAAAATAATAAGATGCCTACAGTTAATGAAGATATGGTTGAGTTTTCACTGCCCCAAAGATATTAACACACCCACATTCAGCCAATTTTAATAGTATACTACAGTTATTCTTGGGAGTATTATTGAAATCATAGTTTGCGAAGGGAAACACTGGCTACCTAATTAAAATGACGAAACTGATTAACCTATTTCATTATGAAGGCGTAGATCAGTTGACTGAGCTTAATTAACTTGTCTACAGGCCCATTATCATGTGCGTGGAGAACATACATATTAAACAATACTGTAGGTTTAACATGCACCACAGAATACTCTCAATGACGCAGAAAAAACCGTCCACAACAAATAATTATTTTCTGATCCTTGCATTTTTACTAATAGTAACAGATTTACCATGGAGGCATTTAATTGGTATTTTCAGGTGACATAGCCTAATTGAATGGTATTATCCTTTTTCTACATAAATGAATATACATGTAATCGGTTTAACATGCTGGATATGACCAATCGACATAGGGAAGTGACCCTGGCATGAAAGTGACAGCAGATTTGAGTGAATAAATAATTGCCACAAAGCCTTTTAAACTAGATATTCAATGATGGACGATGCATGTAGATATTTAATGGTGCACGCAGTTCTCGGTCCATTACAAAACAACTGTGTTTTGTGTTTCATAACAACTGTTTTTTTGTTAGCATATTATTTTTGCAACCTTTTGACTTCATAACGATTGAACGGTTTAAAATACGTAAATTAATCTTCCTGAGCGTATAAATCGTTACATTTATTTTAAAATTATATTGTTCAACCTGAGCTAGAAGTCATCTGCTATATGATTTCATCACGTCAAATTAAGTATTATAGGTGCAATTGTCGTTCTTAAGCTCTTTCATTACACATGCATGCATGTTATGAATTACATGCTGGACATAAAAAATCATCAACCTTCATATTAATATTCTAAAGGGCTTTTCCAATAGAGTATTTTCAACAATTACTTCAATGCACTTGAACAGAGTATAAACATTCACCTTATGAAATAAAGTAAACACACACCGTCGCTAGGTTTTTATAATGTACATATTAACATCAAGCAAACCTGGAAGCAGTATGAATTGCTCTCAACGCTTTATCAATTGGTCGTAGGGGCTATCGCCACGTGGCCTGCAATTAACCTCTTCCTTCATTTAAAGGGATGAAATCTTTCCAGCCAGATGGCATCACTTCATTAAGCACATGAGTGCACGGAGTGAATCGATCACAATCATGGTTTAATGCAAAACATTAAGTTTTCTGTCAATAAATCTCAAGTACTGGATTCACCGTTACTGTGTAGGTAGACGTTTGAATTGGCTTGTCTAAATAACAGTCAGAGAGAGATATCGCATTTATTTTCGGTCTGTTTTGCCTATATTTTCATATTTTATATAATAATGTGATAAGAAATGGGGCTACTCATTTGCGTAATGCATTGTTGGCAGTAGTGAGCTGACCTAAAGTGAATGTCATTAGAATTAACAAACCTAATAAATCATAGGTAACGTCCATGGCGTTAATTAATTAATAAAGGACACCCATAATTACCAATCGTCTTAACAATGTCTAGTTTAGCAGTCTAAACTTTTTCTCGATAACTGTTTCTCGATATTCATTAGTACAAATGTGAACGGAGGTAAACGCCTTATGTCCCTATACATTCCCAATTCAGGTGAGTCAGCAAGTGATATTGACATCTCGGCATAAGGATTACATTTCCGTTGGATAAATACATTTTTTGTGTAATGTTAACAGATTAAATGACGTAGCACGTTCAATTCGACCCCGACAAATAGGTTTGTTACCAATGATTCAAAAGCAAAACCACCATGGGAACTCAACAGAATTGTGTGGTTTATTCAATGAAAAAAAATATCCAAGAAATGAAAGGTAAATATTGCTGCTTAAACCTCGTGTTATTAGTGTCCAGGAAACCAGGCCCCTTTTAACGCTGTGCAAAGGAATCAAGACTATCTGTGTTGATAGAGTTACTCGGGAATTCGGTCTGATAAAATGATCGAAGATACGCTAATTACTTTAAAGTGTGTCGTACGTGTTAATGGAAAATGCTAAGTCATAGTAGTTTAGTCATCGAGTTTATTGTTTAATCAGTTTTCCCCCTTCGGCAGCTACCGCAATGTCTAACGAAGCTGTCAGGGCATCTCCGTCCCATATTGACAAAAGTGTAACTTTAACGAAAAAGACAAGTTGTTGTAATCAATAATAATCCAATGTTGTAACTCATATACCTTAAAGCTTTTTCTAAAAACAGCACCCCTCCTTCCAGCTGCGAGGCTACGATAAGCCACCAAAACAGCGCTTGTTCCACAGAATGTTTCCAGAGGTAGATTCCCGTAAACATAATCTAATGAAAGAAACAAATTACACCTTGCGCCGGGAGAATGCGTTTTCTGTGTTAAACTGTATATACAAGTTTCATAATTGAGTTCCAGATTTATCTTCATTAATGGTCAAGGATGTTATGATAAATGAACTGGGCAGTGTTTATTTTCGTTTCTATCTACCGTCAAAATATCTGCTGGAGATTCCAAGCATTTAATAAACATTTGTGCTCTGTGAAAATTACCAGTATGAAACCCTGACACATGAAGACAGCTGTGTATAAAGACAGTGTTCGTGTTTTCATACTTCATAGATATGCGTAGAGTGTGATCATAATAACTCAACACTGGATACGTCAACTATAATATACAAAATGTATATACCATCACAAACGCAATATCTTATGCTATATGGTAACCGTCATAACCTAATGAATAATTATCTTGGCCTTTGAACCCTAGCTTGGACAGAGCATTCGATACTATTGAGAATAACCTTGACGTACACATATTATTTAGAAAAAGTCTCAAAATGATGGATATATTAGAACGTGTTCAACATCCTTTACATGAATGTCATCAATACCTCCAAAATACATTCTGTTTTCTACATTATTAGGTTAACAAAATAATTCATCGTTAATTAGCGGGACAATATTCTTGTTTTTGGATACGTTATTGAAAAAAAAACGCATCCCATGGTGCTGTTCCTTCAGTCAGAATAAATTTCTAGAGCGATATATTAAAATGCACTAATTGCCCTAAAACACGTGGAAGAGGACAGCCTCTTCTCTGATTGATGCATTTGACTCTTAATTGATACACGTCAAAGCAAGATGTCGATTCCGATGGGATAAGTTTAAAAAAGTGCCGAGTCATTATTGGTATAAAACATTGGCAATCAAACCGGGATAATTATCAAAAATGTACAAATATCTGCCGGAAAGAACGAGTGTTTTTCTTGTTTTAACTCGCTTGTACATGTAATGCGACCTACCCAATTAATCTAATGCACGTGTACGTCATCGAGTATGCTTTGTATCGACGTTTTTCCATTATTCTTGTTAATCAATTTTTACTTTCAATAAATAGGAGCTGCTGTTCAGAAACCGCATATGTTTCAAACGACGTGGGCAAAATTCCACCTCTTGCAGATAGTTAGTACAAATCTATACAATATTCAAGGTTTATGTGGTAGCAGTCTCTTAACTGTTTGAAGTTACATTAAACATTTTGGGTATTGGATGAAGTAGCTGACTTCTGTATTATTTGACTATCATAAAATCCAATAACTCAGCGATGCCAAAGAAGTGTATAGCGGTATTGCCGTTTAGGTGCCGTAACTCTGGCCTACCATGGGACCCTGCAGAGATGTTTAAGGTAGGCCTAGTAAATACATCTCAGTTTTACATGTTTTGAAATATTTGACTTTCAAAGAACCGAGATGAGATAATAATAATGATGGGATAAATATTATTTGTTTTTTTAAATAAATCCCATTGCTCTGTCAATCTCCGTTCTCTTTTAACAAACGTGTCTGTTATCTGATTATTTGTAAGCTACCTTGTTACAGAGGCTAGTGAAGGCGAATGTTTTGGATATTGAGTTAAAGTTGGAAGATAATCGAAATATTTCATGGTTTTTCAATATTGTAACAGATATCGATATGCTATAAAAAGAAAATAGAAGGATACCATACTGCTTCCTTGAGACAGTGGTCATTCATGTACTGTATGTTCAACTGTGCTTTTTGTGATTAGAGTAGCATATGGACACAAGTGCACATCTTATTTTCTTTCCTTCCTCTATCTCTCCAATATTTCTCAACCGATAAATTTATCCATCTCTCTCTCTCTCTCTCTCTCTCTCTCCGGTATTCTAACCTTAGCAGTTCAAATATCGTTTTTTTTTCAAAAAGGATATGACTATGACGAAAACTTTCTGGAACATCCGTTGACAAACACATTAGTCTATATGTCTCTTGTTCACAGCGTCGTACTCACTCTGTTAAAACCTACGATTAATACACAAGTGGATGTTCACTAATCGAGCCAGAAATATACAACGTGCTGAAGGTAATGGTGTTTTAATGGCTGTTTCTAATTAAGCACTTCTCATGTTGTGATGCCATTAAAATATCAGATTACAAACTACTTAATCTATCTATTACTTTGTGAACATTTTTATTTTCCTTTTGCGCAATAATTTCATGCTTGATATTTTAAGTGTCACGTCTGCATGTGCATATTTAAAAAACAAAGCTAGAAAAGTATATAAAAAGATGGGGAAAATATCTAATAAAATTGACACATATCTTTTAATTTGTATGTTATTGAATAATATTATCATTGTTTTTTTTTATATGGAGTTATGGGCAAACGGTTTGTTTTATAACCTGCTGATGAAATTGCTGAATAGTTTAGGAAAAAATAGACGCGTATTTTGCTTCCAGGACGCATGCTCGGTATTGCCTTGGCCTGTATGATAATTTTGACAGGCTTTCCCGGTGATGCTATATACCTAGACCTTGAGAAAAATCAACAATAAAGTGGACCGCCTTTACACCTATTGAACAATAAAATCTCAATTTATGAGTACACGTAGGATATCTCAGCTTTATATTGAATACATGTTTATCCCGTGTTATTAATTTGAATATCCAAATGTTGATAGGCCGGTGCCTAATAGTGAGAACAGGTCTCACCTTTTGCTTTCAGTATGCTATTTTATCTTTATCTGTCATTGGTGGTTTAAATAATCAATTAAATTTTTAATGTTTATCTGTCATTTATCTGACAGTGAAAACCTTATAGCTACACTGTTATATCCAGTGCTTATTTCCACCATGACTTATATCCCTTTCAGTACATACTTTTCATTTTTAAGTTATTGTACTTAATTATCTATGTGCAGTTAACACACGTTTTATTTACATTGAAATTGACGGGATTCATGAATATACGTTTTGAATACTATCTTAACAGTATCTAGTCATTTCAAGTATAAAAATGTCTCAGACATTTTGACTAATTGCTCAAAGATATAACACATTTCACCTAAAGGTATTGCTTTCAGTGGCGTTACATATACGGACATAGTGGTCACTTAAATGTATTTTGATAAACTACGATTAGGCCATCTGACCACGGCGGTGCCCTATTTCATCGCTGAAATAATACAGGGCAACTGTAACCTCGCTCCAAATTCAAATCCATATTCTCAGAACAACTAGAGCGTGATCCTCAGGGAGTTGCCTTAAGGAAATTAGAGTACATTATAGAATGCTTGGAATGGTACACTGACAGGAAATGTGTGTATGTACATATAGAAAAACAATGACGATGGCATTTAATGGGTTTCATTGTCAGTTCGAATAAAACGAATGTGCATATATCCCTTAGTTACGACAGTAAGTTGGTTTTGTTAGGTGGTAACCAGCGTAAGCGCAAAACATCTGTGCATGCCTTTATGGCTATTTGACAGGGATGTACGGAATCTGGTTTGGGGCATATAACAATCAAAAATAAAGCTGTAGTTAATTTTCAACGGGGACGATAAGAAATAGGGCTAGTATAGAATAATTCCATCTGTTAAAAATGCGTTATTTGTGCATTTGAGAGAATTCCTTTGAAGGCCAAGTGTTTATACTGGAGAGAAGTATCAAGGTCATATTGACCTAAAGCCTCTCCAATTCATCTCAACACAGGTGCTCCAAATTCCAAAATGTTCGAAAACTCTGATAAAATTATAAATAGTCATTTTAAGACTGCATCGATTTAGAAACTACGTTGATGGAAGGAGAAGTAAATGATATCTTGTTAATACGATATCTGGGTTTTGGCCTTTGGTTCCGATTTTCTAAAAACACGAAACGAAACAGTTAAAGGGAATGGGGCTTTCAACATAAGCATGAAATTGTTTTATTTATAAAATTACAAGCATATTGTAATTTTTGTTTATTTGAAGTTCATCAATGTATAATTCATACCATACAGAGAAAAAAAACCATCTTGTTATAACTTTCAGTTTTCGTAAAACGAGGGGGAAATATACAGGCTGCAAAAGCTTTTTGCATGGTCTGGTACGCAACGCATGCGCAGATGTTTTTCTCTATACCCTGGTGGCTGGTGGCCTTAAGCTAAACATTGGCGCGGGACATGTCCATGTTACACGCAATCACTTAGTGGAGCGCTTATTGAAGCAGGTCTTTATCAGTCGAGATTGCTGCGTCTATTCTTTAATTGATTTCAATCAAAGTACTTAAAGTCGGTGCAAATAGGTTTGTGGTGTAAGGTAGACAGAAGATTGGCAGAAAGACATTTTATGTTTTAGCTCCATAAAAGAGCAGGTGAAGATAAACGCATCGGAAATTCGACGTGTTGCTGATGCTGCGATTTTGGACCAAAAAGTACAAAATCTACGAATGTGGACATCATACTGCAAGGGCAGACGAAAGGCTTTTCGATGCAGAAGAATATGCGTTGGTAAATTATCATAGTAAAAAAAGAGTCATAAAACAATTTGTGTCATCTGATGAAAGGCACTGTCAATGAAGAGGATAAATTCAATACAATGAATATTTTCCGCCAATGCCTGCGTGTCGCATTAGCGGCCAAGCGCAGTCAACTGAAACAATAGATGCCATCGTCGTCGGTTTATTAATTACGTGCACTGTGTACATAACAATCTGTGATACATGTATTTCGCTTTATTCTTATTACTTGACATTCAATTTGTTTTCAGATCCCTATCACTTGTTAACACAAATGGATGCGTGTAATGGACCAGCGACAATTAACTCTCAGATGTTAATGCAGGACACTTGGGCGTTGTGTCGTTTAGTTTAGATTTTGAGAGGGAAACATGGCAGAAAAATTACACTGGTGTCACTTCTCAGAAGAATTTTATCTTTTACAGGTCGCCAAATCTGGTAATATTGAAGCATTTGAACGTCTTTTCTATGAAGATGAGTCGCGATTGTTTCTCAAAGATGCCAAAGGTCAGACAGTTATGCACCACGCAGCCTCCAAGGACAGGATTGTTATTATGGACTTCATCTTGGACCATGGCGGAGGCAAGTCCTTTTTTAGCGTTCATGAAATGTCTTTGTTAAGGCGTAAAAGTGTCATCTCATAAATCCTAATTGTGAATTCTAAGTTTGTTAATTAAGTCATCATATCTCGATCTTTACGACAGTCTAATTACTTGTTGTCTGACATTAAACTTGGCGCTATTGTTAATCTAATAAATCCTTATTGTGAATTCTAAGTTTGTTAATTAAGTCATCATATCTCGATCTTTACGGCAGTCTAATTACTTGTTGTCTGACATTAACCTCGTCGCTATTGTTAATGAATGCAAAAAAAAAAAAAAGAAAAAATCGTGCTAGAAGTGTTCCTCATGTGTGTTGAAAAAACAACAAAAAACGTATTTCCCATCTCTTACCATCCAGATATTAATGCCAAGGATTGTAAGGGAAACACACCTCTCCACGTCGCTGTCGAGCTGACAGCGACGGCCAGTATTGACTACCTTATCTACCATGGCGCCGACACTACCATCCTGAACGCTGATCTCATGGCACCCATTCACTATGCCGTAGACCTGGGGAACGTGGCATCGTTAAAGGTAACGAAATCGAAATACCCACTGTATCTACACAATATGGAGTGATGCATTCCCTATGTTGTTTTGTTTGTCGTCATAATGATATAGTTGTCTCCATCTCGGTGGTAGACCACCTGTGAGAGCGGATGAAATTCATATGATCGTCCAAAGTAATAACAGCAAGTCATTCATTCAAATACCGACCAAATTGCCTTAAGTAATTAGTCTTTTACCCAGTAATTATAATTCCTTTAGCTACACTTGTAAGACGGGTATTCTAACAGAATTATTGGCAACGTAAACGGATGTGATATTGGAAATCAGACTTTTTTTTTATTTGCGTTCATTCTTATGTGAAAAACAAGTCAGATTGGTGCATGTATAAAGTATAAATCATACTGCATCCAATAAATATTACATACATCTCCACTGCAATGACTTACATAAGTACCACTTTATTCGAGTTAGATACCATAACTACCGGTATGTTAGTGTAGCTACATGTATAGAGCAATGCTTGTGAACCTCATAATTGCTGCCTCTGTTTTCTATTATAGGTTCATTTTAAGAAAAAAAATATGAGATGGGTATGCCATTATCTGATTGACAAATATAGCATGTCTCTAACTAAAATTTGTACGTCAAGAGATTTGATATTACTTAGACTTTTGTGAATTTGTTTTATTTTCTATGTTATTTTGTGATATGACCATTTACTTACATGTAGATATGAATGTATGCTTAAACGATCCCACAACGGACATTAAACACGTAATGACAGACGCACATTAAATACTTAACATTAATACTGCACAACTTTGTAGAAAGTGATTAGCAAGCTGAAATGGACAACAAATTATGTTTCCTTAGACGTTATGTTATTTAAGGATACCCGGTATTATACTGCGACAGTATCTATGCAAAGCACATTTATTAATTAGGGATACATTGCAGCATAAATGGAGGAGGAAATTGATTAAGCAATAACAATGCAGTCATTGTATTTCTCACCCGTAGCTAAACAACGAGCTTTATCGTGACAGCCTGGATACCATATGCCAACTGTGAAGTTTAATGGAAATGTATTTGAACATGTTTTGCAATTAGANCAGACAGTTATGCACCACGCAGCCTCCAAGGACAGGATTGTTATTATGGACTTCATCTTGGACCATGGCGGAGGCAAGTCCTTTTTTAGCGTTCATGAAATGTCTTTGTTAAGGCGTAAAAGTGTCATCTCATAAATCCTAATTGTGAATTCTAAGTTTGTTAATTAAGTCATCATATCTCGATCTTTACGACAGTCTAATTACTTGTTGTCTGACATTAAACTTGGCGCTATTGTTAATCTAATAAATCCTTATTGTGAATTCTAAGTTTGTTAATTAAGTCATCATATCTCGATCTTTACGGCAGTCTAATTACTTGTTGTCTGACATTAACCTCGTCGCTATTGTTAATGAATGCAAAAAAAAAAAAAGAAAAAATCGTGCTAGAAGTGTTCCTCATGTGTGTTGAAAAAACAACAAAAAACGTATTTCCCATCTCTTACCATCCAGATATTAATGCCAAGGATTGTAAGGGAAACACACCTCTCCACGTCGCTGTCGAGCTGACAGCGACGGCCAGTATTGACTACCTTATCTACCATGGCGCCGACACTACCATCCTGAACGCTGATCTCATGGCACCCATTCACTATGCCGTAGACCTGGGGAACGTGGCATCGTTAAAGGTAACGAAATCGAAATACCCACTGTATCTACACAATATGGAGTGATGCATTCCCTATGTTGTTTTGTTTGTCGTCATAATGATATAGTTGTCTCCACCTCGGTGGTAGACCACCTGTGAGAGCGGATGAAATTCATATGATCGTCCAAAGTAATAACAGCAAGTCATTCATTCAAACACCGACCAAATTGCCTTAAGTAATTAGTCTTTTACCCAGTAATTATAATTCCTTTAGCTACACTTGTAAGACGGGTATTCTAACAGAATTATTGGCAACGTAAACGGATGTGATATTGGAAATCAGACTTTTTTTTTATTTGCGTTCATTCTTATGTGAAAAACAAGTCAGATTGGTGCATGTATAAAGTATAAATCATACTGCATCCAATAAATATTACATACATCTCCACTGCAATGACTTACATAAGTACCACTTTATTCGAGTTAGATACCATAACTACCGGTATGTTAGTGTAGCTACATGTATAGAGCAATGCTTGTGAACCTCATAATTGCTGCCTCTGTTTTCTATTATAGGTTCATTTTAAGAAAAAAAATATGAGATGGGTATGCCATTATCTGATTGACAAATATAGCATGTCTCTAACTAAAATTTGTACGTCAAGAGATTTGATATTACTTAGACTTTTGTGAATTTGTTTTATTTTCTATGTTATTTTGTGATATGACCATTTACTTACATGTAGATATGAATGTATGCTTAAACGATCCCACAACGGACATTAAACACGTAATGACAGACGCACATTAAATACTTAACATTAATACTGCACAACTTTGTAGAAAGTGATTAGCAAGCTGAAATGGACAACAAATTATGTTTCCTTAGACGTTATGTTATTTAAGGATACCCGGTATTATACTGCGACAGTATCTATGCAAAGCACATTTATTAATTAGGGATACATTGCAGCATAAATGGAGGAGGAAATTGATTAAGCAATAACAATGCAGTCATTGTATTTCTCACCCGTAGCTAAACAACGAGCTTTATCGTGACAGCCTGGATACCATATGCCATCTGTGAAGTTTAATGGAAATGTATTTGAACATGTTTTGCAATTAGAAGTCCTGAACTACGCAATCACTTTTTTCTCTCTCTATTTGTGTTCCCTCGTTTAAGTTACAGATAAAATAGCCAACCCGCCCATTGCTTTTAACGTTGCAATTAGCCGCGTTCGCTTTCATTTGTATTTTAACAATTAACTTAAATACCAGAGAACGTGATTGTTACCTTTCTCAACAGCTTTTTATTTGTGCAACTCAAGAGGGAAAATGTATTTACGAAGTCTAAATAAAGAACTAACGTAAAAGAGATTTACCACTTACATTATTCAGTTGCTACAATTTGCGGCAACAGCAATCCATTTTGATAATTTGCTTATTTGATGTCATTAATGTTAAGGCTTTTTATTTAAACTGGCGATGTAAAAACTGATTATTATCACTTTTTGTGTAGACGCAGGTATTAGATGAGCTTAACAAATCATGCATGGCGGTCGAGCACACGTTTTCTTTCATTTGTAAAATTGCAAAATATACACTATCCGACAATTGTGGTCCAAAAAGGCGTTATATCACCACTTTTATTGTTAAATAAGTAGTATAAAGCTGATTTTACAAACAGACTATATCTAAAGGTTGTGTGTTCTGTACGAAATCTAATAACACCACCATTGCTGTTTTAATAGTAAATTTAAGATTTTAATATAAAAGCAAACTCATGTCTATCAAGGTTTGCTAAAAGTATAAAAATTCTGCTTTAAATTTTCGAAATCGTCTGCGTCTTTTAGGCTCTGATTAGCCATCCGGAAGTGGACATCGCTTTGGGTGGGGAAAACGACGGTACTGCCCTCCACTATGCTGCCGCCAAGGACGACGAGAAATGTGTGGAATTGCTGGTATGGATGGGATACATGGGTCTTACTTTAATGGTCCCCGGTTATGTACACGGACACACGAGTCCACATACTGTGCATATAAATGCCGTCCATCTAATTTTGTTTAGCGCCATTCCATCAGCGTTAATGTTCACCATTTGCCATTATTCGTGGAATTAAAAGCATAAAGCAATGATCTTAGGTATTTAAAGCATGAAGATTATTACTAGAACGTATCTTGAAGTGAACGCGAAAACGTTTGTCAAAAACAGTGCTCTTCAGTCCAAAGGAGAGTAAATATCTTTGTCATCCTAATATCTGTATAACAAACGATAGTCATGAACAATAAGCTGAATGGTAACCTCAGTGACATTTAAATTGCTTTCTTTTTATCTGTAGTTAGAGCACAAGGCCCCGCTGTGCAAACACGACAGCATCGGACTGTACCCTATCCATGTGGCAGTGAAAAATGCGTCAGCCAAGTCTGTGGACGTGCTTGTGGAACATGGTAAAACGCACATTCCAACATATTAGTGCATATTTCAATCTAGATGTTTGTTTAAATGTTTGGTACTACTACGCCACTCGCATGTGGTATAAATTATAATTTCTTTATGTTTATTATTATTATTATTATTATTATTATTATTATTATTTAGCTGAGAAGAACGGTTACACCCGGTCGCAGTTGATGTCTTTTATGGACAAAAAGAAGAACATGGCGCTCCACTCTGCCGTTAATGCGGCAAATCTTAAGGTAAGGTGTGCGTTTTTTAAAAATATTAAATGTCATTTCCCTCACACTTATGAAATTGATTTATTTTACGTATATTTGCACCTATCACTGCTGTTAAAATACATTTTACACTGATTTTCCTGCATTGGCCTCTTAACATATGCTGGGCCTATTTAACAGATGGGTTTTATCTTATTTCTAAACTAAGTTTTAATTTACTTGGTCTTATTTTAACAGCGCGCTTGCCATTACAAGGTAACAAGGTATCTCTGAAATTTAAAACAGGCTTTTATAAGCTTAGACGCGCGAACCGTTTTATTTGTGTATTTTGCATTTATTTTATCTTTTTTATTTATTTATTTCATTTTTCTTTTTTACCGTATACTTTAAGATCTCTGCTCCCTCGTCAATTAATTACGTGCCCAGTTCCGTAGACCCATTAACACCGCTTTTCTACCAATCAATATCTTTCAACCAGGTCGAGCTGACCGAATCCAAATTCATAGACAGGGGGCCCTGGATTCATCATTACTTATTGCATACATCAACATCATATCCTATCAGACCTGGAACAATACATGTGTACCGCATAGGAAACTGTTTAAGACTCCATTAAAGCATTGCAAATACTCGATGTATGTTTTCGATATCCATTACCGCTTCTATTCACTCTTACTCATAATGGAGCGCAGAGATTGAAACAAACAGTAGAATGTACATGTACCTTGATAATTGCACTGGTTTGCAGTAATTGACGAGCGTAACTTTGGAAAGGTTTCATCTTTTCTGTTTACGCGTTTGCAGACAGATTGCCGTGGTCCCAAAGTAATGCAATTGTATACGCAAAATAACAACAGGAATAGATTAAAAAGTCTTAGGTAGTAAAATTCGAATTAATTCTCTTTCTCTTGATCTACGAATGTTTTGTTTTTCAATTAAATTTATTTGTAACAGTACATTTATCACTTTATTTCAGTTATACTTCTGTTGCTTCTACAACTGTAATTGCATGCCGTCTCTATCAACAAAAAACTTTGATTTAGCCTCATTGTAGGTTTCTTTAATCCAAAACCAGAACATGTGAGTGGAATTTCTCTGTACAACGTCCGATAATATGTATGATTTTATTTTACACTGTTTATTTACTTCCAGGCCGTGCAGGTGTGTCTGGCTGCGGGTGCTGACATTGATGCCCAACAGGTGAACAACTTTTAAACATATGAAGCACAGTACTCAAGCACAGTTTGTGCATGTGCAGAAAGTGTTTTTATGTTAGGCTGTATGGTCATGTCGCCCCAACTGGACCTCTCTCCACAACCCCGAACCATGAAAAATGAAATGCTCCCCGAGGCAAAATGTTGCAAAATTAACTGAAAATCGTAGATAGCTTTATTGCAGGCAATGCGCATCAAAAGCTCTTTTTGATTGAGCGAAAAGTAGCCAATAGACGTTTTAATTTCGATTTTTTGCGTTTTGATTGTCAATTCTGATTTTTTTGCAAGTAAATTAATGGGAGTCAACAATGGGAGCACACTTGGGAGCGCGTGAAATAAGCCTATTTGAAGGAGTTTATGGCGCGACATGCCTAGAAAGAATCTTTATTCATTTTGAGTAATATGCTTGTTACCATAATGAGTGACTTAATACAATTATGTAGAACTACATTTTGGTGCACTAGATCTTAGTTATGCATTGAATATTTAAAGAATAATGCCCACTTTAGGAAGACAAATCCACTCCCATCCACCTCGCATGTGCCCAGGGTGCTATGGATATGGTGAAGCTGATGTTTGAGAAACAACCAGAAAAGAAGCACATATGTATCAAGGCCAAGGACGTCAACGGAATGACGCCACTCCACAAGGCGGCCATGTTTGATCATTTTGAACTTGCAAAATACCTAGTAGAAGAGGTGTGTGTGTTCATTTTGTTCATTATGGGCATTTCATGATCAGATTTAAATCGCCTTTTTAGTCCTTTTACATTGTCTGCTTATACCAAATATCCCATTCAATGAAAGTACAAGCTGAATGTTTGACCATAATCCGTACGTTTTACTGGCAACACGCCTCCAACAGCTGAACCTGTTGCAAAACAACAATTGATGATGATTTAACAAACAAATATCTTCCCACTGTACAGTATTTTTAAACCTTAAAAGTCCATACCAAAAATCCTGTCTACCCAAATAAGTCAAACAAACATTTTAAACGATTAGCTAATTATTCTTCGTGCAATAATAATGGCAAACTTAGCTTTGTAAGCCGATATCGTACCCGTTGATTGACTGACATCCGTACGGAATTATCTACTATAAGATAAAAAACACGACCAGTTCCCTAATTCTAAAGGTAAACGTAGAAATCAATGAACCGTTCCTTTCCTCATATTTACATTCACTTATGCAATAATGGCTTTTTGATATCACTCTTAAACTATACAGGGTGCCTGGGTGGATGAGTCAGACAAGGATGACAGGTCGCCATTGCTGCTGGCTGCCTCGAGGTACTCGTGGCGCACCGCCGTGCTACTTTTGGAGAAGAAAGCGAAAATAACCCTAAAAGATAAAGATAACAGAAATTTCCTCCATCTCGCAATAGCTAATGGCGCAAGACTGGAGGACTTCCCTTGCCAATCTGTCATGGTACGTGGTATGCCGACTTGCTCAAAGAAAACACGCCAATCCTTTTTTTTTAACATCTTGAGTCTTTGCATAATACGTGCTATATTATAAATATTCCGACGCATTTCATGCCAAATGCAAACAGAAAAAAAGATTTTGCTTAATTTCAGTCAAGTAAAAAATGCACAAATTCTGTTTTATACCAAATGCACGTTTATATCACGTTTTATTACTCTGGTAGTGTTCGACAGACCTGAAAATGCTATTGAACGATAAGGACGAGCTCGGCTGCACTCCTCTACACTATGCCTCCAAGGAGGGTCATCTGGCCTCTCTGGGCAGCCTGCTACAGCACGGGGCCTCCGTAATTGTGAAAAATAACCAGAAGGAATCGGCCCTGCATTTTGCCGCAAAGTAAGATCATTTAAAAATTGAGTAAACTATTTTTGCATCGATTTTCATTGGTACCATAGGCTTTCAAACACACAGTAGTCGGAAACAGAATGAGTAGAAATGCAGATTATAAATGTCACTCTCAATTCCTGTCAGCAGTAAGCCATTTCCCTTACCAAAGTATTCAAAAGGGGCGTTAATAATCATTTATGATAAAGATTATTATTGGTTTATAATAAGTGAAGAGTAATAAAGCTCCCAGCAATAACCATAAGAATTAAACATACTCTTAAAGCTATGTTTTGTAAGAATACCGAGCTGTAGGCACAAATGGCTAATTGTCTTTTTACTTGGATTAGTGACTTAGAACCATGACATTTGATTGGATTAGTGACTTAGAACCAGGTCACTTGACCACGCATTTGTGGTCAATCCGTGGTCACGCATTTGTGGTCAAGTGCCCTGGTTCCACAGAGTGACCACATGCATTCTGTCCCTTGCTTATCCTTCTCCACCGATCTTAGAGTCATTTTGAATACAAATCTCTTCAGGTACGGGCGATTCAATACTTGTCTTCAACTACTGAACAGTCCTGAGGGTCACAATATCATCAACGAAACAGACCAATATGGGAAGACAGCGCTCCATGTAGCTTGCTGCAGTGGCCACACCAAAGTTGTGCAGCTTCTTCTACAGAAGGGAGCGCTTGTATCGGGGTAAGTTTCAGGTGCATCGGAATTTGTTGCCAAGTTCGTGTCACATGTTAAGATGATAACCGTTGGACTTACAGCAGAGGTCGCGGTGTACGGTGATTGCTCGATCTTTTCAAGAAAATTGTGAATTTGACAGATTCTGTATTTTTAGGTCATAATTTCTTAACATTCGAATATTCCTATTGAGTGATAGCAACAAAATTGAAAACCAGGCTACTCTATAATTATAGGCCCTATTCTATGCAATTTAGGCACCACAAGTGCTATGTAGGAATATAATTTTGTGAATATAAAATCATACATCTGAAAATTTGATAATGTTTGCCCATGAAAAGATCGTGTCACTACCGTATTTTCTTTATGGTAAGTGGAAAATATTTATAATACAGAGCATCTATTAAGTTTATAAGTATGCCAATCCCATAACCGTGTATACGTAATAAAATGCTGTTTCCAATGCACAAAAGAATATGATGAAGTACATGTACATGAACCATTTTTTCCTATTTTATCAGATGTCATATGGGGTTTACACCTCTCCATCTTGCGGCCAAAAATGGGTATACCCAAACGATGAAGCTGTTACTTGGCATGCACTCACATCTTTTAAACTTGCCCAACTCAGAAGGGGTAAGTAATTTGAACGAATGGTAATTTCGTTTAAGCTGAGCCTGCAGGTATTTATACAAGGGCTGCCCACATTTTTTTTCTTTTTTTTTTACTTTAGTTAATATCGCGATTTTGATCATATTCCTTTTGTTGGGTTTTAGTACATCCATCAAATTCTGAGAAGTCTTCTTTATACCTTCAGCTTGATAAAGGGTAAGATACGTGCGGGGAAAATTTATTGAGAAACACGTTCATTTAATTATGAATATGTATTTGCATTTGTAGAATACCGTCCTACATATCGCCGCTTTGTACGGCCAGCCTGCTGCGGTAAGCCTATTGTTGACTGAAGAGGCGGACATCACTCACAGAAATAACGACGACATGACTTTCTTCGATGTGGCCATTGCTAATAAGCAAAAGGAAGTGGCGCACGCTATTGTAACACACAAAAGGTATTAGGGTAGAGTGAAACGACGCTTTTTTCAGAAGTTATTTTCCCTTTGTTTAAATTAGGTTATATTTTTCATTTTCAAATAGAGCATGCATTCGAACGATGATTATTCACGACAGAGGCCAAATCAAAAAAGAAAATCAAAATATTCTAGTTTTACCTAACTTCTAGTAAATAAATAAGCCATTTTTAACATATCTGCGAATACCACAAGTCTGCTATGAAAGAAAATGTCCCATAGGGCCTACTATTTCATTCATTGTTACAGATGGCATGATTGTATGCACCTTCGTTCAGAATACCATGGGTGCCCTGGCATGGGGATGATTATCAACTTACCAGATATATTTGAAGTCGTTTTAAACCAGTGCGTTACCCCAGTTGGCAAAGATATCAAATCTAAAGAGTTTCACGTACGTATGTATAGTCAGAATGCTTAGATACTATTGAACTTTATTGAAGGCACCCAAAGGGAATACCCTGCACTTGTGCCTGGAGTAGAAAGACAGGACATACACTACATTGTTAGTAAAACATTAAAAAGTACTTTATCATCACCACACCCAGGATAGAGGCGGGTGAGGACAGACCAATAGTCATGTGAAGCATTATGTAGAGTGTTTAAAAAAGTAAAATGTGTTTTTGTATTGAAAATATACTCAGTATTTATTATGTTACGACAAACAAATGCAATGTATAGAGGATAGAAAACATGCTTTTATATTTACAGAAACACTACGACTTTAGCTATCTGCAGCTACCGATGGACTATGTAAAGAAACTGAGAGAAAATGGAACCAGCTACACACCACTTATGTCTCTAAATGTGAGTTCTCGTTTGTATAATTACCGTTGAAAATTACTTTCGCATTAATATTATCGTGAAATAACTTTTCTTGATTCGACAAAGATCAATCGTTTGAGGTGCAATGCTTGTTTCTATTTATAGTTAGTAATATGTAGTCTTCTGGCAATTCAAACATTGACGCATACTAAACGTTTATTTTTGTGTACATCGATCTACTTAATTTCTAATTTTGTTCACGAATTTACTGACATTATATCCACTGCTTCGGAAAGAAATATTTTCTTAAAGTCAAAACAAATATTCTGTAAAACCTGCCTAAATGGATAAAGACACTCTTAGATCATCGCTAATAGATTAGTATTTACTGTACAAACACTACCTAATGGTGATGAACCCATCATTATTGTTTTGCAGATGATGGTGAAGCACAATCGTGTTGGGCTCCTGTCACATCCACTGTGCTTGCAGTACTTGAGCATGAAATGGTAACTTTTTGGCCATGCCTTATATTGCGTTTTGAAATAGTATTGTATGCCTTTATCAGGTCTCATGTGGCATTTTACTTCGTTTTTGGACGGCTTGAATACGCCTCACATTGTGCTTTAAAAGTTCATTTTTGTATTCCTTACTAGTTTATTTAAGCTTTTAATGTTAGAACGTTAGTGTTCAGAGAATATGCCATGTAAACCTGGTCTACATTTTCGTATCAGAATAACTTAAATTTCACTAGTTATGAATATATTTTTCTGGACTGTTAATGAAAATAGGAAAGAAAACATGTAGCTGGGAAGTGACTTGTAATGACACTAACCAAATTGTTCTATACAGTACATGTAGTTAATGTTTAAATATTTATGTACAATAGAGAGCCGTAAATGAAAGTGAACATGCATCTAGAGCTAAATAACCTAACTCTAATTATAAATACAACATAATCAACTTTTTGAAACGTATTTTAGGCAGGCATATGGAGGTTGGATACACATGTTTGTGCTGTTCCTTTACATCCTCTTCCTTGCGGCTTTGACGTCACACGTCACGTACATTCGCCCAATGGATCATGACGACCCGTGGGCACATTTTGGAGTTAACAGAACCAACGAGACACGATACTGTAGCAGGTTTTGCCAGTCCCTTAAGTCAGGGGTACGTCATGAAAAAAATGTGTGGAAACGCATTGACTGAAAATACCTTCTGCGGATGCGCTTTTACTAAATACGTTTACTTATTATGTTACTTTTAATATGTCTGTTATATTGTCTTATGGTTGATAAAAAACGTGTGAAAATAAATTGTGCATAAATTGTCACCATTTTTATGAAACGGTATGCACGTCTTGGGGATCAAAACTTTATCTAGGATATGCAGATATCAACAACTATTTGTTACTCTTTATTTGCTGTTTTCCCTTTTTAGTATCAAGTAGCACCATTCCATAGGATAGGTTTACTGTACATTCTTGTGTTCTGTGCTCTCAACATCATCAAGGAAATTTTTCAAGTAATTCAACAGGTAAATAAATGTGTATGTCCATTTAATAAGTCTAACCACGAAAATGGGTGAAAGAACTGCGCGTTATGAAGTAAAGCGAAAAAACAAGAAATTGATATATACCATCCCATTGTTATTGGCTGATCTATAAATGTTCCATTGATCGATTTTCCAGGATCAGAATAGAGTAAATTGTATTTAAGCATGTCAAGTTTATTCTGTCCAGTACCTGAAGAAAGTAACACTGTAGTAACGTATTGTACGTTGGGTCTAAAACACATTTAATGCGGCTTCACTTCTCTGACCTTTTATTCTTATTCTATTTTAGAGAGCAAAATACTTCATAGACTGGGTGAACTATATGGAGTGGATTCTCTATGTCACGGCAGGCATATTCGTCGGCCCGTACATCTTCGAAATTAACCTGCATTATCAGTGGGAATGCGGAGCCATCGCCATTTTCTTAGCTTGGTTCAACCTACTTTTACATCTCCAAAGGTAAATATTTTAACGGATTCTGAAAGAGATATTTCTGGCTGATTTTCTATACAGTAAATGTTTATTTCCTGGCAACATATTTATCCCTATTTGTCATGATTTTTCTCATTGTTTGGTACATAAAGGTGATGAATGTATGTGTAAAACCCTATTATGAAGCGCTCGAAGTAAATATGTGATTGGCGGTGCAGTCTGCACCTAAAAATCGAGGCTGCGTTAAACTAATTTTCAAAAAAAAGTGTACAGTATCAAGTAGCCAAAGCGAGATGGCAGATGTGGTTAAGGTGCATTCTTTCTCATTAAATAACTAAATGTAATCGCCCTTTCTTTTTCAGATTTGACGTGTTTGGCATCTACGTTGTCATGTTCTTAGAAATCACGAAGACGCTGATACAAGTGTTTGTATTGTTTATGATTCTGATCGTTGCCTTTGGACTGTGCTTCTACATATTGCTATCTGAAGAAGTAAGACTTCGACATTTTTGAGGATTGGTTCGAAAAATATAGAAATATGACATGTAAAATTTAAATTTCTGAATATTAGAGTTGGATGAATATTTTATTTTCGCAGTAATTTTTAAAAATTAACTTTCAGTATTTAACGAAATGGAAAGCATTTTACCATATAGAATGTACTCATAGCAGATTTTTGTTCTTTAATATTTTAATATTTATTTGTTTTTATATTATTCATTTCTTTTCTTTTTGTTGTTTGTTTGTTTGTTTGTTTTGCCATGGAAATACCAGTACATATTTAAGACTAATTTACTAATCATTTTAATTTATTAATTATTATTGATAATATTTTAGTTATTTGTTCATTTATAACTTTTTGTGTTGCTATTAAAATGACTGATTTGACATTCTTTATTTAGAACAACAGGTCTTTCGTGACACCAGAAATATCCCTTTTCCGCACCATAATAATGATGCTGGGAGAAATCGACTCCATCAATTCCTTTGTCGAGCCTCTGACAGACGACTCTCCTATCACCCAGCACTTTGGGGGTCTTACCGTGTTTTTTGTCATCGTGTTTGTGTTACTGATGCCCATCCTCCTCATGAATCTACTGGTAAGATGTTTAAAGTGGTAAATCGTTTAAAATTAATTAATGTGTATTATTTAAATTATTGTATTAAAAGAGAGAGTAATTTTTCGTAATCACACTAAGGTTCTCTTAGTGGAAAATACCCAAACCAGAGAGCATACTTGAGAAAAATCGTTCCGGCGGTTACAGTGGAAGAAGGGTTGAATGGTGCCACGAAGCAGAGGTCCCGGCTTCTTTCAAATGCTGTAAAATGCATGCAGACATTCTCTTGCTACATTATCATGCCATTTTCTATAATACTATGATAAATCTCTCTACAGATCGGTTTGGCCGTTGGGGACATCGACACCGTGCAGAGGAACGCGTCCTTGAAGCGACTGGCCATGCAGGTGGACCTGCACACGGAACTGGAGCTGAAACTGCCACAAAGAATACTAGAGTGGGTGGACAAAAAGGATTTGGATATTTACCCGAATTCAAGACGGAATATGTTCAAAAGGGTAAGGCGCTTTTCGCTTGTCCCATTTTAGAAAGCTACGAGTTCTGTAATTTGATTAGGCAGTGTGTTTGCAAATTTGGTGCAAAGGAAAATAGGGTTTAAGCTATTCAAGACGAAAAATATACGAAGGGTTCAGACGATTTTCGTTTGTCTCATTTCAGGAAGCAAAAGCTCTGTAATTTGGTTTAAGCAATAAGTTTGATAACTGGGGTGTTACTATTTAAATTAGTTAGGAGATGAAATGTATAAGAATTTTGAAAACGTTGTTTTCAGTTTTGGAGCCGGGTTTCCGATACAAGTTCTAACGCAGAGGGCTGCACGAGTGGCTCATCCACTGCTGTTTGCGGCAGGTCCATACATGAAGAACTTCAGAAACAAAAAGCCAGGTAAGTTTTTATAAACTCTGTAAAACGCTTATATTCTTTCTTAAAAACAATTCTATAAGGGTATAGAGCTGAATTTTCTGTAGCAAAATATGAAGCCAAGATTATGGCTTTTACAATAAGTCAACTAATTGAATCGACCTTAGCGACGTAATCGAGTACGATCAAAAACCGCTCATCTGCACTCTTTGTCTTCATATTTAGTCCTGTCATACCGCAATTTAGTTGGAACAAATATTCTATACATTTTTTCTTACCAGGTTGAAAGACATTTCAAGCAATCTTGATAAACAACATGAGCTCATTCGCCTGATCGTTCAGAAGATGGAAATTAAATCAGAGGCAGACTACAGGGACGAGGGTGTGCCCACTAATCGAGACCCCGCATATGCCCTGAGATCGAATTTTCAGTGGCTGTCCTCAAATATGCGCGAAAAGGTCGCCCAGGCAACAGTGGTTTCAAAGTGGGTGCGAAGTATGAGCAAAGAGGAAAATGTTTTGGACAGAAGTAAAGATGCTTCATCCGAGCCAACTAAAGAAGAGAAAGAAGAGAAAGAAAAGTAGTCAAAAAACGTATCAGAAAGACGACCATTGGTGATCTTACCTAGTGGGTAATTAATCCTATGAAGGCGAACTATTTAATAGTATATATATATCAAAATGTATCAAAATGTTAAGATACCGTCTTGCGTTAATGTAAACATCAGTCATTTTTAACGTCTTGCACTCGTGAACTGTAAGCTAGAGACATGAAATTGTACTTAAACCACTTGCAGGACCCACATGTCATTATGGGTGTTATTCAGGTGTTGCTTAATAAAAATGCCATTGAAATATGAAATTTTATCTATTTTTTGAGGAATAAACATGTGTCTATTTACTCAATATGTGAACAAAGGATAATAAATAAATATATTTGGTATATATTTATTTTCTTATTGATTTGTTTCTCTGAGCTAAATTACATTAGATTTATCACACATTTCCGTGTGTGGCGCCAGCCTAATTATAACTTAGTCCAGTTTAAAAGGCTTTCAAATAACATACGTTTTTCGTAAAGGTATATGGTCTCAAAGTGATTTTGGGGTAAGGGAGAGTAAAAAGGGCATCAATTTGGGGTAAAATCTGTTGATCCCCACCTTGCCGCTATTTGGTTGGGTTTCTCGTGAAATGGCACTTGAACAGGGCTTTCTTCAGGTCTACCCAACTACCAGACTCGGCACCTAAGGATCCTGAATTAACCGGTATATCGGACCACACTACCCGTTTTCAAGGTGTGTGTCAGATCGCATTTCGGAGTATCAGCCATAACACCGACAGGATGAGCCCTGGCATGCTCGGCTGTCACCTTGATTGGATAGTAAACGATTGTCGTAAAATCGCTATATGATTTTAAAACCGGGCGCATAAATTTGAAAGCCACCTAGATGAACCTTAGACTGCCACATTAATCTAATACAATGCAAAAAAGCCCTATCAAAAGTGGTTAAAACATTCAAACCGAATGTCGTAAAGTCCCCATATACCCCCATAGAGACGATAAAATAGAGTACTCTAAAGTAAGAGTACAGTTTAAGGTTGTTCAGCCGAGCGTGGATGAGCCCGCAGTCGTGCTACAAAATTTGTTCTGGGGTATGATACTCCGAAATGCCATCTGACACACACCTTGAAAACGGGTAGCGTGGTCCGATATACCGGTTAATTCAGGATCCTTAGGTGCCGAGTCTGGTAGTTGGGTAGGCCTGTTTCTTGATCAATGATGTTTAGCTCTTGTAAGCTGCAGAGTACACTTCCTTTCGACAACTACATGTGATATATCTATAGGTATATGTCGAAAGAAAAAAGCCAATCATCAAGTTATCGATCATTTCAGGCACTGCCGTGAAGGGCGATTTCAGAGCCAGTCCTAACCGCCGCAGCTCTGGATACAATTAAAAATCTCATCGTGTGTACTGTGAAATTTCAAATGATACCAAGTGACTAAAAACTTAAAGATCACCGTGACGTTATCAGTACACAATCTCCCGTACGGTGTCTTGTAGAATAGACCACATTATTATGCTCATCGTTTTGTTAATACTAATTAATAAAGAATAAATTGAACTGTTCTTTTTTTTAAACAACGTGTTGTGATTTTTCTTTATGAATTTCGCTCAGTTAGTTATGTGAAATTAACTGTTATTAAAAATGACTTAATAAAACAACGCGCCTAACATTTTCTTTCAGAATTTTCGAAACAAGAGAAATTTGATATAATACAAATAAAGACCAATTTTTAAAATTATTTTGATCAGTTTTAATATTTGTGTTTTATTCGTTTATAGACAGTTAAAATATTAATTCTGTAAAGTTTACTTTGAATGTAACATAGGCATACAAGACAATTCAATAAACACGTGAAATCTTAAACGTTTTCCTTTTAAAGTGACCATCTATGTTTCAAGAAGTATAGAAAAAGAGAAAAAAATAAAGAAAGAAAGGCAGAAAGAAGAAATGTCAATCACCTTACGGTTACGCTGTACCGTAAGAATGAGTGAAAATCCCGTCTTTTCAATCACAATCCAGCCCCTCCTTCGTTTATTCGACCTATGAAAGCTGATTTATATGCCCAGTCACGCAATATTAAGTTCAGTTAGGGAAAGCTAACTGAAAGTATCCTTCACGTCACTTAAATGCCCCATGGCCATTATGCCTAGAGTACAACACTTCGTGAAAATATCGTCAGTGCAAAACTAAGAAATGCTACAATACACAGGCCCGTAGCCAGCAATTTCTAAAGGGGGGGTTCTTTTTCTGAAACAGTGGACCTTTTCCCATAAAAACTTCATGTACCTAGATCAAATGTTACCCAGAGTGGACCTTTTCCCAGCAAAAGGGGCGGTTCTCTCGAATCCCCCCCCCCCAATCCCCCCTCCCCCCAACCCCGCCTGGCTACGGGCCTGATACATTTTCTATCATTTGTACGGAACTTACGAGAGACTGCTGCCGGCGTCAGTGTCATCTTTTCTGTCGACATGTGGCAATATCAGGAATATGGCATGGGACATCCTTCTTCTCCATATTTTGCTGACCATGGTCCTATCTGAGCAACTCTCACCTAAACGCTCACCTATTTACATAATGAAGAAGAGCTCACCTACTTTCCGTGCGGTCGCTTTGGTTTGAATCATCGTCTGTTTATGAGAAGGCACAATAAGTCTCTATCTCGAAATGATGATTACGGTTTGATAAAGTTATAACAGCACGCACACACACACACACATAAAATAAAATTAAAAACGCATTTTTAAAGTCAGCATGCCAAAGCTGCCTCCTAAGCCGACATTTGTGTCCTCGTTAATTTGCAGGCACGACATTTAGTACGGAATTTTATGTTTGCTTTTGGTTGTAACATTCTGCTCCAAAACGTATATCAAATTAAAAGTCGCAAAAAATTATGTTTTTATTTACTTGTATGAAACTTCTCATAGAAATTAAATCCATACTTAGTGTCCGCCCTGCATGTTGCCGGTTAACTTCTTTTTGTAATTGTGTTCTATCTGATCATGTTGTTCGAAGCGCAATTTATGTATACTTATGGGTCGAGGTTGTACCCGTCCCTTTTCAAAACCTGAAACATTTATTTGAAGTTCTTATTTAACAGAAGTAATGAATATGTGATTGTTTTTAAATTATCATAAATTAATTCCCAAGAGGAGACATGTTGTCTGTTTGTCACTAAAAATGTGTTTGTGGGCAAATCTGCAACTTTTGCACCTCTCTGTGAAGAACTTGAATATGCACTCTTATTCATTTTAACTGATACTGCCTTCTGGGAAAAAAAAAGACATTTCAACCCCATTACGTAAAATGCATACAGGGAACTTATTTACATTTGTCGTGTGTTCAGTCGAAGAAGAGAAAGAGATGTAAATATACAAAAGACACTGTTAAAAAAAACGTATGACAACTTAGAAATCCTAACAGCCGCAGTTTTGTTTCAATATTCGTAGTGTTCATAATGAAATATATCAGTAAAATACTAGTGCTAGTTCGTCGATAAGGTCAGGTTCAACCTATACCGTCGACAAAATCAAATTAATGCAAATCGCACACTTCCTGAAGATACTTACGACGAAACGTGTGACGTTCTTAGACTGACTTAGAAAGTTTTGTGGTTGGGGCGGAATTAACCCTTTAAAAGGTGTTACCTACATTTCAAGAAGTTTGCACATCATCAATATGGAGCCACTATGGTGTCATTTCCACAGAATACGCGCCTAAACATATTTTTAACATCTTCAACATACAAAAAAACTTGCATAAACAAAGCTTTGATTTATTTGAGGTATAAATTTACCTTGTCAATTATCACTTTAATGCGTAAAACAGAAATTAAGTGCCTTGCAGAAATCCACATTGTAGTTTAGAGAGACTATAAATGTAAATTAACACATTTAATGCTTAATCAATCTATATTTATATATAAAAGAGGAAAAACATGATCATGAAGTTTTCTAGTTTTCCATCTGCCTACTTCCTTATTCTTTGCATGTTGTAGATTCCTGATATACTACTTTCTTTTCCGGTATTGATTTTTGAAACGGATGTTTTTCCTTTCCCTTTTTGTTATCCTTCTTCACGTCTTCAGAGAACCAGCTTGTTCCTCTTCTTCTGTGTCGTCATTTCCCGGCAGCATGAACTGGTTTTAGCGAAGTCACAGGGTGAGAAGTCTAGGGAGTTCAAGCATGAAAATGGCCCTTGTACTCGAAAAACCATCACATAAGCGTGGGTTTTGATTTATTGCTTCAAAAATTTTACAGTTATGGTGAGTGTTAGAAAAGGAAGATTAAAGGTTGGTAAATCGTAGGAAACTGCCGTTTACCCCAGGATAATTAGTTGAATATGAATTTGAATTTTGTCAGAAAATCCTCTTGTGTGTACCTTTAAGGTAACGATATAATTCCAGAGCATTTCCTTTTTCTCTTTTTTTTCTTAATGCCAACTTTACGCTGTCCATTCATTTAAAACAATTAATTTAAACACATTTACTGTGTGTGATCTTCACCTGTTTTTATTTAAATTGAAAACTAAGAAAATTTTAATATTTTAAGCACCACAAAAATTAACCTGTGTCCCTCATTTGCACATAGTTTCCAGGCAATCTTCTCAATTTTTGTTCACCTTCATGTTTTTCATCTGACCCAGAGGTAAACTGAACCAGTCTACTTTCAGCCTCTGTATCTGATAAAGCAGTACTTTCAGAGGCAGATTCTTCGCTCTCTTCCTCCACAGTTCTAATACTAATTCTAGACTGCTGTACAACTGTCTCCAGCTGATCTTTCATGGTCTGCTTTCTTCTCAATAATGATAAAGTCCACTGTAAATCTTCTTCCCAAAGTTCCTGATCACTCGGGTTGATGTGAAAGGCTTTGGAAAAGCTACGCAAGGCCTGAAATTTTACCATTAGAAATAATTTCTTTATCAGTTACAGCATATTTTCAGTGATTTTAACTTATATAGGTTTCATTTTATCTTTACCAGGTAAAATTACAATTTCTTTATTTGTTAAACTTTAAACATGCCAAATTGGACCAAAAAAACAAAGAAAACAGCAGAAAATTTATAAGCACTTTATAATAAGAACATTTTACAAAAAAAAAATAATAATAATAAAAAAACAAGCTGTTTTAATTTACAACATGGATTTCATTTTCCAACTCACATCAAGTTCAAAATATTCCTTTTGTGCCTGTGTCTATATCAAAACCAATTCAATACAGCTTGTAAATGTCATCATTACTTACAAGTTTCACTTCTCCCAGTCCTAGATGTGTTCTGCCTAGGGTCTGGTATGCCTCCCACCAAGTTGGTGCCAGCTGAACAGCTTTGCTGGCACTCTGGACAGCAGGGAACACTTCACAAAGCTGTAGGTATGCCTAGAATATTAAGGAGTAAGTATGAGAAACTAAAATTTGGTAGCCATAATTAACGGAACTGTTCAGTGTATTGTAATGGATATAAAATATATGAAATGTCAGAATGTTCCTGCTTTTAATAACAATTTTCTAACTATCAGCAATCAACTTTAAAGAAAAAACAAACCAGGGTTAGCTACTGGTAAAGATGTTAAAACGACAGTAATGACCTATAACATGCACAAGTATAAAAAAAGTTTGCAGCTACAATGTAATTTGTACCTGAGCTTTCATTTCATAAAGTGTTGCATCCTTGGGGGTCAGTGCTAATGCTTCATCCCACTTTTTCAAAGCCTCCCAATACCTGAAATAGCATATCACATTGCCATTAGCAGTTTGCTATTATTACATGCAATAGTCAGCCTTTTAATTTAATTTCTAATTTTCCTCATAAGCAATCCATAACAATTATTCCATTACACACATGCGCGCGCGCGCGCACACACACACACACACACACACACACACGCAATAATATAAAGCACAAGAATTTGCCTTGGCACATTATGTATCTAGTAATAATATTAAGAACCAAATATGTATCCACCTTTCTGCCTCTGCTAACGTTCCGCCTTCTGTTTTTAATCGCCCAGCTTTAGCTAATGAATCTTCCAAAGCGACAGTGCAATTTCTTTTTGGTGCAAGTGATAGCCAGTCTACTTCTCCATTTTGTATAATAATTTCATCTTCATCAACTACATCTTTTGCATCTTTTTCAAACTCTTCCCTGCTTCGTTTAACAACTGACTGGTCAATCTTCTTCTTCCAGCCAAAAGAAACCATTTTTGGTGAAGAAACACCTCGACTCGAGGGTGCTTCAGCTTGCTCACAGCCTGTTAATCTTTTAGAGCAGCATCACTTAGAGACCAAATACCCACAGCCACTCCCTTAATCGCTGTGTCTACGATGGGCAGGTAATGCAACTCAAACATATTATGTAGTAACTTTGACTCTCAGAGTTACAACCCTTCTCTGTAGATAAATAATGCGCTGCTCAGAAAAACTACCCACCGATATGAACTATGTTGCCCAAGATAGACTGAACATCATTTACAGTATGAAAAGTTTTGGGGCTCAATAAATATTATATTCAATAACTTGTTGAATGTTATTTCAATATCTCTTTTTTTAAAGAAAAAACGAAAAATCTTTAAAAAAGTTTGTTAGCTGTTATTATTATTTTGTAACATTATTATATAGCAGGGGCGGATTTAGGCCGTCTTCTGGGTCTTCCGGAAGACGGTCAGATTTTTAAGTTTACATTGACGGGTATCTAATGTTTTCTGTCGGAAGACGGTCAAAAATGGAGGACGGATTAACAAAGATAACTAGAAGACTGTCAGAAAATAACTCTGGATCCGCCCCTGTATAGTATGATGTACATCGGGGCGGTGGGGGGGGGGGGGGGCTGCAGTGCTGATGGAGGGCAGCCATTGTAGTTCATGACAGGCTTCTAGAAATAAGGAGTACTTCATTATGCTTTTTTAATTCCCCATGCCCCCTTTAGTCCACAGCAGCATTCCTGGGGCCTATACCTGCTATACAACCATACAGGTAGGCCTAGAGACCTTAAGTAACGGTTTGATGTTAAAGTGTGTTATTAAAGAAAGTACAAAATTTATAACTCATCATATATTTGTGATCTTCTGTGAAATTTGAGAAGTTATTTAGGCCTATATCTGTGTGCGTGTTTGAGTGTACTGCGAGTGATTGACAGAGGGGTACTGTACATGTATATGCAAAACTTACATATAGTCTTGTAGGCCTTAAGTGCCTTTGCACCTGGTCCTGATGTTTAAACTTTAATCAATACCAATTGGGTGTTTTTTCTTTTACAAATATTAGATAAGTATAAGCCCAATAAATTTCCAAACACAAAATGAAATTGTATAATGCTGAACAAAAATCGCAAGCATGCACCTTAATTAATTGGCCCACGGAACAATGTTGTTCGGAAAGAACAGAAATAATCCAATAACTGTTCTCCCACCCATCACCATAGCCCATAGCTGAGGACTACCCTCTACCAGGGCCGTATATTAATAATGTGCACTCTTCTCCTACGCGACACACATATCAGTACAACGGGTAGGTAGGCCTAGCTACTGAACTGAGCACGCATCTCTGCGATTTACGACATTTACATCGTCAACGCCGCCACATTCAACCCTGTGCCGAAACCATGCCTAAAATAGCAGTTATTGGAGGCGGTGTTGTGGGAATGTCCACTGCAGTCAACGTGATCGAGTCAATCCCTGGCGCCCGAGTTACGGTGTATGCTGAACGGATAACCCCGGACACTACCAGCGACGGTGCAGCGGGCATCTTCCGGGCTGACTGTCCGCCAGGAGTACCGGCTGAAAGGGCTAAGTGAGTAATATATAATATATAATAGAATATATGATAGCATATGTGAATCGATGGTATAACTTCTGGTGATTCAAACACGCTAAAAACCTATTAAATACATGGCCTGATGGTTTCAGGGACAGTGTGGCGTGACTCGGACGTTTCATGGACAGTCGTACTCAGACTGTTATCCAAGGCCTGTAATGTAACATGAGATAAAGATCCTAGTGTGAAGAAAAGTTATGCCCCTTTCGTCACTGGAAATTCACTTCTCATTAGTATTAATTATCATGTGGATTAATTTGTGATTAATAATAATAATGAATAATCCTATTTACTTGTACTTGGATCGTGGTTTTGTATATGTGGTGGTCTCAGTTTTAAATTGTGTGTAACAGAAACGGTAGGACTTATAGTGAATACTGTACTTACAAGTACACATGCAGGCACAGGTTAGTGCCCATGCAGATGGCTGCTAGCACACGAAGAGGTCAGAGAGGTGGGGTAAAACCCAGTTTATCCAACAAGTAAACAAAACACCGTCACTATCAATGGTTGCATGGCGAGAGGCAATATTGGTCGTGACCTGATTCGACCAGAATATTATCAACGAACTCAACGCACATCTTCCTCGGAGTTCAACCCCCTTGCTCGTGCCTTTTAAAGTAACTCGCGTCGATCGAATTCTACATGGCTAGCAACCCATTTATGATGGAATATTAATAAAAATTGGAAAAAATATATGTACGAACAATTAAAAAGAAACAAAATGCGATGCAATGCTTTTTTAATTTTCAAATTTTCTTTCATATGAAAGAGTGTCTTTTTCAATTAATATCTATCACAAAGCTTTTAGTCGTGGTGGCTCTTTGAAACTTATTTTCTGGCAGGGAATGGTTGGCTCTTTCCTTTCAACACTATGGGTCAATCGCCTACTCAGCAGAGGCAGCAAAAGCTGGAATTTCTCCGCTATCCGGGTACGATATTTACACTTCAGAGCAGGTAAGCCTCTCTCGCTCTCTCTTGTAATTTTCCAAATTTATCAGGGTTTCGAACAAAAAAATCCTTTAACAATGCATCAAATCAATCTTTTACCTTCTCGGATTCTGGTGTCATTTTTTTAAATGAACAGAGGTGTTTAAGTCACTGGTGCAAAATAAATTAGTACATATTATTCTAATTATGTAATTATATTGAACATGAAACGCATGTATGAAGAACACGTTATACATACGTTTGCTTATAATGTGCATATCAAATATACGTTAATGCTTTTCAGCCTGGTTCAATGTTGAGCCTTGAAGTTATATTTCAATATCGGTCGGTGACAAAAGAAGAACTGGCAAAGTTACCCATGAATTTTAGGTAGTACAACAGTAGTTTGATGTCACTGTAAATGCATGATTTGAATTTGCTGGTATTAATTTTAATTTTGATGATAGTTAGAGTAGAGAAATAAAATGTAACTGACTCATCACATTTATGTTAAATATGTTCTTTTTCAAAGGTCACTTTTTATGTGATGAATAATACGCGCACAAATATGAAGTCGTCCCATTCATTTTTATTTGGACCTTATTTTCGTTATAGTACAAGCCTACGACTAGTAAACCTATTTTATTGTACACATTATTATTTTTGTTTTAGAAAAAATATATAGAGAACTTTAACCTGGTTAATTTTATTTCATAAATAAAAACTCAACGTTAAACAATGCGTGAAACGAGGATAGAGGGCAAACGATAATGTCCATCTTTGATTCTATTGGTTAGGTCTGGTTATTTCATGTCGACAGTTTACGTGGAATGTCAACTGTATCTACCCTGGCTTATGAAAAGGTATTTAATTGCCATGCCTAATACGACAATTAGTAAGAGTTATTCAGAAGAATATAAAATTTGGCTGCAATATTTGAAATACTTATGGTGCAAATTTTAACGATTGCTGTAAATATTTTCCTCATGACTAGTGTTAAAATATCGTCTTTTATTTCTTGAGGTTTGCTTCTCATGGAGGACGCATACTCAAACAACGAGTAGAGAATCTTGATCAGGTAAACCGTTAAAACTTTTATCTGTAAGTACGTTGAAATAGTTTTAAACTATAAAATTAACAATAGAACAAAACGTGCTATAGATCTTCATGGATTTTACAACATAACCATGACATCACGAAACACGCATTAGTTTATGAATGATTTTAAATCATTTTGAATAAACGGCTACATGTATGCAATTGTTTGTACCAAAGTGTGTATAAGGCCGTTTATTACAAAAAACAAGTTGGATTGGCGTTGTTCTCGGTACATCTGTTCTCCGCCGGATCCGGTTTATTGTATACCACGTTCGCACGATCGCACAATCTTATTTGGATTTAATTAACGTATAATCTCTACTTTTCTCATAGCAAAACTTCTACATGCAATTTTGTCTTTGGAAACGACAGGAGACCCTTCTCCGTCTTTGTTGCTAAAATGTTGAAATGGCAGGTTCCATAAATAGGTCACTTCGTGTGATGGACGTGTGTTTATATCCGGATATGTCTATAATGCGAGAGAGAATGTATACCTGTCAGAAACACAGGTGTCCATGAAGACATACATGTACCTGATAACAAGCATTCCTCGAAACTTACCTTTTATCTGGACACAAATTTCCTAGTATGGGCCACTTAACATAAACAAAGCAAATATTTCACCCAGACATTGATTCCAACGAGCAGACATTTCCAAAACTGTCTTCTCATTCAGTTCGTAGGTGAATACGATGTGGTCGTGAACTGTGCTGGAGGTGGGAACAAGACCCTCCTCCCAGACCCTGCCGTGTACGGAATGCGGGGACAGCTGATTCGAGTCCGAGCACCGTGGGTGAAGCAGTTCTGTTATGCAAATAAGGGGGACCTCGGATATATTATTCCTAAGTAAAAGGGCATTTTTCTTCATCTGTTTATATCTTCTTATTCGATTTAGGGTAGTCCCACATGGGAATATCTTGCTTTTTTCCTTGGAATATAGAGTTTCAAATATTATGTTGAAAATAGCTTCCCTTTTTTGTATGCATAAATATATCATTACAAGTAATTAAAAGAATAGTTTAAAGAAAGGTACACTTTTAAGTAAGGCCTTTTGGACAGATTCATGTCAATTAATGTTGCCAATATTTTGTGTTAGCACTTCTAACGTAGTTCTTGGAGGAACAAGGCAGAGGGATAACTATAACTTAGTGCCAAATGAGGATGACAAGAAAATGATATGGGAAAAGTGTTGCAAATTGCTACCGTCTCTCAAGGTAAGTTTTACATAGATGTTGAATGTTATGTCAGTTTATGTAATATCGCAAGTCTTGTTATTTCATCGACTCCCTTATCATTTTTGTGATCAATTGAAATATGGCATCTGCTGATATCATGGCTTATCAGTATAAGAAGAAGAAAAGTGCCTATTTTTTCTTTTTTTTAATCGACCTTTCTTTCACATTTCAGTCGTCAGAATGGTTGTACGACTGGGTGGGAGTACGGCCTTTTCGAGAACCACTGCGCCTTGAAACAGAAACTCGAATTGTTGGAGGCAAAGTTCAAAAGGTAGAATAATAGCGGTCGTTTTATGACTTAACACAAATTGTGTAGATTGTCAGTAAAAAAAAAAAAAAAAAAAAAAAAAAAAAAAAAAACCAAGGGGAATCCCATTTCGACTTCTTAATAGTGAATGTTGTCCGCATGTTGGCAAATGCCTCTGAAATATTCCATATGTGCTCTAGGCTTAGAGCTCCCGTTTCTTTAACTTTCGAACTTTAGGGCATGGAGATCAGTGAATATATATATATATATATATATATATATATATATATATATATATATATATATATATATATGTTGTTTTATAGTAGACAGCAAAGGTAAGCACCATTTAAGCATTTTGGTGCAAATTACAAGTTGCGCGTGCTTATGTGGAAGTACGACTAACTTTACACCATGTCTCACAGGTTTGTGCAAAACCATTTTGTGCAAACTAACCAGCAATTTTATTTATTTTTTCTTGCAGGTGGTGCACAACTACGGTCACGGTTCAGACGGGGTGGCCATGAGCTGGGGGACTGCCGTCAAAGCTACCGAACTTGTAAGACAAATACTAGACACCTCATCAAAATTATAAATTTCTACCACACTCAATGGGTTGGCATTTTTCTTATTGGCAAAAAGGGGAGACCATTTTCGATTGTAGGAAGTGATAAATGAAACATGAACTAAAGGAGGAGTGGCAATGCAATATACTTCAAAACTGACGGCCATTGGTAAAAATGTGTTTCACATGGGTGGAGAAACTTTTACATACAGAATCAATTAAAACAAATTTCACAATACAATTAAAGTCCTTTGCAGTGATTCATTTCAATAAAATTGACAATTTATTAGCTTTACTGATTGCCTATTTCATCAACTTAATTCACTTATACAAGCAAACACTGCCGTTATAAGACATTTTTATCAAGTTAGCTTTTTACTTAATGCTCGAGAATCGATGTTCAATAAAATAACAAATAATTAAAACACCCAGATATATTTTTTACTTAAAAAGGCAAAGTGTACAGTCTGTCCTTCAAATTAATAACAATATAGCACAAGTCTCAACTGACCCTGTGTCTATGTACTAAAGCTCGTTTTACGAGAATTGCGGATAATCAATTTTGGCAAGGATAAAATCAAGTCCTAACATTGACAAGTGTGAAAAACATCATGAAATTCAATGGTAAGATGCTACAAACATTATTATCTTTTGATAGTAGTTATTCAACTTTCAAACAAAATTTATCTTTTAATAGTAGTTTATTCAACTTTTGAACAAAATCATCAGATTTACTGGTGAGTTAGTTTTTTGGTGTACTTTTCGGTTTTGGAATGAGTAAAAAAAAAATCTAATGTTGTAATATGGGGCAACTACTTTGAGGGAATTAGTTTGCCCAAAACTCCCATGTACAAAAAATTTTGCTGTTTAATAAACACCATATGGATTATCACCAGCATAACTGAGTAGCAACAAATATGTGTAAGTACACATCTACATATCAATGATGAACTATTTATAACCATCTAGTTTAATTATTTTTGTGTGGGGGGGATTCACTTGTTATTAAAAATCATTTAATTAATCACAGTAACTGTGGCTTTGAACATTTTACTCTTGTTGGCTAATATTAAAGGACTGAAGATAGGAAGAATTTACAATTTAATTTTATTGCTTTGGCACAATTATTTTGTCACAACAATGAGCATTCTACTATTCCACATAAAACAGGACTTGGATTGGCAACAGCTTACTGTTCTCATCCAAACAAAAAAAGCTCACATTTTGTATATTTCAGATAATCAATGTCTCATAAACATCTAGAGTTGGGGTGGGGGGAGAGGTGACCAGTATTGGTGTTAGTTTATCACATCTGCTTAATGTAGCTGAAATCACTAATACAAAAAGAAAGCTATGATCAGTAACAATATGTCCTGTGTATTACTTCTCAGAATCACAGCATATACTATCTTGCAGCCACAGTGAACTACACTAGGGCTATAAATAAATATCAGGGATGGATCCAGAGCTATCTTCTGACTGTCTTCCAAACCATCTTCGTTGATCCATCCTCCATTTTTGACCGTCTTCCAACAGAAAAAAAAAGATACCGGTCAATGTAAACTTGAAAATCTGACTGTCTTTCGGAAGACCCAGAAGACCGCCTCAATCCACTCCTGTATATATTCCCATCACAGAGAAGTACTTGAATCTTGAAATGCGGCACTAAATGTGCCAAATTGTGTGCATACTGGGGTCCAGATTAAATCTACTCATCTAAATAATACAACAACATGAAGGACACTGAACATCATGTAAGTTAAAAATATCACAGGTAAACATGTCTTCTTGAGCCTCTTCATTTACTGATTATTCAACTTCAAATTCTGCATTATTTGAATTCAGTCTCACTGCTGCATAGCGATAACATAACAGCTTACAAATGATTTTGGTCAGCATATTTGATATCTTTGTCAATCTAACTATTCATCTGACCTTTTATATCGTTGTGTTCAAATGAATGACCACTGGCTACATTAATTTGATTGCTGACTGTTACATTCAAGGTGACAAAGCAAATTCTTGCTGGTCAATGTATTTAATTGCTCCCATTTGAGTTCAACACCACCCATCATCTTCCTTATTCAGTAATGTACATGCAATCCACGTAAATGGTTGCTTTGCTGTATTCTGTGTCTATCAATTCTACAATGTTCTAAATAAATCTCAAACTTTTTCATAATCTCTCTTATAATTGTGGAGGACATTTTCTCCAACCACTTTGGATTCAGTTCTTTCCGTTCTTTCCTGGTTTCAAGGAAATTCAGTGTTTGGTCTGCCTCCTACTATTCCAGCTTTAACTTTAAAATATGGCCACAGCTGATCTTGTAACTGATAATTTCCTACCCTCTCCTTTGAGATCACTGTTCTTCCACTTCAACTGTGCTAGGAATAACTGGTTTCACATCTTCGTTCAAGTTCAAAATGACCTGGGGTTCTTCAAACATCTTTCAAAGATAAAATATATTTGCTCAGTTAAAAAAAAAACATTCACTTTTCACCCATTCTCCATACCCCTGTGTAAGTGGGACTGTGCATTTAGCAGATTTAACAAATTTTCAAACATTTTACAAAATCTTTCAAGATTCAATTTCTTAAGCAAGTGTGGAAGCACCGTTCAAAATATATAATGTTCACACACACATTTATATATATAAGTGTAAATAAACATCTTAGTTCACAAAAAGTGAGGGGGTAAGATGCTACAAAAACTATTACCTCATGAAAGTTACTGTAGTTTATTCTTCTTTTGAAAAGTCAACTTATGACTTCGTTTTTGGGTGTACTTTTTAGTTTTAAAGTGAGTATAAGAGACACATGTTACATCCTGTTTTTAATTGTAAGAGATAAAAGATAAAAGCTTATGCATAAGGTGCATTAAAAGTTACTTAGCATTGTTCACTATGTGTGTTACATTGCCACTTTTACCTTGTCAAATGTCATGTCTTGGAATAACTCTTGGATAAATCTCCTGGACGGCAGGCGGAAGTTATAGTGGCCCAACAGGTAGCACACCTCAGAGTACAAACACAGATCTTGGAATGCATTGGGGAATTTTTGCTTCAGGCTGTGAAAAAGAAAGCGGAACAATTATTGTGTAGGCTTCAAACTTTTGCTCCAGGTTGCCAAAGTACACTGAAGCTCTTTAGAAATGAGTGAGGTACAAAAGGGCTGTGCAAAAATTAGTGAAACTCTTCAGAATAGCCATCTTCGCAAAGCAAAATTTCATTACTATCGTTATGGCCCATTGTAAGTCCTTATTTTTAACCTGCTGTGTTTGTGCAACCAACATATTTCTTGGAAGTCATAAGCTTCAGGGTATTGATGATAACTTAACAAGTGGATAAATATAAAAGACAATAAAGTGTCATCATATGAAAATTTTGAGAAGGAGTTTTATCGACTGTGTTCATACTTAAGTAGGTTCTGTTCTGATGCTTTCACTCCAACAGAGCTACTTAGGTTTATGATAAACTTGAGTATTTCCTGCCGAATCATGGACCGACCAGAGACACTGTCTTCAGAGAGCCTGGGACCAGCTGTGCAGGATAGAAAATAAAAGCGGTTGTCAAAATATAATATACATCATAGTTGCTGGTGTTACAAAACTTAACTTTATTAAACCTTCTTTTATTAAAAACAAAACAATCTAGTATAGGTGTTACACATTTATGATAACATCAAAAATTTTTAACATTTTAGAATAACTGTGACAAAATTTCACCATTTATAAAACCTTCTTTAAAAAGCAAAACAATCTAAAATAGATATATACATTTACAATTACTTCAAAAAATCACATTTAAAATAACTATAAAAAGGTATTATTTTTAACTGATACAATAGGGTGATCTTGCACATTTTTGTGTAGTTTACTTATTATTTCAAAATTCATCACATGCACTTCTGTGGCTTTTTGTAAACAAATATACGATCTGAATAATTACCAGGTAATTACTATAATGTTGGAAGAAGATAGACAAGATGACTTTACCAACCTATTTCACTTCCTGCATCACTGCTGACACTGCCCACTGTGGTACCATCTGTGTAGCTGCCATCTTTGGAAGGAAGGCGCAGCAAGGTGGTACCACCAACAGATAACTGAGAGTCATCAGCCCCCTCTATTTCACCTGCCTCATCCTCACATTCTTCTGAAATATTTAAAATGTGCACAACTTTTATTAAGGCTCATATTCTTTGTCTTCTTTTTTATCTTTATTCAATGAAAAGTAACATAATTACTTTCTTTTTTCCAATACTGAAATATGGACATGCATTCAGATTGCACACTGTGTCTCGTCTCCAATTCTAAAGACATGTATTAACATGGGCCACTCCCTTCTTTAATGACCACACCCCCTCCTTCAATGATCACACAGTATATGCACCAACAAATTCTTTCCTGTACAGACAAATGAACATGTGCTTTGTCATCTGCCAATTAGATTTTTTCATATATATATATATATATATATATATATATATATTTTTTTGTCAAATTTCATGATTCACAAGTTGAATTTTCTAAAAGTACACTTCAACACCAAGATGGGGGAGGGTCAGTTCATAATCATTACATTAGAAGCAAACCAAACTTCATTTGGGTGGGCCAAACCAAGACAAGTGTTTTTTTTATTAAATAAATAGTCATTTTATGGAAGTAAAACTCACCACTGGTCACTTCCACTACACAGACTGTTATCTTCTGTTCCACTGGCTTCCTGACCCTGTAGCAGCCAAAACAAGACTCCATGCTATGGTGCTCTAAGCCATCCATTTGTGCTACATGGGACACCTGGGATGCACTACGGGAATGAGTGCCTGAATCTGGAAATAGGCAGCATGATCCTCATACAAACAGGAAGAGAGACAGATGAACAGTATGTAGAAGTAATTTTGAAATAATGCACACTGGGTTTAAGTCGATTCTGATCTTTAATGTAAAAAGAGCTATCACTTTCTTCTTTTCATGAAGGGTGAAGACGCATATGATGGAAAAACACAGCCTCTATGTTATTCTGAATTGAGTTGTATTACCTGAATTCCAGTCCACTGATGAGTAGGTTTCCCCAGTGGAATCTGTAGTGGTGCTGGTAAATGTGTAGGTTTGAGACCTTTGGTCTTCACCTTCTGACACCTACAATAATAATGTAACAGAAGCTTGAAATCATTTCACAAAATGTATTATTTTGGTCACTGAATATATATATATATATAGTCACTGTAAATATATTTTTTCAATCATGGTAAATAGTTAATCAATTTAAAATGTTTCAAAAGTTATGCATGAAGTTGCTATGTCTTGATTTTGCCATTCAAAAATGTGTAATACCAAGGTTGAGTCCCAATTTTGATTACCTGAAATATCATGCTGATATCTACAGGAAGACAAAGCCCTATAAACTGTGCTGCCCCAGTCACAGACATCTTCCCAGAAGAATTTGAAGGTCTCCTAGACAAAGGTCTTGGCAAGGAATTGGTCGGACTAGGAACATTTTGCAAAGATATAAAACTCTGATATCTGGAAATGTAAAAAATTAATAATAATAATAATATATATTCCATTATAAAATACAAGACGGGGCCTTCAATCAAACTTAGAAAATGCATTATGTCATCTTTCAAAGACAAAAATTAGATCAGTTACATTTTGAGAATATTCTAACATGGTATTGTGAAAAACATGTGTTACACTTAGTTTGTCATCAAAATTCAACATAATGGCAGTTTTTTTTTCCAACTCATTCCTAATAGCATACACAGTAATCATGTTTGACTTTTAAAACCAGTTTGATTTTTTTTTAATTTTTGATTCTTTTGATATCAGGAGAAACCTTTTATACAACAGAAACAAATATGTTGATGCACACATCAGAAATACACATATTATTACCTTGATTGCGGTAAGCTTCTGAAATCTAGACTCAACGATAATGGCAGTCCTGGCTCCGGCTCTACCAGAGATGAAGCTCCGAGGCTTATCACATCAGAGTCTTCTCCGGAACTGAGAGTCCTCTGTCTCTGTAAAGTTCTAAGTGCCAGGTAACCCTGAGCATTGCGACTAGTCGTATAAATTGCGTTGGGATCTTGGGCTTCAATCTTCCCATCTACTGTTCTGATTGTTTGCATAACAGGACTCTTAAACCTACGCTGAAGACTAGGTGTCCTGCGCAAATTGAACTGTTTGCGGTACATATCTGAAGGATGAATATTTTTCTCAACGTCAATGAATTTGTTGTTCATGGAGGACTCACTTGCTATAGGACTTAGATCATGGCGTAGGGAGTCAAGGAGCGTCACTTTGTGACCCGAATCAAAAGACTCCACTCCACTCGTAGTAGTGTCAGTATTAAAACTGTCCGATCTACTCTTACTGGCCTGGGACTGAGTACTATCATTGCTGTAGCTCCTCTCATCCCTTAGACTAGAACTGTGTGACCTCCCAGAGGGTGACACATCCAGAGACTTGGACCTCTCTGTGCTTGCCAGACTAGAACTGCGAATTTTAGAAATCATGCGGTTGCGTAGTCTCTGCCTTGCATGTTCCTGAAGAGTTTGTGCTCGCCTCAAGGGAGAAATCTGAGTGACTGGTGAGGGACCAATCTCAAACTTAGCCACCCTCTGTTTACTCTCCTGGTCTGAAGAATCTGATGCACTCCTCCCGTGTGAAATAGTTAAAGACTGGTTAACTGACTGCTGACCTGGTTCCATAGTAGAGAAAACGCTACCAGTATCTTTTTCTTTGCCATCCTCAAGTGTCACGTTCCCATTCACTCTAGCAGTAACTCCTTGATCACTGTGGCAGGTGCCACTCCTGGGTTTCTCCACCTCTGGTCGCATTGATCCTTCACTGTGCGACTTGGGTCTTGGTGGGGGTACTGCTATTTCTATAACATCTCTTTCCTGGGATTCTTCCCGTGTTTCCAGCACCTGGCCAGATACACAAAAAGTCAGTGATACATCAGCAATGTAAAATGTTCTACATATTTCAAAGTTAACTATGCATTAGACCTTCAATTTTAAATTTAATGACTTGTTACAATAAATATTGTAGAACTTAACCTATTTAGCTGTAGCTATTTAGCTGATTATGAATACTGAAAATAAGAGTATATGAATGATTGAAAATCCACAACTTCCCCTACCTGCTGTAGATTAGAAGGTGTTTTGGGATGCTCTCTCTCCTCACTAAATTGACTGATACTGCTGGTGTATGATATTGCATCTGAGGTCTCCTCCCCCACAGTGTCTGATGCCAGCGCATCCTCCTCTTCTATCACTGGCCACAGGTCATGGCGGTTGTGGCGGACGGACTCCCAGCCATACTCGTGGAGCAGGTCAGATCCTGCCCTTGAACTAGCCACCAAACACAACACATAATAAGCAGTGCTGAAAGAAAAAGGGCACATTTAGTAATACATTGTTAATTTCTCCATGTCAACTATCTTCCTTTTTAATGTCAATTAAGCCCTTTTACAGATTCTATGAGCCCTTTTACAGATTCTATTTCCTGAACATTACCATTTCACCTTAGAACACCTCTCACTTCTCAACTCTAAGTTACTTGTACTAAGCTAATTTTCAGCCTGCAATCTAGTTGCCAGGTCTTAGTATTAGGTCCACCCATCGCATCAAATCACTCCACTTACCCCCTCACTGAGAACACCCCACACTCCTCAGCTAGCTTAATCAACTCTGGCACCAGATTCTCCCTCTCCAGCATCTGCAGGCCCCAGGCAGAGGAGCCTATCTGGCCCTATAGTACAATTGGACATTGTTACCAAAACCTGACTAAGCTGTAAGTTCAATGACCATATTTTATTATGGACTGCTCTTTACATTCACGTATGTTTGTTAAACAAGATAGAATCTAGCAAACATCTCTCTAAATTAACTGGTGGATGGCTGCTCAAATACTTTCTCATCTTTGCCTGTTTGGTAAACAGAATTGCATCAAATATTTAAACTATGAAATAAGTTTATGAGTGCTCCAATATTCACCATTTTGTCTTTTTTTTTCAAACTGATAAAAGAACACAGATTCTTACCACTGCCCACATTGCTGCTTTTAATTTCAGAACATCTTCATCTGTTCTCAACTCCTGATACTTTATGCTGTCTACATATTCTTGCAGATAATCCTGAAAAAATGGTAAAGAATTTATCAGCAAAACATCTGAGAATAAGGTAACAGAATTGTCAAGTTGATACAAGTTCTCATTTAGACACAAAATTACAGAAGCCAATGTACCTGATGACCTATATTTTGAATAATTATGTTATGTACAAGTGCCACCACCAACTTAAGGTCAAGATAAAAAATTCTCTCTGCACAAGAATGAAACACACCTGTTTTTCAATAAGTTCATAACCTTCTTTATGCTGAACTAGTTGCCCATATAGATGGATTGGAACATACACATCCTTCTTGATTTTCCTAAAAGGAACAGTAAAAGCTACTTGACACACATTTATAAAAATACCTCATTCAAACCATAAAACAAAATATTGAGGAGAAAAAGCATATCTGAAAAACAAGTTTTAGTTAAAGACATTCCTTTCTTCCAACCATTAATGCGTCCAATGTTAAACAAACTGTAAAAATCGCTAACCAATAATGTAATTCAATTCTTCAGGGTTAAACAAACTGTAAAAAAATCAGTATGTACTAATAACATTTTTTCACCTACATAGCAAACAATTGTTATTTCTATTAAAACTCTTATTACCGTCTAGACGATCTCCTTGTATATGATCCATCATAATTCTTTTCATATGTTGTGAGGGCTTGGTTCAGGTGGTCTTCAACAATGTGGACATATCGCATGTTAAAAGTCTGAAAGAGAGAAGATGAATATGTCCAATATTGAGAACAATAATAAAATTAAACTATCCTATCTATGTCCATTAACTTAACAAAATGTTTCAAACAAATGTTTTCCTTAAAAGTCTACCTCACTCATTTAACCAAATTGTATCCTTCAATGTTTGTATTGTTCTAAGTAAAAATATGCATGTTAAACTAACAAGACTGATGTGAGTCTCAGCATCTCTTTAATACCTTGTGCCACTTTTGTAGTTCATGGTCCAAGAAGTTGGCATCTATAAGAAACTTTAAACCACTGGGTTGTGACAGGAATCTGGCTAACAGAAGTGAGCCTTTCTCACCCATGTGTAGAAAGGATGGTCGCATTTTGATCAATGCCAAAAGATTAACCTGAAACAAAAATCAAAACCTTGTATTAATGACTTTTTAAAGTGAGTGATCAAGTAATATTTTAATTTCTACATTATTTGTTTGGATCAATTTTCTTTTTTTAATCATTTTTTATGTTGTATTGTTAAGTCTATTAAACAAATTTGGATTTTAGACTCAAAATAAATATTATTGTTATTCTAATTATTTCATGATTATTTACTTAGAGCATTCATCAAACATCCCCCCCCCTCAAAATCTCCACAAACCCTTACATCAGTCAAATATCTGTACAGCAGCATAACTCATTATAATTCTATTTTCTCAGAACAAACAAATCCACTTTACCTCATCTTCACAAGCCTCATCCAATACACTGAGTGCCTCCAGGGCCACCTTCTTGTCCTGGTCATACATCTGTGTGACCAGCATGTCAGTGCCCCAGGTGCTGAAGAATGGGATCTTAGCACGTAACAACACACGCATGAAGGAGGCTGTGTAATATCTGGCATTCTGAAAACAATAGCAGCAGGGTTTAATTTATGTGTATGGCTGTCAGAGAGAAGATTTTCATCATGTGTGTTATGTTGTAGGAATAAATTACTTTTTTTTTCCAATCAACAGCTAATGTTGACATTGTTTACCTCCAATATTAAGGAATAATATCCTCTGAATACAGGCCATTAACTTGGACAGTCTCATTCCCTGATGAAGATGCTCTTAATAATAATAATAATAATATTTATTTCTTAAAACCGCACTACACTAGCGTCTCAGGTAAAATTATTAGGATTACAACTTATTATATATATAATAAAAGCTAAGGTAAAAAAAAAAAAAAACAATTAAAATAATTAAAACTGGTTAAAATAGTAATGGTCTGAGCAATAAAACTTTTTTTCTGATAAAATGAGAAGATATTAATTAAAATACTGTGCAAATAAGAATGTTTTTAAATCTTTTTTAAAAACCTCATCACTGTCAATAGTCCGAATGTGTGAGGGTAATTGATTCCATAAAATTGGTGCTGAAATTGAAAATAATGCCCTGTGGCCGTAGGTTTTGGTTGTTTTTTTATTATCATTTCTGATAAAACAAGGAGTGGAGGTGGATCTGGTAGACCTGGTGAGACTGGGTGTACTTGGATGTAGCATCGAGTTAAAATATGAGGGGCATTCACCTCTAGTGAATTTAAAAACAAACAACAGTAATTTAAAAACAATTCTCTGTCGTACAGGAAGCCAATGTAGTTCGAATAAAATGGGTGAAATGTTTGATCTGAGAGGGATTTTGGTCAGTAGTCGTGCTGCAGCATTTTGGACAGATTGCAATTTTTCAATTTGATAGGTAGGAAGACCATACAGTAGACTGTTTCCGTAGTCAAGATGTGAAGTTATAAAGGCATGGACAAGCCTCTCCATTTGACTTTTATCAAGGATGTGGGATAGTTTGGAAATTTTTTTAAGACCATAGAAAGCGGCTTTGCATTTTTTGCTGATGTCGGCAGCCATATCGCACCTATTATCAAAAATTACTCCAAGGTTTTTAACCTCATCTTTTACCGTGACTGTACTGTTTCCAATTTCTAATAGTTCTAGTTTTTCCGCATCCTTAGAAAAACGAGAAGTAAAGTGAACTACTTCTGTTTTGCCATCATTGAAAACAAGTGAATTGGCATTAAGCCATTGGCTCAACTGAATAATACATTTCTGGATAGATGGTATTACATCTGATGGCCTGTCGCAAACAATATAAATTTGTGAGTCGTCTGCATAGAGCATTAGGTTAAAACCGTACTCAGAGACTATGTCCTCAATTGGTGACGTGTAGAGAGTGAACAGGATGGGGCCGAGTACAGAACCTTGTGGTACACCACAAGTTAGTGGTGTTGACGGTGATTTGTGAGTGCCTATTGAGACTGATTGTTCACGCTCAGTCAGGTATGATTTGAACCATGCCAATGCAATACCATCTATACCGAAACGATTTTTTAGTCTGTTGAACAAAATTTCGTGGTTTATTGTGTCAAAGGCTGCAGACAAATCAAGTAATAATAAGACCACTTGTTTCTGATCATTGAGTGCCAGAAGAATATCATTGTGCACCTTGAGCAGCGCTGTTTCAGTGCTATGATGTGTTCTATATGCCGATTGAACCTTTGCAAAAAATGGATGAGTATGCAGATAGTCAGTTAGCTGTGTCGCTACTAGGCGCTCCAGTACTTTTGAAAGAAATGAGAGGTTTGAGATGGGACGGTAGTTCTGCAGGTCATTAGGGTCTGGATTGCCTGTGGCCTTTTTTATGAGTGGTCTGATTAAAGCTTTCTTGAAACACCCAGGGACTATGCCGCTTTGAAGAGATGTGTTGAAAAGCTTTGTAATGGAAGGTAGTAATTCTTCTATGCATTCCTTTGTGAGGTTAGTTGGAAGGATGTCCAATTCTGATGATTTTGGCTTAGAGGCGTTTATCAGCTTTTTTATTAGTTCGGGAGTAGCGATGGTAAAATCTCTGAAAAAACTCGGAGATGTAGGAGGATCAACTTCTTGTATAATGGAGTTGTTAATTCCGCTTTCAAAGGATTTTCGAAGTTTTTCTATTTTGTTATTAAAAAACTCCAGGAACACAGAACAAAGTTGCTCATCAGAGTACAGTGTTGGTTTAATGGTTGTTGCTGATTTTTTAAAACCGGTTAACTCCTCAACAATCATAAAAAGACTTTTGGTATCCGAGTTGTCTATGCGTTTTTTGTGGTAGTCAGATTTCAGTTGATCAGCACGGCGACAGTACTCTAGGCGTTTTTCTTTGTGAATTTGGCGATGGACTTCCAGACCGGTGTTGCGCCATTTACGCTCACATTTTCTAACTGATTTTCGCATCTCAGACAGTTCACTACAAAACCATGGCGCTGTTGACTTACTGCGTGTTACTCGAGTATTGACTGGAGCAAGTTCGTCGAGAATGGTGGTTATGGTGTTGTGATATGAATGCAGAAGATTGTCCACATCTTCTGAAGTAGTGTTTCCAATTGCATTGGTATCAGGTGGGAAGGAGTTAAAGGCAGATTGAAGTTTTGCTTTAAGAACATCAGAGTCAATTTCTTTCAGGTTTCTACGTGAAGTCGTAGTTTTAACCGCAGGAGGACGAGCCACATTCAGACAGAATTCTATAAGACTATGGTCTGAATTCAAGTAGTCTGTTGAGTCAGTTGAAAAGAGAAGATTATCTGATGCGCGAGTTATCAATAAGTCAAGAGTGTGCCCTTTTTGGTGAGTTGGGAAATTGATGTGCTGTTGAAGATCTCTAGAAAATATAATTTCATTCAGAAGTGAAGCATCACGGGAATGAGAATTATCAACATGAACATTGAAATCCCCGGCGATTATGAGATGGCCTGGTTTTGGGACGACTTTTTCCAATAAGGTTGCAAATTCACCGAAGAAGTCCGAGATCGGGTTGTTTGGAGGACAGTAGATGAGAAGAAATTGTAGTGTTTCACTTTTTGATGTAAAAACAATGTCTAAAGATTCTATTGATTTCATGGAATGTTTTTGTTTTTTTTTGTTTTTTTTCTTGACAGAGATCAAAATATTGGAGGTAAACACTGTTATGTTAGTATGGGTTGAAAAAAATTACTTTATTCTTACATAAATTTTTTAAATTGTCAGCATTTACTGGTATCATGAAGGAACTGCCTGAATATCTTTTTAAACCAACTTTAAACAGTTTTCAAAGACGTAACTAAAAACTAGAGGAAAAGTATGGCAATTATACTGCCTCTTCATAACGGCAATATTTACTACTTGGTTAATGTTAAAAATACATATGAATGTAGGGGAAATATCTCCTTGCTTTTAAGCATGATGTTTTGAAAATGTACTTACATCCGAGGTTGCTGTTAGGGCTTTGGACAGAATTATCCTGGCCATCCCATCTCTTGAGTAATCTAGGCTTGACACTACAAGTTTGATGTACACGTCATGGCTGGTCACTGTCACCAAGTCAAGTAAACTGAAAAACAACGGGTGTTAATTCTGAGCATGATGACTATCTACAATAGCAAACTGTACACACAAAAACTGTTAAAGCCTTTCAGCACTCCCAATAAATACTAGCAACAAATCTTTTATTTTTATTAGATTGTTTTAAATCAGTCACTGTAATGGATCATTTACTAGGAAGTAATTTATAATCACCAGCTGAGTATTCCAGTTTTTTCCAAAGCTTTTTCACCACGCAATGTATAGGAAAGTCTGCCAATGAAAAGGAAGTAGTCATGGGAAAGAGTGTTGGCCATACGTGATGGACTGAACAGAGCCTCTGGAGGGGCTTTCTCGGCACGTATCTGAATGAAGAATAGCATTATTTAGCCATAGGACTGAAAGATTGAATTCAGTACAGAACAATGCAATGGAACACAAAAATATAACCTACTGGACATAACTGATGACATTATGAATGGACTGAGCAAAAAGAAAGTGTTTTAACATTACAATCAGAGCTGTAATTGTATTTAATGTAACTGTCATCTAAAAATGTTAATAAATGTCAGTTAAACTGCCAGGTTTAGCAACTGAACAACTGCATGTTAGACGATAAAAATAATCTAATGTTAAGGAACTAAACGGTTTCTGTCATACTATGCAACTAACAGATTCCCTAGTTTTCATGTTGTGAAGTATTTCTTAAGTACCTGTGACAAACATCTGGCAATGTCCTCCAGCCACTCCTCTAGCAATTTGTTGCCCTCAGTCTGAAAAAAAAAAGTTCCCAACGTCAAGCCACACAACAATTCATTAATCTTTAACATATAATTTCAATCATAGCTATAATAAATTAACATATTTTGCCTGCATTACAAAAATGACTGTCACTGTGACAGTGACAGAGGAATATCATTAATATCAAATTCTAAGAATAAAGAACAGACAATGTATTTCCGTTCTAGATACAATTTTTCACAAACCTCATCACAGTCCAGCAGAAAGTCCACCAGATGGCAGCCTATGACAGAATATTTCTTTGCTTCTGGAGCAGTGACCTCTATATTTGAGAACAGTTTGGTGGTAGGTTTGAAAAAGTACACAATTCTTCTAATGAATCTGAAGAAATAAGTTCACATTGTGTTTTTTAAGCAAAAGAATCAACAGTGGTCAAAAAAATTCAAAGTTTATCTCATTAATTAAAAACTATATTTTGAATACATTTTGAATTTTTTTTGTTTCCTGTTTAAAACAATAGTTATTAGATCATGCTTTGATTTCAGTATCACAGTAAAAATATACAATTTTTCTTTTACTTTTAATAATTCAATTAAAGTTAAAGGTGAGTAAAATGCAAAAAGAAACATGCTTCCCATATTACCACTCACTTCAAAGTATCACTTAAACCACTATAAACCCAAACCATACAAACACTTCTGAAACAATCAGGTTCAACCCAGAACCCTGAATAAGCATGTTAGTCAGTGTGTTTAACTGCTATCTATAATATCAATTCATCCACTTGTAAACCATTCAAAGCAAAGCAGCATACGGATTGCTAAATTGCTTCTTGAAATCATAAAACTTTGCCTATTAGAAGTGTGCTGCTTATTTAAATGCAGTGATACAAACCTGTGTGTCTTAGCCTGCACTTTCACTAAAACTTTTAACTCAAATCAGGGGTTCTAGGGGTTATGACAAGATTGCTAGCATATTTACCTCTGCCAACAAAGGAGGTTTTTTTTTTCCTTCAGCAATGGCCCGTCTGTTTATTAGTTTATTAACGTTAGAGAATTAGATGTCTCAAAGTATTCTTTGCACATTTTCAGTTGATAAAATTTAAAAGATACAGTCACTCAGAAAGGAAAGAAGTGACTACAATTCTAACTGAATTCTTTTTTAAAGAGTTTTTAAATGCCATTTTCCATGGCAGAGGTCTTTTCTTTCTTCTTTTGCCTTAAAATGTATCAATTGCCATTCAAAATTGCCATTGGCTTCGTTAAAGCTTGTGATATTGAGCAAAACATGAAAAAGACAAAAAAGTATTGAAATATTAAGAAAAAATGGGACAGAGCAAAAGTCATCACCTAACTAGTAATACAAAGTCCTGTAGTTATCAATTAGGAAAAGCTAGCAAGTCACAGCACAGACTGTTTAAACACAGGTAAAATTACATACCCTGTAAAGCAAGCTGCTGTCCAAAATGCAAGTTCCCCTCAATGAAAAAAAAACCTCACTCACTGGTTTATAATATTACCTGTGCCACGTAAGTGCTTTCTCTGTGTCTACTGTTTCTATAAAGAGACTTGGGAGGTTGGTTAGGGGATCTGAAGCTAGGCACACAACTATGAGGACAAATAAAACGCATAATACCTGTATTTTCCAACGTGTTTCTTTGATTCTTTCAAGGACAGCTTTTGGAGAAAGCCATCAAACTGTGAATAATCCATATTTGGAAAATCCTGAGGAGGAAGCACATACCTGAGGTTGGTCTGGTCATCTAATTTCTTCAGTGCTTCATCTGGCCACTGCATGGAAATCAGAAAATTTAATATCATAAAAATCACAGCCCAGCCCAAAGAAAAACCTCAGAAATTGCTCTAAGGTAATGGAAATGATAATGATTTATTTTACATGTGTGCTTGCAACCACTGTTTGGCATTTAAACACTTCATGTTCCAAATCATTCTCAATCAACACAGAATTACTGGAATTACTCACCTATTTATAGCTTTATCTATGCTGTATGTACTTATTCTTCTATCCACACATCCATTAAACTATCATATATATCAAAATTTAAGCCAACTTGAACATTACACGACAAAAAAGCTGAAAGAAAAGCATTTACACCTACAAAACAGTAACAGTGATGAAGCATACTACTGTAAAACTGTTTACAGTGATACACTCAATGCAAACAGGACCTCAAATAACTCCATATTAATCCATAAAGAGAATGAACTAGTAATAGAAATACCCCACTAAAACTTTGTTTGGTGCATTTCAAGAAACTGCATTTATGTTCCCTGTTTTGTCGATCAAAATGATTCTGGAAAAGTGTGGTGTGAGAGTCACAATTGTTTCATGTTTGATAACAGCTATCACTTCACTAACCTGCGTCTGGTTGATGGACATATATGTAACTGTAAATTATTTTTAAAAATTGAAGATTTACATTATAGTTATATTTCTTTGCAAAGGAAAGGGTCTAACATGACTTATTACCTTGAGAATGGCTCCTATGAGATCCCAGTTCCATGAAAAGTTGTCTTTAGTTGCCAGCACACAGCTGTCTCTGATGCCTTGACTAATTGTATCCTCCGTATCCTAAACAGAAAGAAAGTCTAAGTTACAATTAGTTATTACTCTAAAAAATTCCCTTGACTGCTATTCTGTCAAGTAAAGAAAGGAGAATCATTTCAAAGTTGTGGACTTTTTTTCAACTATCTTGGAATTCTGATGTTTTTCTTATTCCTTATCTTGTTTTCCTTATGATTTTTTTTTTATCTTATGGATCTTTAAAAAAATGATCTTGGTTTTGTAAAAATCAAATCAAACCAAATTGCATTATAGTGTATAAAGTTTTAATGAATCTCTTTAAAAGCCCTTGAAATACCTTAGATAAATACTGCATAAGCTTCTCCTTGTTGAGTCTGAGAGGTCTGTTGCTGTCATCTGGGGCCCCCACTGTGTGCTGGACTAGTTGATCTAAGTACAAACTACAGGGCACTGGACCACGCTTCTTCATGGCATGGAATCTATCCAAACAATTCACAGCCATACTGGCTTGCCTGTAATAGAACATGGAATAAAATTGATGTACTGAATAGCCTGCACATATTAAAGTCATAATAACTCTTCATTTTGGCCAAAAATTGGATTTTCCTGGAGTAAACGGCAATTTTCCTGTACTTACCAATGGTCAGCGACCCCATTCCTGCATTCAAAGTTAATCCAGGGTTTTTTTCCTAAACGTACGGTTTTTTGTTAAAATCTCTTAAGAGATTTTAACTGACGGAGCTCTCTCTGACATCGCATAGTCACTGTTGACCTACTTAAAACCGCGGGAAAAGCAGACAACAACAACACTATATAAGATTCATGAGATATATTCGTCTTTTTGTTAAAAATACATTAATATCCACAATGTGTGCCATTCTGGGCTTTTCGTTATCCGACGCACTGTACAAAAACTCGCAACTTACGTCTGCGTCTGCATTAATGCGTTTGCCGCCATATGTTATTTTGGTCTCGAATGAACGCGAGAATCCGCGTGACACCATTACGTCATTAGCAACGAATGCCTTGATGACCATGAAGAAAAGCATCGTAAGCCCTATTGACAAGCACAGATTTTAGTTTTACTACAATAACGGCCGTTTTAGTGGTAAAATACAATAGAATATATTTCCATGCGTTGTTTACAATGTATTTCATGCGGAATTTTGAATCTCAAAGGAAGAGTTATTATTGCTTTAAGATTATAACAAGAAAGTGGAATGTAAAGATGATTTTGTTGAAGTTGCAAGATGACATGGCTACCATCTTGGCTGAGAAGGTAGTAACCACTTTTGGATAAGCTTTTATTGTAAGGATTTGGTTTTTATTTTTGCAGGATAAAAATATGACTGTGGGGCATTTTCAAATACATGCATATTAGCTTTAAATGAGGAATCGAAGTATTTTAATTGGGAACATATTATAATCTATGATTAATGTAATATACTTACTGTCTTTCTTTAGCAGATACTTTGAAAGATGCAGCAAGTGATATGAGAGTGGGCAGGCAGTGGCTATATTCACTACACTCATAAGGTAGCAGGGTGTTGGCCTAAAACAAGAAATCAATATGTTACTACTGAACTAAACTTAAACTGGAAAGATCAAATATACAACAATAATTTTATAAAAATAATGGATATTCTACTGATATAAATCATCACAATTGTATTGCTTCATCTGTAACATTTCTACATTTTTCAGTGTTCAGAAAACAAGATATTTTGCTAAGACATATAACTCATTAACACGAAAGTAATAATCACCAAATGGAGTAATTCTCCCAGTAGTATTGTGGCCCTGACTGAGATTTTTCTTTCGCTAGTAGTGATCACTTCTACTATAGCCTGGAAAAAAAACTTCCTATTAATAGCGTGCTTAAGACTAAAGAATAACTAAATTTACATTTTAAGAAATCAGAAGCTATATCTGAATATTGATTAAAAAGTTAAAACACTTCTATGTTTGTTTTGTTTTAAACATAAGACATAAGCACTAACCTCTAATACTCCTGCACTGATTAAAGCTGACAGAATAACTGCCATATGACACTCCACTAGATTTGTTCTAAAAGGAAAAAGTATAAACAATATATAATTAATAAGTCAGGACTAATATGGATCCATATCAAATATCTACCCTTACTATGTAAAAACATTTGGAACTTTAATCTTTTAAGCTGAATATGATAAACAGATCTGAAGTGGAATGTTACAAAATAAATAAATAAATAAATAAATAAATAAATAAATAAATAAATAAATAAACTGGCTTGTTTAAAAACTAAGCTATGGTTAAACCAGAATAATGCAGATATACCTAATTTTAGAAGTGTGTTGTAAAACAGCTCTCCCTTCTTTTGCTACAAAGCCTTCTGTTAGCTTCCAGGAGTCTCTCATCTCTGAGGGATCTGAAAGAATTTACAAAAACAACCTTCGTCTCAAAGTTGAATTTTAATAACAGAATAACATTCAAAGGTTGATCGATTTGGAAAAGAACCATACACAAATAAAAAAATGAATGCAGTATTAATCCACTGCCACTTATTTATAAAACAGTCAAAAAATGTATTAAAACATACTCACCAACACTGAGCAATGCATCTACAAAACATTCAGTCCAAGCAGGAACTGTTAATTGAAAGACATCAAATAAAATGTCCAGTATTCCAAGCTGGAAGAGGAAAAGGGTTTTATGTAAAAGCTTGAGCACTTTGATAAAAATATAAATACTCCACACATGAAGATTGAGGTTGAACCATCAAATTCTTATGCCGTTTTCAGATTATTCACAGTAAAAAAATATATATTTTGATAATATCCACAAGACGAAAAAAAAATTAGTACTTTCACTCACCCTAATTTTCTTTTTAGGTAAATATAAAACTCCAATCAATGACTGTAACCCTGATCCATCTGGATTGCACAACCGAATTAACCCTGAAGTTTAGATTCAAATAAAAATTCATATGTAAAAAAAAACTTTTTTGTTCATAATCTTAGGAATACTGGCTGTATCCATCATTTGATTATCTCTGTATTTTATCAAATTCAGTAAGTGTTGCTTTGTTGGTAGTTCATCAAAATAAAGTGTAGCCAATACAAAACAGTGTATACATGGAGAAAAACCACTTAAATATCATGCAATACATGAATGCCTATTCAATAGTTCATGACAGGAAAACAAGAAGATCAGCAAATGCAATCTTGTTTACTTACCTGGCCAAGAACGCATGATAGTAGCTATTGCCATCTTACTGGCTTCAAATCTTTTGTCTCTTTCATCACTGCATTAAAAACAAATATTGGTATTTTATGAGAGAAATAGCAAATTTGATATCAAAGTTGGAAATATGACCTATTAAGCTTCAAACATTAATGAAAAAGGCTATAGTCATACCACATTTAACAAATAAAGTTTCAAGTCAAAAAACTCAATTACTGAATGTTTTATCTTTATGAGGTGGGTCAGTTTTTGTCTGCTGCTGGAAAAACTCAGATCTGTTACACTTATTAAACAGCTTTATGGAACAACATATTTTCGAATAATTTCAATCACTCCATTTAAAGCTGCAACCTTTTTTGTTTATTCACGAGGAAGACAACAAAGGTAAAATAGATCCAGTATACTAAGTATTGGGATTGGCAAATTCTGTGTAATTTTTGCAGAACTCAAACATAATTTTTTAAGGTGGGGAGAAGGGGTTTATGCGCACTCTTAATTTAAAAGTGTTTTAGCTGTTGTTTATGAGAAACAATGTAATATTGACATCAGTTTTCTGGAAAAAAGCATCAAACCCACAAAGGAATAGGTAGTAACATTTTCCAGCTGGAACAGAATAATCAAATTCTGTATTTTATTTTTTCAGAAGAGTAAGCTTTTTTCTTGATTTTGAAGATTTGCAAAGCCTCAACCCCAATAAGGCTAATAAAAAAAGATCTGCAAATTGAACAAAGGTAATGCACTAACACTCCTCTTATCAGCAAAGAAGCAAAGCTCTTAAGCTGCGTTAAGTTTACCTCTTCTCTTTATTTAATTTTTTGGCTTTTCCTTGGATTCTAAAATGAGTCGTTTAAAACAATTACATTTCATCCACACATAAAATTAAATGTAGAATCATTTCAGGATAAATCAATCCAGTTTTAGCAACATCTATGATTACTAACATGTTGTTAATTTACCAACCAGAGAAAAGCACTTGTTCAGTAGTTGAAAAATGCCTGTCTTCTTTCCAAGCACACCCCCAATATATAAAGGACCAAAATGTCATGACATGATAAAGAGTATCTTATACTTGTAAAATATATACTCATGACTTTGGAGCTGGCTTCTCTACATTCCATATAAAATGATAATAATTCAAAGCTTCATTGTACAATTATTATACCTAGTAAAGAATCTCAAGTTTTCATAAAACAATTAAAATGTAAATCAAAATGCACAGCTTAAAAAACCTTTATATTAGAATGGAAATACATGCCATGTCATTCAACCTGAATAGCAACATGGGTGGAATTCAACTCACCTTGAACTCTGATCAGAACATTCTGTGCCATATCTAAAATGGCAGTCAGTAAATGGTGCCAGAATTTGCTGAAATACATGAACATGTATAAAAATTACATTTATTTTGTCCCAAACATCTGTATTTCAAAAATTGTTCTGGAGAAATATATCCTGGGATAATAGTATATGCATTATGGAAGGGTAAACAAAGATATCTCTCTTGCTATGGATGTATAACATGATTAAGACATTGCAAAAAAGCAGCTACATCAGGATACAGGTATCATACAGTTTATGTTAAGCCCATGATAAGATAACATGGGCGTTATTGGCAGCTTAACTTGTACTATTCATTGCATTCAATCAAAACTTGGCCAACCTAACATTTACAAATACAGTGTTGGATTTCCTATACATTTCAATGACAAATTGATAACCCATGTTAACAATAAATGCCACTCTAGTACCAAATATCTTGGCCAAACTAACATTTACAAATACAGTGTTGGATTTCCTATACATTTCAATGACAAATTGATAACCCATGTCAACAATAAATGCCACTCTAATACCAAACATCTTCAGTCATTTTTCCTCTGACTGATCACAATCTTTTAAACATTTCTATTGTGGTTGTAGGTGTAGGGTAGCAGTTCATTAAACTTGGATGTCACCTCTAACATACCTCTAAATCTATATCGGTTTTGATATAGTGCCTTGTTCTTGGATGGTTAAGCAGATACAATACTGTTGCTAGGAGTGATTCATTGACTCGTGGGAGATGATGACAGTCCAGGACATTGCGTAGTATGGTGCTTATTCCACCACAATCTGACACTAACCTTGGATTTAAAATTGCTGAAATGACAGAAAGCTTTTATGAATAAAATATTCAAATAACTAGACAGCAAAGGCTGTCAATTGACATTAAACAAAAAATTGTATATAATATTTAAAGGGAGTTATTATAACTTAAGTGAGAAATCTTAAGATAGACAATAAATGAATTTTTCTGAAAATTTTAGCAATTTTCAGTATACCCTGGCAGAAAATTTTGGATAAAAGTATTAATAGAAACCCTAATTAATTCTAAACACAATATTGTCAGTATACTCTGGCAGAAAATTTTGGTTTAAGTATTAAGAGAAACTCATAATTTTAAACACAATATTGTCACTTCAAATTTTGTTTAAAAACAGACTGACAAGGCTTACTTGCCCACCAAGAGTGCACAGGTCTCTGACCTTGTCAGTACATAACCAGTAGGTTAATTTTAAGAAACAAATGTCCATTGAAACCCTGACATGGAAACAGACAGCACACAATATTAAAACAGACATCTGCATGCTGTGTCAGGAAGTATACGTGATTTTCTCTCTTTATGTCAACATGTAAAACATATATAATTCCCCAAAAAGATTAACAATCATAATAACACTTTCACATCTAAGCCAGTGTATGTATCCATCCAACAGTCACCTCAAAACATCATTAAATTGTAGATCTGGGTAACTGGTAGGACAGCAACAACCTAAATCAGATTTTTAGACCAAAATGAGTTTCTACTTGCTTACCAAGTTCACTAATAGTAGCCAGACAAGCCCTTTGTGTTTCATCGTGTTCTTGAGCACCATCATTGCAGATACTTAACATGACACTGACTAGGGATGGGGGGAAACGCTCAGCACTGATCTGAACCATTTTCCTTATGAGGCGTAGTGCATGCACCCTTTCAATCTGGTTGTCTAAGCAAATATCAAGGGATCTGAAAATGTAAAAAAATTCAGTCAATTTCACATTAAAGAATATTCTCTCTTTTTGATTTTTGATACATCTATGCTGCACTGTGTGAAGCAAACTAATAGCATGGTATCCTATGAACAATGGCAGAGGTTCATTAGCTTGGTACATGTTTTACACCAATGAAACTTATTTACATATATACAAGAAGTAGCTTGTAGACATCATAGTCAGTGAACTTTCTCATACTGAAGTTGTGTTGGTTCCTGTTACAGATATCTAACAGTCCACTCCCCTCCCTATGAAATTTCAAGGTGGTTGACAACTTCATAAGATTTAAAAAGAAATCTGTTTACAGTTAAGAATGTCTGAACACGGCTACAGACCATGATGACTAAAATGTATGTAGTATTTAATTTTCACTGTATGTGTTTATAAAATTTCTCTTATGTTATGATTTTCAGACAATCATTTTCAATATGATGGGAATATTTCTTTTTGCCATCCAGAAAAAATCTATGAAAGTACACCTTAGTATGAATCTGCTTTACGGAGATATAAAACATTATATTACAAACCTTGCCACTAAATAATCTATATGCAGTTTCAGCATTGCATCAAGAGTTTCTTTGTCATGGATCAAGTATCTTAGGGCCCTCAGGCAAGCTGCTCTAACTTCTTTGGCTTCATGCAACAGGCCCAGCCTGAGACTGAAATGAAAGCACCAAATTATAGCAATAAATGTATGTGTTTATGTTTACAGTACAGAAAATATAAATATATTTTAAATGTAGTCCCTGTAATATGTACCTTCAAATAGTAACACTACTGTCTATAAATGTTTTACTATTTCCACCTCCAAATAATTCCTGCATGTTAAAATGGAATAAACTATTCAGCTCATTATTGCTTGGATTGGAAACTGGTGCTGTCTGTCATGAATGCAGTTTTCTTATACCATGTTAACACTTCTTCTTTAGAATAACTCCACTGTGGGTTAGCACCAAGTTTGACACAGAGGCGGACCAGATTATTCAGGTGTCCCAGTTTTCTTCCTTTGGATACACCTTCACGAAGCACCAAGCTGGTTAAAATATCTTTAATGTTCTTCTCGGGTGCTGCAAAAGAAAGACAATTATTAGTATTGAAATGCACAAAACTTATAAGGGCAAGGAGTATAGTTATACTTTGATTTATATTGAATTTGATCAGTGCGTTTGCAACAGTGCTCTAGGTAAATATTTAACACAAGTTCCTATTACATGAAAGAGTTTTTTTAAGGAAGACACCTCCAAATTCCTTGATAACTTCACACACTTCAATTTCAGACTTCAGTGGAAAGAATTTGTCATGTCTAAATAAACACTGAGGTAATAGTACAGTCATATAAGGCAGAATCTATATGTTACATGCAGATGTTGGAATTAAAATGCCTCAAACACCTGGGTCGATTTTCGACAAATGGACCTCGGACTCAGCTGTCCAAAACATCCGTCAAATTACAAAGGAAAAGAGGAAAAACCATGACAAGGGAAGTACTAGTAATAAAGCTTCTGATCATTTAAGTGATATATGTGTTAAATGGAAAAGACACTGCAGATTCGACGGGAAGGCTGGAACACCAACAGCATTGATTGAAACGGTTTTATCGAGTGCGAATATTTACAGGAAGGAGACAGCAAGACGGCAAACTCTGCAGAACCCAAGGCAACTCACCGCGATCCAAATCCAGCGGTACGCTTTCTTCTTGTTCATACCGACCTGAAAATGAATGCAAAATCAGTAATGTAATCGCATATTTCATGATCTAGCTCCAGATCAAATCGATTGTAAAATGAAATGGGACCTACTTCTGTAACTTCTGCCACGAAAACTCCGGCCCGGGCCTGAGCGATAAGGGAAAGCCGCCATTTTACATTGTCAACACGCATGCCCTTAGGCATCCGGCTAATTTGTCTTGCAAAGGCATTTAAGCCCACTGAAATAAAAATCAGATAGATGTTAAGTTTAAATTTTCAGAGAGGGCATATCACAAGGCATGATGCTCTAAGCTTCGCAATATATGAATTATTGCCCCCTAAACAAGTGCGACAACTTAATGGGCGTACCTATTTGTGGCAGAATGGCAGACAACCCGGAAGTACAAATCTTAGCACCCGAATTTACCAAGATTGCCGAGGGTATTCTTGGATCTGAGGGACCAGTCTTTGACAGAAATGGAACATTCTTTATGGTGGAACCTGAGAAAGAAGATGAGAACAAACAATATGCAGGCTGTGTTCACTTGGTTGATCTAGACACGTCACATGTTAGTACACCCAAGTTTGTCCACCCCCTTCTCCAGTAAAAAAGTAAATAAAAATCTCCCCCATCCTTCTTCTAATCTTAAGACTCGTTGAATTAATTCATGCATCTCAATTTTGTTCAGGTAACTCAGATTTGTGCACCAAAAGTCGGATCTGATGGCGGTATCCCCGCAGGACTACAATGTGACAAGGAAAACAACCTGTGGGTAGCTGACATGAGGCTTGGGATACTACGAGTAAACACGAAAGATGGAACCTTTCAACAGGTAAATACAGGTATAGCTATTGTATTGCATTATGTTAGATATTTGGGCAATTGTATATATTTCATGAGGTACAAAATCCAAGATATATATGTTAAAACGATTCAGCATGATAATTTTGCAATGCTATTGTCAAATGGAATCACTTGCCTTGGACCCTTTTCCCTCACACGTCAAAGCACACTATCATTCCTAATAGATATTTTACCTTGAAAACTACTCAAGTATTAATTTGTGTCCCATTATTTATATTTTAATACAAAAATCCAGATTACTGATATCTGTGATAGTTGTTTAAACAGTGCACATCGGCTTGCAATGTACCAAATAATCGGAACTTGTATGATATATATATGAAAAGATGTGTTAAAATGTATTACTTAGTGTAGACTCACAAATATATACAGCTTTTTTTCAGCATCTTAATGTGTTTGTTTTGCTAAAATTAAGAAAATGGGAAAATTGGAATGCATTTTTTTCACAGTTTATTAATTGGGTGAAGGAAGCAATCGGAAACAGAATTGTGCCAGCATGACCTCAAGACATTTTTAATGTCACCAAAAACAATTAAACCTTATTTTCTGAATAATTTTAACATTAAGTGTTTTAAATTATTTAGATTGCAAGGAAAGATAAAGATGGGGCTCTCCTACAGGGCTGCAATGACTGTGCCTTTGACTATGACGGTAATTTGTGGGTAACTGCTCCTGCTGGTGAAATAGCTCCTGCACCATTCACCAGGTCAGACAAGCTTACAGAGGTACAGTAAACCACTGGAACAAAAATGATTGTCTTCTCTCAAAACCTAGCAGCAATAGTACCTTAAATGGGTATTTAATTTTATAGTGGATCAAAATAATTTATAACATTTATTATATTATAATAATTGTTTGATATAAGATTTATGTGTATTCCAACACATTCTTATGCATATTTATGTCTTTTTATTGTAAGGAACCATTTGGGTCTGTGTATTGTATGACTGCCAGCGAAGAGGTCATAAAAGTAGACACTGGTTACTACTTTTCAAATGGTATTGCTGTGCAGCATACTGATGATGGAAGGCCAAAGAAATTGATTGTTGCGGAAACATTCACAAGGAAGTTATGGAGCTATGATATCAAGGGACCAGGACAGGTGGAAAATAAACAGCTATGGGGTACTCTGCCAGGTAATGTTTTTGTGAAAAAAAAAAATAATACTTTCCAATTTTTAAAAATTATGGGCGACTGTTAAACTTCTCAAAGTCCTCTCTATTTTCTTGTAAGATTTTTATGTATGCTAATTAAATATGGTAGCAAACTCTATTGCAACAAGTTGGATGTTTCATTCATTTGTATAATAACTGGATTTTCAGAAAGAACTTAAACACCTTCTGAAAATTCCTTACTTTAACAAATAAATTACTCCTCTTAAGGATGTGAAAACCTTATAGACACATCATTAGTGTTGTTTCATGTTATTAAACTATTTCTTCTCTTAGGTGAACAAGGAGGTCCAGATGGCATGGACTTTGATGAAGTTGGAAACTTGATAGTTGCCAATCATGGTAATGGTCACCTGGAAGTGTTTGGACCCCTGGGTGGACACCCTATTTATAGAATCAAATGCCCCTTCTCTATGCCCAGCAATGTGCACTTTAAACCAAATTCCTGTTTGGTCTTCGTTACTGAACATACCTATCATGGATTGTGGAAGTTTGAATGGAAATACAAGGGAAAAGCTCAGTACTGTGAATTAATACAGATTTGATTAATTCAACTAGTCAAACATATGTCAAAACCACCATTAATTTTGATTACTGAATTTCCAGAAATTGTGATATAATTACTCAGATTTGCAGTCACCATTCCCCAATGCATTTTGTACTTATTATCAAATAACAAAGATATTTAAAATTATGAATTTTTATGAATTTGCTTTCGTATTGATTGTGCTAGAAAAGGTACGAGCTGTGTTGAAGCAAGATACATTTTTAGAATCTCCACATAGGGTTAGAGCTTTGCAAATTTCTGCAGAGTAATTGCTACCTCTAATCATCTGGTCATTAAAGATTTAATTAAAGTGCATTATTTAAATTAATTTAATCGTTTGCCAAAATTTTCATATTTATAATATTTTACTCTTTTATTTGTTAATATGTGGTTTATGTGCCATTGAAATATATATTTTTGTATCAGCTCACCAGCTCTACAAGGTTAAAAGAATTTTTAAAAAATAAAAAAATAAAGTATAAATTATTTTTTATTTACAAATTGAATGTACATCTAATTTTAGACTGCATTATAATATTTTAACTATGATAATTGAGAAATTGTGAATTTGAGAATTGATGGACATTTACACATTTTAATATATATATACAGATTTACAAATGATACCTTTGTAACATATACACATAATGTACACTATTTACAACTTAAATGATATATTTGCAATAAAAAAATCTATAATTTAACATTTTTCACTTCATTTGTATTTTGTTTAATGTTCAACTACTTGAAAAATGACCAGAAGTAATCATTCTTTGGTTTAAACTTTCTTTTAAAGTTGTAATGAGTTAAGTTGAAAAATTCACTATAGCTGCTAAGCATAAATGTTTAATTAAAAAATGATACCACAAAATAGTTCCAGGGTATTCTCAATTAATGGACAAAAGGAGCTATGACTTTTCAGACAGTGCTCTTAATAACAATAGAACTCAAAGTACAAAATGATGGTGTATTAGCAATGCTGATGTACCAGTTTGTCCAGAAAATATTTAAGTCCCATCATTGGAATAAAACGGGTACCAGAAATCTGCTGGTAACTTGGCAGATACAGTAGGTGGCGCTGCCACTTCTGTCACTGCTGGCTGAGAAGCATCGATAAAAACAACAGAACTGGTCACTTCAAATGGCTGAGTCAGGTCTTGTAGTTCTGGCTGGCAGTAAGGGCCTATGCACTGAAATTTTTAAAAAAAACACATTTTTCCCAATTTTCATGTAATAAATGTTTTGATACTTCTGTCATGTTGCTATCATCTCTCAGACGTTTCACAACTAGTAAATAAGTATCCAATACATTTTTCTTCCCTTTTGCATGTTTCATTCAGTTCAATTAACTTCATTGTAAAGTTCACATCTGAAAACACAAAGATATTACTTACTCTGTACTGTATTCTCTGTGGGTCATCAAACTTACAATTAACACCTATAATCTTTGGCTGAGGATTGGCTAGGGCACCAACATTAATATAAACTATTTCTAGGTGCATGCCCAACCTGATGTCATTACAGATTCCATCACCACCACCCTAGAAAGGAAAACAAATATTATAATACAGGCTAAAAGTATTAATGTAAATGTAAATACACCTTCTTCTTAAATTTTAAAGTTAAATGTGAGCACAACACAGTCTATTAGATTCAAAGTCGGTCTAGATTACCTTTATGTAGATCAGATTCAGTTTAATCTTGAAGTGCTTTCTTATTACTTGATCATTCATTTATTGCATCAGCTGAATACATTGGTTCAATAGGTGTAGGAATGCATTAATAAATAAATAAATAAAAATATAAAAATATGAGAGCACTATATATATATATGGAATTTTACATGTGAACACAGAAATCATTAAACTGACAATACTTACAGATGCTGCACTTTGAATGTTATCCAAACCAAGAATAGGAATCCAGTCCCCAGTGTACTCTGGTTGACTGTTTCCAAAGGTGGCTACATATGAAGAGGAGTTTAAATTGCCAAGGAGTGCTATTTTAGCCAGTTCTTGAATAACTGAACACTGGCTGCTTACATTAGTCAATGTAGCTCTGGAAATGAAGTAATTAGGTGGTTATTTAACAAAATGCCAAAATGCCTGCTCCCTTTTGTGGACTTAACATTCTTTTACGTGACCATCTTTAGAATGTTTCTTAAACTCAATACAAATCAAAGTCTAAAAAAAGAAATTAAATTGAAAAGATTGGACCGGCTTTATTAATGCCCTACAATTTCACACAACTTAGAAAAAAAGACCATTTCTGTTTTACAATATACCTTATCAAACAACCAGTTCTCATATTTTCTCCAAAATTTACAGGCACTCTTTTGGAACTGTCCATTTCACAATCTCCAGTTGCAGTACTTGTCACTAAAGTAAGATAACTATTTCTATCTGTGGGTAGTGCTATAGAAAATCCAGTAGTATTGTTAAGGAAGACATCCCACAGTTCTGTGTTAACACTAACTTAGAGTTCTACTTAATAATCTATATCTTAGCCATTTCCCGATGTGGAGATTTTGTCTCTTTATTGTGGAGATTCAACTTTTTAATTTAATCAATTTCAATATAACAGCATGAAAAAGGATATTTTGATATCGGTTTTTGCTTCCCTGCCATCACAGGTTGACCTACTACGTAACCAGGGTTACCACTTCTTTTGAAAGTGTTACTTTCTCCAATCTGAAAATCAAGAAATAAATTGAAAATAAAGTGGGTAGAAGAAAATATAGTTTGGTTCAAGCACTATGACTTAGATTAAGGAAAGCTGTACCAGTTTTCTATAAATTAATGTCAAGTTTTAAATTCAACACTACACTGTTTTTCACATAGGGACTGTTTCCTTACCTTACTGAAGGAAATGCTAAATTTCTGGATCATTGGAAAGTCCTTTGTTGAAACTTCCTTTAGCGTCAATTTCACTGATGCACTAACAATATATGTACTATTGTGGGTAATTGTATACTCCACCTACAATAAAAAAAAATTCCAATTCAAATTTGAAGCTTGTGTATCTCTCACTACTTTAGCTAAAATTACCGAGCAAAATATTCATATTTTATGTGATAATTCTACTTCAGAAATTTATAGTAAAATTTAACAAGGGTAATTACTGATCATGATAAATGCCCAAGCAAAACTGAAACCACATAGACAACTTATGTCAGGCACAACTATATTCAAAGTTGTAATGAAGTGCACGACACAACTAGCTCAACCCCCCTTCTCAAGTTATTAAGTTTTAGTGTTGTTCTCTCAATGACGCCTGTGACCTTGACAAACTTAGTTAATAATTTGTGTAATTACCTTAGAGACTTCCATACACACACAGCCAGAAAGACAACCTGACTCCATTATACCTGGCATAGCAGGAGATTTTCCACTTACGTGTGTCACAACATTGTTACAAATCCCACCAGCATCATAAGTTGGCTGTAAAGGTTCAACAGTTTCTGCCAGTTGAGTACACGTCGTTTCCACTCCAGCAGAGTCCAAGCACTGCAGCCTACTTAACCTTATGAGATCAGTGCTGTTGTACAATGCTGGGGCCTGAGGGTCAGTGGAATAAAGTGTATCATTAAGGACACCCAGAGACTGAAAAAAAAAAAGAATTTTAAATTAATATCACAATTATGTTTTCAGAGAATAAACTTTTGTTGACAATAATATTTTTCTAATTTACAATTAAGCAAATAGTGATATGATTCATAATTAAAAACTAAAAATATTAAATCAAAACTTCACAGTAAAATAGTTGATCAATTAAACTAACTTACAGCCACAATTTTGAATCCATCACTATATGTTCCAGCCTTCAGGGCTAATGCAGTTGGGGTCGATGCAGTGCACTCAACAGCTAAATCTGCAACTTCTCTAATACATTCACTGGTTTGATCTTCCAAATAGGCTGACAGGAAGGTATTCATATTAATAAGCATCAAAAAGTACCAGTCTAATCTTTAAAAACCTAAGAATCCAATCTGTTTCTCACTAAATGCCCATCACATGCAAAGAAAAATATATGATAGAAATTTCAAATTTCTTCCCTTAATAATTAAAGAATTTTTTAATGCCTGAAACCAACACAGCCATATTAGGCGGTGAACTTTTCAAAATTATAGAAAGGCCTAAATTTTCAAGTTTGATGAAATTTTCAAAGTGAAAAAAATTACCTTAATGGAGAATTGTCTTCTGACAAAAATTTCAAGTTGACTAAATTTTCAAGTTTTTACGGTATAAAGCACCTGACAAAGAAGCATTGTCTAACCAACACCCTGTTATTATTAATAGTCATTTATACTTTTTGCTGTGGATTTTACTTACCAGCAGGATTGCTGTCATCACACTGCTTTGTAATAAGAGGTGTTGGTAGGCCCAAATTCCCTATAGCATTACTTGGGTATATTGTGTATACAGGGTATCCACTCTATAAGCAACAACAAATAAAATGTACTAAAATGCACAGTTATAGCAAATCTAACAACTGGCATACTTCAAGTGAGATTCACCACCAAAACTTGACATCCTAACTTAACCAGTTCCTGCAAATTATAATTACATGTACAATAACAAATTGACTCATACAAACCACAAATACCTTGTAAGATTGGTTGTAAGTTGTTCCTACACTTTGGGTTGGCTGAAATGATGGCCCACCATATGTGCTCAGATACACATCAAACTGTTCAGTGGTGTTAATTTTATTTGCTATCTCAAAATAGTTTCTCGCAGCATCTGGAATATCAAAAACATATAATAATAATAATAAAAAGAAGAAGAAGAATATAGGCTAAAAACCCCCATTACACTTGCGTTTTGGAATGTGACAACTAGCTGAATGAATCTTTTAGGAATCATTCTCCTGTTTGTTTAAAATTGTTCGGGGTTGGGGGTGGGGGTGAAGAAAGTGAAACACAACAAGTAAGATCATTGAAATGTACACTTAATCTGGACTTAAATGGATCCATTACTTACAATTATCTATCTGGATACAAAACAGATTATTCGATATGGAGGTGCTGTATTTTGGTGACTGCCCAGCAATGTTGGATTGCAGAATGATATTCTCTTGAATACACAGCCTATCTTCAGCACTGAAAAAATGTTTTATAAGATAAAACTTTTAAATTTCATCTTTGGGCCATTCCACAGTATTTTTCTACTTTGCAACTTCTTTTTTCATTTTGAACAATTTTGCTCTTATATTGCTTTATATGGACTTTTGCAGAGTTAGGATAAGTAGCAAATGTATATATTATGCCCAACCATTTTGAGGGATATCATAATAAATGAAAAATATGGAGAGGAAAAAATACTGGAATCTATTAAAGAAAACACTTAAATTATAAAGGTTAAAATTTTAGGCATATATATATTTACGCTGTGTAGGAGTCACTGCACTGGCTAAATGCTGCAACATCTTCTACAGTACAGTCACTGTCACAGCAACAGTTGATATCACAGGCATTGGAAGTCAAATCACAAGTACAACGACCAATATCTGAAAAAAAATTGACATAAATCCATCCGTGACCCAGGTACACTGCACAAAATTTGCAAAAGAAGGCCGTACTTCATAATTGTTCAACAATGAATTTATGTAGGTAATGGAGTGGTTAAATGAATCTCAAGGTGACTTTTTTGATGTCATCACAGCATTGTGATTGTGTCAATTAAAATGTACGAAATAAAGTGTGTAAATTATTACAAAAAATAACATGAATTGTACCTGTATTTCGAGGCACAACGATAGATCTCCCTGTTGGTATTGGTGTCGTGGTCGTTTGAATCGTTCCACCTGTTGTCCCAGTCGTAGGACTGCCTGTTGTTGGTGCAACAGTAACACTGGCACTGGCAGATGCCGAGGATGCAGTCGCTGAATTAGTAATGGATGTTGTCTCTGAGGTTTGTATTGTAGAGTCTGAAACACTGACAGTTACGGTATCTGTTGAGGCCGACAAAGCTGTGGTATCAGTTTGCCCTAGTACGCCTGCAAGTGACAAAATACTCAAAAACGTTACTAATGAAATCACATTTACCGCGACATCCATGTTGTTTATGGTATGTGCATTGCATGATGGGATCTAAGGATTATCGTCAGTACTATTTCTTTTCTAATTTTTAATGACTAAGATTCATAAGGTAAAATAAGATATTTTAATTTACTCTGAATCTTAAAATACATTTACATTCTGATTATCTAAAGTAGAATTTTACTTTAAATTTCTCTCAATAACGAGAGCAGCGATCTGCGGCGGCAAACAAAGAAAGCACCGGTTATTTATGCGAAGGACAAGGGAATTTCCGCCTTGTCACCTGCTGCCGCAGAAAAAAATATAGTGCATTCATTTCATTTTTATACTTTTAAACACAAGAGGTAAGTGTCATTACATTGCTAAACCTACATCGGGGTAAGAAACTTTACTAATTTCAAATATATTTTCACTTACTGGAAGTGCCCCACGCCGTGGTTCATAATGCATTGTTTTGTTTATTTATAGTCCTCATTTATTGTAGACGCATCGTTCTATTATCATAAGATTATTAGTGTGTGTCATCAAATAGTTGTTGGTTAGCATATATACTTGTCTCATCTAATACTTACTTTGCTGAAACAGTTATTGCCACTGGCAGATAAATTAATTCAACAAAATAATTGGTCTTTGATTGTTCAGATGTAGTTTGGGCCCTTGACATATGCCTTGGTTGTCTCCTTTACGCCTGTCATTGAAATCAGTTTATTAGGTATAGAATTGACATTCAGCAATCTTTTTAATACCACAAGGTTATCAAAATTAGAAAATCATGATCAGAATTGGTTAAACATTTTTGAAGAAATTTCATAAAATCCATGAACTATGGTGTTTGACTTTGGAATGCAGGATTAAAAACATGCAGTTTGTCTGATGTCTGACTTGTCTACTTGATTCAAACTTCTAATACATTTTATGACCACCGCGAGGATGAATACTTCTTTAACTTGCCCTTGATCATTGTGTTGCTACAGATAAAAATGCAATATTACAAGTCAGTCCTTCCAAATTATGGTGATGGCATGACATAGTTTACTTTTGTCTTTTATGTGTCCATAAAATTGATATTTCTATAAAATATGTCTTAAACATGCAAGATTGTAGATATGCAAATAACCTATTATATTGTGACTGTTTTAGCAATGCCTGTTACAACAGGATTTGAGTGGAATATGGAAAGAGGGCCTATCTTTCGCTCACCTCTATTCCAAGTATATGGAACAAAGAGGAAAAATTCAGAAGGAAATATTGAGCCAAATATTTTAGAAAACGACGTAAGTTTAGCTTATTGCTTTGTCTGATATCACTTGTCATATTTAGATGATTATCTTATTGCCTGTAGTGTTAAATATCTTTATATTGATTTATTTTGTGAGCAATAAATACCATTACTGGCAAGTGAAATATATTGAGTAAACAAAATGCTGTTTAGATACCTTTAATGCATTTTGTTTTTGTTTGATGCAGTTAGTGCATGTTGAACACAAAATAATACCTGTGGATTTTTTTTGGATAGACGGATCTCTCCTTCAAAAGACGGTGTATTTGGCCTGCTGATGTTAAGGAACAAACTCCTACTCAAGCAATGGAAATAAATCACAATGTGCCAAACCAGCATTTTAAACAGTTGCAACAAGAACAGAACCATGTAAGGCTCTAATGTACTTGATGTAAACCCTAAATCAAGGAAAAAATTTAATATTTTTAAAATATTTTAGAGATTTAAGCAAATCTACCATAAAAAATTTTCTTTTATTTATAGATGAAAGCTTTCCAAAGTAAATTGATTTTTCTTGTAGTGAAAAGAATGTCCTAACTAAAGAGTAGTTGCTCTGTATTTTATTTGACTCCTTTGCTTGGATATATTTCAGATATCACCAGATCTCCCTATCCCAGCTCCTTGGTCATCAGAATTACAATCTCAACTTACCTCAGGCAATCAACCATGGCAGCCAGTAAAAGTAGTACCACAAAACGCATCCTCCAGACAAGATGTACATATACAGGTGAGACATGCACATAAACTGTCAGTGCATTATGAAACATTTCATGTTCGATCTCTTTCAGTTTGTGTGGGTTGTCTTTTGGGATTGAAGAGGACCGTCTAGTCGTTCTTGGAGAGGGCGACTTGTGCTCTGTGGGTTGGAGGGGTGGGGGGGTATAAGTTTGAAACCTTGTAGCTACTTCGCATTGCATTGATGCCTATGATAAGCTTGTAATCTTTTACACTTGGTATTTGCTTTAACTACTCATGAAGAGATTAACAGAAGTTCAAGCAATTAATCATGTGATGGTAAAGTGTTTAAAATTATGGAGGGAATATTCATCATAATTTTTGAGGAGTTTAGTATTGTTGTATGTCATTAAAAACTTGAAATGTTTGTACTATAGGTGCACAAAAGAGTGGAATTAATTGTTTCCTGTCAGTGAATGAGATAAACCTTGAGAAGAATGTTTTAACCCATGACATAGATTTTCAAAATAACCAACTCTGCTTATTAAAAAAGCATTATCAGAAAAATTCAAGATCAATATAATCATAAATTGTATTACAATCGGTTCCAGCCTGGGAATATCATGGATTTAAATGATGAATGCTACAGCATGAGTGAGGTAGAAGATGCCTGTGTTAACATGGATTCTGACTGTGTTCCTGACCCACAGCAGTACAATCAAAGAGAGAACACAAACTGTCCTCAGTCAATGTGCCAGTAAGTAGAGTGTCATAGTGTGCTGCTCATGAAAGAAAAATATTGATTTCCTGACTCTTGCACAAAATAGTTATTGTGCTTTTATGTGCACTAGTCTGAAAAAGCAGTAATTTTAGGAAAATGAACACGTGGCAGTATTTGAAATTCACATTTGGTCTTATTTTGACACCTTGATTCTTTCCAGTTTAAAACCTTTTTGAAAATAATTAGAATTGAATGCAGCTGTGTCGTGGTCATTCCTCTTGCTGTAATACTAGTAATGTTATAAGTATGTAAAAAACTTTTTGCTCTTTTTTTTTAGGGGAGGCAACATTAGTCCAAATTCTGGCCTAGTTAGATGTTTCTGCAAACCCAATTGGGACCCTTTAATGGATTTGAGGCCATATATATCAGATGTTTATTAATAGTCGTCCACTACTGGTCATAGAGAAAGGAAAAGGTGTTTTTAAGATATTGATCAGGATCTCAAGAAGAAAGTGGCCATCTCAAATAGGCCAATCTCTCAAAGCCAGATAACAGGAAGCATGCAACCAGAAACCAGCCAAGTTATCAAGCAGATAAAATTACCACTTTATTGAATGATGGCTCTGAAGAATGAAATGGTACAGGAAGCAAAGTGGGTTGCATTGTCCAGTTTTGTGTTGTGTGTAGCGTATCCTGATAGAGCAACACTAGGTTGTGAAATGCTATCACCAACATATTCTTGATGTGATTTGAGTATTTTAAAAAGATTACTTCTGAAGTAAGAGTGATTCCTCAAGGAGAGACTGTGGTGAAACTAGTCACTGACTGCATTCTCTGCCTAAGATATACTTAGAAGTTAGTGCATGTTGCACATCCATTGCATCTCTCTTTCTGAGAGCTACATGGTGCGTGTTGCACCTCCACTGCCTATTGTCTTTCATGTTTAGACATGTTTAGGCACATACTTAGGTATGTGTAATGAGATTATTGTTATTATTATTATTATATTTTAGGTAAGGTTGTAGAGCTAGCTGTTATACTGAAGAGCTTATATAACTCTTACAATAGTAGTATATTATATTTATATAGTTTTATAGCATATTTTGGGTTATGTAAATTTTATGTAATCAGTATGTACAGAAAGCAGTGTTTGGTATGTTACTTAGTTTCTGTATTTATGGTCACCCTGCTTAAGGTGGGTTGAATGGTCAACTTCATTTATTTTCACATCTTTTATTTCATCATACATTGTGTGTGTGTGATAGTTAAATTAGTTATTACATAACTTTTTTAGCTATCAGGCGTGCCTGTAAAATATTTTTTAATCAATAGTTTGCTAATGAATTTACAGGCTTGAAGAAATATTGCAAGGATGTTTACCCTAGAGGTCTCAACAGTGCAAGTAAGATTGATTTCCAAAAAGCAATGCAATGATTTTTGTTTGGCAGCACTAAAAGCATGTATCTTGTCAATATGAGTAATTTTTTGCAGATTTAAGTACCATCTTATTTTTTAGCTGTGCTTTTATAGTGAAAAGTTTATTGAGCAGGGTTTTGTTATATTATTCAAGTGATTTTTAAAAGTGTGCGAGTTGTTTGTTATATCTAATTTATACAATCATAATGAAAGGTTGTACACATTTTTACTATTTAACAAGTAAAAAATAAAACCATTGTGAAAAGAAATTATTCTTATTTGTCAAATAAATAATATTAAATTAGAAAATTTAAAAACGAGTTGAGAGCATTCATTTGACATGGGACACTTCACATTTCTGTAAACCAGATGCCAAATCAATCGGCATTATTTTCCATTTTTGGTAAAAGTTTGCCTATATATAAACTGGCTTAAGACCCACATATAAGATGACCACATTTTTACTTTTAATTAAATTATTTTATTGACCGATTCAGATATGAATTAAAATTACTGTAACAGACATCTTTGAAGAACAAGCAGTTGGGTATAACTGCTTTATTAACATTTGCAGCTGGTTTTGTCAATCTTTCAAATTTCATGCACTTCTTTCTTAACATAGTCAATACTTGTCCTACTAAAATGTAACAAATCCCATAAATAAGCGTTAAATAATTTACTGTACATTATTTATCAGGTTGTCAATTAAATAAATAAAACTGCAATAATACACATTGAACATTTTCAATATTAAATTTACTTAACTGTTCATAAATAATTCTTTACTTAATTCCACTTTCCTTAAGTAACTACAGCTAAAAATGATGTAAATTGTCCATATGTTAAACACATGGAAGTATATTCCATAACCACAAGGGTAATTTTTCCTCAGTACCATCTATGTTTTGTTTTTTTTAAACTATACTGAAAAAGACCCACTGAACTATTAAAGAGTCTACACCTTGGTTACGTGTAATGATAAAGCATTAACATTAGTCAAGTCTAATCGGGTGATAACTAATTCTGATGCAGATACCAATAACAAAATATCCTGCACTTCCATCCTGCCACGCTGGAGCACCTCTAACCCCATGTGTGGCTAATTTTGATCAGTAAGTCATCATTCACATGGGACGCATACATTTCGCTAAATATTCGATAACATTTTCGCCTCTCCCACTTTCTGTTATAAACAAACATAAATTGAGCACCATATTGCTGCCAATCCACATTGTGGAAAAAAGAAATGAGTGTCAATTTGGGTTTGGGTTTCTTTTTTTGTTTGTTTGTTTCCTTATCAATCCTCATCACTTGAGCTTGCTTCATCTTCACTGATGTCATCAGATATTGGGAATCTCAGGATTGCAGCAACGCCAGATAGCTGACCTAATTCTGCAAGAGGAAATTACCTTTTACACAAATTTATTAAAGAACAAAAATATTATATCTCCTTAACCTTTAAATGTGCAATAAACATTGATAACCTATGTGCATTCATTGCCAAATGTGAACACACTTGTTAATGGTCTATTATGTATGCCAACTCTTCAAATAATTACACATTATTGGGAATGTCATTGTTTAAAAATCAGTTGATACACAATCATTCAAAATTGATGCTCTGGCATGAGAATTTTTTTCTGCTTAACAACCAATGACACGACTCATTAAGGTGGTACAACTTAGATATTACTTACGTTCTCCTGACACATGCAGGCTTGAAAAAACCTTTACTTCACCACCATTTTCTCTGACACTTTCTACCAGCTGTACATAACGTTGCCGCGTTGCCACAACTTGAGATCTGTTTTTGGAAAAATAACAGGTAAATGTTTGTGCACAATCTATGAAGTTTTAATTATACAATTATTCTATAAAACTTCATTGATTAGTTGACACTTTGAGTACACTCAAACTAAGTAACAGTCAAAAGTGCATTACAAGATCACTATCAAGAAACAAGATATAGACATCTTATTAATTGATTTTTCACTCTTTGTCACAACTTTCGTTAAATTTTATGTATAATCATTATGTTTGCTTTGCCCACATTATGTATCATAAACTTGTGTTGGAAATAAATATAAATCCAAATTTAGAAGTGTTTGTCTCGTTTTAATAAAGCTACTGGGAATTAAATATCAGTTGTAGTAAGTAGGACAACATAATAATGTTAAGTTACCTAACTGTCAATGACTACCTACATAAATCCTGTATTACTCAGGTTGTTATATATATACTTCTGTTTTAAATGAGAGCCCTATACAATGACCTTACTATAGCTCACCTAAACAACTCGTCAGATATAAGCAGTGTTTCTATAGCTTGTTGCTCATTGGCCATTTCAACATGCCTGATTCTGGAAAAAAAATACACAATTTCTCCTTTCAGAAAATAGTAAGCAAACTGATTTCTTTTCTAAATTACTTCTTTTGAAAGATAGTAATTTTCATTCAATTTGCAAACATTAATTTATGGGAAAAATGATTACACAGTTTGAAAGGCATACTGACTTACCCATAAAAAGCCCTATTTGGATCATTCTGCAGCATCTGATAGAAGTCATCTAGAGCTTTGACTTCCCCTGAAGCCTTGGTGTCACTCAACCTACATGTTACTGCAGGGTCAGAGAGAACTTCTGAAAGAGCATTGAAAACAGAATCTATATAATTCAATCTAAATAACTGAAGAAACATTTTCCTGGTATAGGAATCATTAAAAAGAAAGGTATGAATGGTGATCTTACATCATGGAAGCAGGCAGCAAAAGAAGGTGCTCCCAATTATTTATTAAATAAATTGCAGTCCACAAATAAGTGTTCTTTTTGTCAGCCCTTGACAGTTCACAAATCCACCTGCTTTCTTCATAGTTTTTGTGACATCATGAGTGGACCAGAAACAGGGTAATTATTATACAATATTAAGTCTGAGCCATAAACCAAAATTAAGAGTCTGAATAAGTAGCTTGTTAGTCAGCAGCAAGTTTTAGGGTTGTATTCCCAGAGCTTTTAGAGCGATCTATCCCCGCGGGGAGTCTCACTAGATTACTGTCAGATAATCCGGCTTAAATGTTCGTCCCGCCTACTACAAGCTGTAAGGGGGTAATTAACTTTCGTGTCCGCCCGGCTGACAGCTATTTAGCGTGAACCCCCAGGGAGTTAGGTCGATCTAAAGTAGATCGATCTAATCTCTGGAAATGGGGTCTTACAGAAACTACTACTGTATTCTACTTAGCTCACCTTTTAAAGCATGCTTATGTCCCGAGGATGAATGAACTGCCAGAAACTTGGACTTATTTTCCAATAAAATTTTTATGTCCAATTTTAGGGCTTGAGTAAACATATAATCTATAAATTGATCCTGAAATTAAAAAATACATCATTATTAGTTTAATGCTATCAACTAGTGGTATTTAATGTTTGGCATTCTCAGACTTACACTTTAAACTGTAATGATTTTAATTATTAAAACAAAAAAGATTTGGATGAATGGACTTTAATTAATGAAATGGGTGACAGATAATAGCATTGCTGTTAACTTAAATATCTAATAACAACAGCCTTGTGTTTAATTACCTTCAGAAATCCTGGACTAGCAATGAGTACACATTTGACCACTAAAGGAGAATATAGAAAATTTATAAAAAATATCTTTTTAACGAAATTTACATCAAATTAAAGATGCACAAACAGCAATGTTTATTAGCTGATAAACAAAATGTTTTTTCAACTTTTACCCATCAATGAAGGGCTAACATTGTTTTTCTTCATTTAGACAAGTAAAATACAATAACATTCAATCAGTTTTTAACTATGAAGAAATGTACTTACCATCAAAATTTACATGCCTTTGAATAGCTTGGATGATCTGGTCATAAAATTTTGTTATACCCTGTAATGTAGATTTTATTTCAAACCTTGACTTACAATACCAACAAGAATTCTAAGCATTTAAGGAAACAGCAAAAAAATCAAATGTTTACATGATGTATAATTAAAATTAATTCACTGTCCCAAAAATAGAATAAAAATGAAATATATAATTGGAAAAAAATCAATGTCCCAAAAATAGAATTTAAACAAAAAACTATATTGCACACAAACTGACAGAAAAGATGGAAAAAGCAGATGGATAGGAAAGAGGTGACAATTCACTGATTTAACTGCTGTTTACCTCACTTTTTTTATTTTATTACAAATTCATCACCTTACAAACCACACACCTTGTCATGTTGTCCACACATCCCTTTCCTTTTCCTGGGAATAGAGGTTTCTATTTTAGCCCTGACCAGGGTCATTGCACTAGTGACCAGACAGATGTGAGCCAGCCCTTCCTGCATCACAACTGCTGCCAAGTCAGCATGCTGTGTGGGATCACAGGCCATTTCTTTGAATTAAAAAAAATATGTACGGTACATTATCTTTGATTAATTTAATTTCTAGATGAAAAAATTAAAAATCAAAATTCATGTTAAAATTTTGTGTATATAAACATGTTTTACATAAAAAAGTTTGTTTGTTTTTTTTAGAAATTTCATAATGTAACATTTAAACATTCAAAATTTTCTGAACACAATTCTCTACCCAAAGATTCCTCTAACACATCAACATTTTTCATCTGTAAATTAAGCAGCTCGTGGGGTCCTAGTGAATACATAAAATATATATTTACTGCACATATTCATATTTCTTATAAACCTACCAATTCGTTCTAAGGCAACTATGTCCCAGTAGTGCTTGGCAAGTTGAAATTTGCGATTCATTTCAAGATCTAAGGTATGGTAGGCACCCATCTGAAAAACAATAATAACAATAATAATCCAATTCAAATGGATATAGGCTGCACAATACTTTCATATTATTTACCATGAAAGATTGTGCCTATGTTTCTATTAGTTTGGTTACTTTTGATCGGCTGAGTTCAAAAGCCAAGGGCCAGTAATCACCATTAGCCTTCATTATCTACCTTAACATACTGGTTTTCCTGTATATTTCTCCCCTTTACTCTAAGTACACAGGCCTGAGTATCAAAGTCTATATTTTCCACACTGATGGTCAGTGTTGTTCGCACTTTGTTTGATGCTACACTCCCTGTGGCAGATTCTGTTTGCACTTTTCTGTAAAAAAAAATATGAAGAAAATTTTTCAAGTACTGTGCCAAATATGTACAGTTCTAAAGGTATTGACTGATGGGTTGTAGGTCTAAATTAATGGGTGAATCAAACTACTTACTGTCAACAAAGAGATATGCAACTAATTAAACAGGATCTATATTAATCATATGTTAAGTGAACATGTATTAATGATATTTTCAGGTTTCTACATTTACACAATTAATAAGGTGTGTCAATTATCAGTTTATCATTTCAGCCTACTGGTCACTTGAGCCACCTGGCTGCAAGAATTTTTCGTTCAAAACAGAAACAGTGGTCAGGAACTGAACAATTATTTAATATATTTTAATATATACTGGCCTTGGTTCAATTTTACTGAGATTTGGCATGGGGCCAGTATTAATGTCACAAGCTGTCTGTTACGGGGGGGGTGTGTTACTGTACTCTGTAGTATTACTTAAAAGTACCTGATTGTTGTTGATCTCACAGTATCACCAATAGATACCAAATTGTATGCATGCCACATATCTTCTGCTTCTTCTGGAATCAGGGTCACAGACCTGCAAGTGTTTGAAAGGAGATTTATATAATACATATGATCTAATTTTGTTCATTCATGCAACTGCGAGCATCATTTTAAACTTTTAATCATACCTTTACAAAATAGTGTTTATCATCAAACATAAGATATGTTATGTCTGTTACTTGTGTCATATAAAATTAAANTAAAAATGAAATATATAATTGGAAAAAAATCAATGTCCCAAAAATAGAATTTAAACAAAAAACTATATTGCACACAAACTGACAGAAAAGATGGAAAAAGCAGATGGATAGGAAAGAGGTGACAATTCACTGATTTAACTGCTGTTTACCTCACTTTTTTTATTTTATTACAAATTCATCACCTTACAAACCACACACCTTGTCATGTTGTCCACACATCCCTTTCCTTTTCCTGGGAATAGAGGTTTCTATTTTAGCCCTGACCAGGGTCATTGCACTAGTGACCAGACAGATGTGAGCCAGCCCTTCCTGCATCACAACTGCTGCCAAGTCAGCATGCTGTGTGGGATCACAGGCCATTTCTTTGAATTAAAAAAAATATGTACGGTACATTATCTTTGATTAATTTAATTTCTAGATGAAAAAATTAAAAATCAAAATTCATGTTAAAATTTTGTGTATATAAACATGTTTTACATAAAAAAGTTTGTTTGTTTTTTTTAGAAATTTCATAATGTAACATTTAAACATTCAAAATTTTCTGAACACAATTCTCTACCCAAAGATTCCTCTAACACATCAACATTTTTCATCTGTAAATTAAGCAGCTCGTGGGGTCCTAGTGAATACATAAAATATATATTTACTGCACATATTCATATTTCTTATAAACCTACCAATTCGTTCTAAGGCAACTATGTCCCAGTAGTGCTTGGCAAGTTGAAATTTGCGATTCATTTCAAGATCTAAGGTATGGTAGGCACCCATCTGAAAAACAATAATAACAATAATAATCCAATTCAAATGGATATAGGCTGCACAATACTTTCATATTATTTACCATGAAAGATTGTGCCTATGTTTCTATTAGTTTGGTTACTTTTGATCGGCTGAGTTCAAAAGCCAAGGGCCAGTAATCACCATTAGCCTTCATTATCTACCTTAACATACTGGTTTTCCTGTATATTTCTCCCCTTTACTCTAAGTACACAGGCCTGAGTATCAAAGTCTATATTTTCCACACTGATGGTCAGTGTTGTTCGCACTTTGTTTGATGCTACACTCCCTGTGGCAGATTCTGTTTGCACTTTTCTGTAAAAAAAAATATGAAGAAAATTTTTCAAGTACTGTGCCAAATATGTACAGTTCTAAAGGTATTGACTGATGGGTTGTAGGTCTAAATTAATGGGTGAATCAAACTACTTACTGTCAACAAAGAGATATGCAACTAATTAAACAGGATCTATATTAATCATATGTTAAGTGAACATGTATTAATGATATTTTCAGGTTTCTACATTTACACAATTAATAAGGTGTGTCAATTATCAGTTTATCATTTCAGCCTACTGGTCACTTGAGCCACCTGGCTGCAAGAATTTTTCGTTCAAAACAGAAACAGTGGTCAGGAACTGAACAATTATTTAATATATTTTAATATATACTGGCCTTGGTTCAATTTTACTGAGATTTGGCATGGGGCCAGTATTAATGTCACAAGCTGTCTGTTACGGGGGGGGTGTGTTACTGTACTCTGTAGTATTACTTAAAAGTACCTGATTGTTGTTGATCTCACAGTATCACCAATAGATACCAAATTGTATGCATGCCACATATCTTCTGCTTCTTCTGGAATCAGGGTCACAGACCTGCAAGTGTTTGAAAGGAGATTTATATAATACATATGATCTAATTTTGTTCATTCATGCAACTGCGAGCATCATTTTAAACTTTTAATCATACCTTTACAAAATAGTGTTTATCATCAAACATAAGATATGTTATGTCTGTTACTTGTGTCATATAAAATTAAATAATTGTTACAGTATGTTAGTAAAATACTGGTTAACTGTTACTGACCAATGTTGATTGCACAATGATGATGCAACAAACATGATCATATCAACCAACACGAAATATTCTTGATCAATAACAATTTCTTCTGATCTAAATCCACAATTATTGAGATTTCCTTACCACAGTAACATACCAAAGATATAAATCGCTTAAATTAATGTTTTACCACATAAAAACAACGGATGCTTTACTAAAATAAATCACAGTTGTATTATTATAATCAAAACAACTTTCTTGACAATGAATGGTAAAAGGGCCAGCCAGTAGGTGGATTCCCTTGCGTTTAACTTACCCTTGGCCAGATTTATCAATATCCCTTGCGACCAGCTTCATGATTGTGTTACCCAGCGCTCAAACAAAACATTGTGTTCAAAAAGTCTGTTATAAAATGATAATATAATATGGTATGTCAGTGTAGCATCTTGCGTGTCCTTCTCAGTCAGGCGGGAAGCCAGGCAAAACTAAAGAGGGCGTTGATCCAAGACAGACTTATTACTTTCAGCAGCTCTTGTTGTTCGAAACTGTGTGCAAAATCGGGAAGCCGCTTTATTTCGAGGTGTCACGTGACTCGAGAGGTGTTCCTGGTAAAGTGATTGGAATATTTTGATGTGTTGATGATGTTATAATTAGGTAGGTACGATGGCGATCACATTGAAAAGTACATCAGGTGACATTCCATACTTTGGGATGACCCTTCTTTTATATTATCTGTTAGATTGTTTGTTTATAACTGCAAAGTTTACAAACAGGGCGGGCCGTAAGCAGGCCATGTCAACATTGGCAACGAAGTCGAAGACGGTCTCGGTTAAACTAAGTTAATTAAAGCCAAAAGAAAGTAAGTTTTCACTTTCGTTCGGAATCGATCGCTTTGAAAATTTATCTGACGTAATATATGGTCATCTTATAATTCAAATCAGCCCCCATGATCGTCGATTTTGTGATATGTGGAATACCACATATGATGGTGAACGGTTAGCAATTTTGTAGTACTGATTGATGTTAACATGCCTGTCCTTAGTTCAAATAATATTAAAAGCTCAGCTTTCATATTTACATGTATTATGTGGTATTAAAAATGAAAAGGTGTGCTAGAGGAAGAGCATCCGATTAGCCTACCCATTATTATTAATTAGATAGGTCTGGTGATAAACAATGAATGAAAATCAAGTGTTGAGTTATATGTTTGTTCAGTAAAGTTTAGTTCTAAAATATTTAATGAAGTGATGAATTAATGTACTAGGGTATTTTAAAAAATGGGGGTGGGATGAGAATGATTTAAATGTTATACACACCAAATACGTGTTTATGCAAATAGCCAGTTTCACATAATTTGGCATTTGTGCAAACCTGTGTATCTATACCAAACAGATAATCAGCAAAGGTTCTTATTCTGCTGATTTATTGAAATATTTTATTTCTGTCTTCTGTCTGTTTAGTGATAAGGTCTAATTATTTAGCTGTTTGTATTAACACATTTCGTGCATTGAAATAACATGCAATTAATATTGTAAAGACTTATTTAGAGAAAATAAAACAGACTAAATGAAGACAACCACATATTGACACAAGAATTAAGCTGATCCATTTCCCTAGATTAGTATGATACATTTCCTGGCATAATTGTGATCACATAAATATATGCAACATCAGAAACCTTCAACAGATAATGATTAGTCAGCCCTATATAGTCCAATGTGAGGATAAGATATTCTTGACACCTTATTTATTTAAACTATTTCTTTTTAGTCTGTTATATTAGATGGACAGAATAAGAAGTTAATCACTCTTAGACCCCATTCCCAGAGATTAGATCGATCCAAACTAGATTAACCTAACTCCCTGGGGGTTCACGCTAAATAGCTGTCAGCTGAGCGGGCATGAAAGTTAATTACCCCCTTACGGCTTGTAGTAGGCGGGACGGACATTTAAGCCGGATTATCTAACAGTAATCTAGTGAGACTCCCCAGGCCCCAGGGGGATAGATCGATCTAAAATCTATGGGAATACGCCCTTAAAAGTGTTAACCAGTGCCTAAATAATCTCTTTCTTCATAAGATTTGTTAAAACTTGATTCACTCTTGAGTCAGATTTTAAATGGAATTTTACATGCAAAATAAACTTTGGAATGCATGATAAAAAAGAGGACTAATATAATATATATCAGTTACAATGTTTAAAGAATAGATGCTGTAGATTAATAATGTAAAAACTGGTTGATCTTGCAGGTGTTGGTGGGTTCCTAAGATTCCAATCACAGAATGAAGTAAAAAGCAGCCATGAGTAAGTACACAAAGAGTCATACTAGTACTAGTAGATAAAAGATGGTCACTGTATTGTTATAGATAAAGGATAGTCACTGTATTGATTGATGTAATAATTTTAAATCTATGATTATGGTTAATACTTATGGCAGTACTAGTGTTCTTTCTGTAACAGAGAATTTGGTATTTATTGTTGAAAGATTCTAGACTTATTTTACCTAATGTTGGTTGATTCAGTGTCATCTAAAAAAAAGCAGATCACCAACTAGCCATAAATCAGATACACATAGAATTATACCCCAAATAATTGTTACTTTGGTCATTTATTGTACATTTGCCAGTCAATATCAGCTGCTATACTCTGTCCCATTAGCAAAAAAGTTATCAGTATCAGTGAAGAACCGTTAAATGTTATCTTAGACTCGAGTGGTGTATTGCATTAAATTGCCCACATTTTATCTAACATTGGCCTGTCAAGATGGCACAGATATTGGGTGGAGACCCATTACACGAGTTATGATGTACAATGATTCAGTGTGGAGAATGATATAATATACAGTGATTCAATGTGAAGACAGATAAAATGTATAGAGATTCATAGCTTTTGCTGAGATTGTGATGAGCATTATAAATATGTTATTTAATTAATATATCATGATTGGCCAAATTGTAACTTTGTCTCTTTTTCCAACTTGCAGCAGATTTAAATGAATATGAACTGCTCAAGAGGGCCGAGAAGGAAAGGGCAGAGATTGTGGCCAAGTATGACAAGGTAAGACATGAAATTCAGTAAAAAAAACAGGTGCAACTGGTTGATGGATGGAAAATGAGTGACTACTATGAGGGTTATTTAATTTATAGTAAACATGTCTTTTAAAGATGTGAGGGTTATTATCATTAATTACACGTTTAGAAATGATAGGTTCATGAAACCTAGTGATGGAATTATTGGACTCAAACTGCAATTTGTAAGACAGGTGGGCAATATGAAATTTATTTGAAATACTAGTAGGTATTTTATTGTCTCGTGTATTGTTTATAAAAAATAATTCAAATAATTTAATTGAGTCAGTCATGTGATCGAGACTCTTTCGTGAAGAGTGTTTTTAGAATAAAATGTTTTTTATCAATGTCAGAGTAGGTTTTAAGCATCTTTGTGATTTCATCATCTCTTGGACCTTTATTACTTTGTCACTGTTTACAGCCAATTTTAGAAGCCAATGATACACTCTGCACTTTTCGTCATTGATTGTGAGAAGGAGAGGGGTAGAAATTGATTTTTTGTTAAAGGAAATACATGTTTGGTAATTAAGTCTAAAATTAGACATCTAGGCTCAAAAAATGAAGTCTCTGGACAGCTGGCATATAACCTTTTTCACTTAATTAGATTTCTTCTCAAGTAGCAATTTCAGATTATACACAGAAGAGAAACGATATCTTATATTCGAATTGTGAATGCCTTTCTCACCCAGACCAATATAGACTAAAAGCAATCAGAAGCTAAAAAAGGCTCTGATAAACCTAACCATTGGAGCACCATACTTGTTATTTGGCAAAACGTGAGGGTTGTATGCATGTTAAGTACAGATTTTATCACATAAATGTGTGATGTTATGAACAAGTGTAGCATATTAATTAATTGTGTATAATTGTGTATATTTATGTACCTCTGTGTATAAAACATCTGTTTTTTTAGTCCATAGATTGTAATATTGATATTGTACATGAGGCAGATTAAAGGATACACATACAGTACATCTTTTTTTGGCAAACTTATATGTCATAACGAACAGGAAATTGTCACTGCATGATGCTCTCTGTATTTACTTATTGAAGACTGAACACAAGACCTACCTACTAGTTATTTATTCATGCTCCAAAGGAATTATTTCCAAAATAGTTTTTACCTTTAGTATGAGAGGCTCAGCTTACTAATCTCAATAAATTTAGGCAGGAACAGATGCAGATTAAAATAAGTCTTAAGCAAACGACTAGGCTTAAAAATTGAAGTCTGTAGACAGATGAAATATAACCTTTTCCATTTAATGGGATTTTGCTTTATGTAGCCATTTCAACTTATACCCAGAAGGAAAAACAGTAGTTTGTGTTGTTAATGCCATATGATAACCAAAAGGAAAACATGACTTTTGTGTCATACTTGTGATTTTTTTCCCTTTCCTTTGATCCCTAAGGCAAAATTAGAATGCATGTTTGCTAACAAGGGTTTTGCATTAGATTTAAACACATTTTTGTTCTGATACAAATGCAGCTTCAAGTAAAGATCCCTCAGATTTTCATTTTTATGTTGCCTTACACATGCCCATTAGTCTGTTTGCATCTTATTGATTCTACCTTGGGAATGTAACAGTCTGGTTCTTACATCATTCCTGTATGAAATCAAGAATTCACGATTACAATCCACAGTTCATGCTCACATGTAGTGCTTTGACCTTAGCCACTATAACCATACTATATCCAAGTCCAGGTAACCTTGTCCTAAGCTTCATATGTTTTTTAGTTATATATTATTCTTATATATATGTGTACAGTATAATTCTTGGATCATAATTGTTTTAAATTTACTAGTGCAAAGTTAGGTAAATGTGTGTGAATATGAGAGACCAAATGTTCCACTAGACAATCTGAACTTCAGTATAATACAATGGACTTTACATTCTAGTTCTAAAGTCTTTTGTGATATGAATGCATTAGCTTGTTCACATGTTTATGTTTGATGAAATATGTCAAATGGTCAACAGTAAAAGGACATTTATAAAATGGAGAAGATGAAAAGATAATTACCATTCATCTTCTGCCATGATGCTTTTCGCAGCTCTGATTTGAATTTAACAGTCAGTGAGAAAACAAACTTGAAATGTTAGTTGTTTCATCATGGAAATTGTTCTTCTTCAAGAAGAAGTTTACTTGAATATGTAATGTTTTGAAAGAATGTTATACTAGTATTCAAGCTGGGACTTTTGTGTGCATGATTCTAATTGATATGTTTTTTAAGGTTCATCAGATAGAGGTAAATGTGATGAAAAAATGGCCTACTTTGAAATAAAATACTAGTAACAAAATGACATTTAGATGGTGTGGATTATTTTGTACATTATAACAGCTGATGTGTTTTTTTTTTCCTAGGGTCGTGAGGAAGGTGCAGATATCGACCCTTGGGAAGATCCAGCCTTTGAAGTGTACCATGTAACAGATAGATATGGATTTATTCAGTGAGTATTAGATTGCATAGAAAATGAACTGCTGTACACATCATACTAATTAAATCACAGTACAGTAATTGTGGGAGATTCAGCATGCTAGCTTATTAGTACACTGGTATTTTTTCTCTCCCTTAGCATAATTTCCTTGAAATATGTAGATGTGAACGTTTAAACCAATTGCCTTGTTCACATAAAGATGAACTCCTGCATAAAACTGACAGTCCAGTAACGATTCAGTTCCTCACATAGGCCCGTATTGTCCACTACAAAAGATTTTTTCTCCTGGAAATGACTAAACTATAAGTCATATAATTCCTGTAGTGTTGAGGTAGCACTATTGATCACAGTATGTACATTTGAAAGGGTAATTTAATTTGAAATGTAAAAGCTGGGCTTTACGAGAGGAAGACGCAAGAATCAAGGTAGTATTGATTTTTTTGTTCAGGGGGGTCAGTGTNAGTATGAGAGGCTCAGCTTACTAATCTCAATAAATTTAGGCAGGAACAGATGCAGATTAAAATAAGTCTTAAGCAAACGACTAGGCTTAAAAATTGAAGTCTGTAGACAGATGAAATATAACCTTTTCCATTTAATGGGATTTTGCTTTATGTAGCCATTTCAACTTATACCCAGAAGGAAAAACAGTAGTTTGTGTTGTTAATGCCATATGATAACCAAAAGGAAAACATGACTTTTGTGTCATACTTGTGATTTTTTTCCCTTTCCTTTGATCCCTAAGGCAAAATTAGAATGCATGTTTGCTAACAAGGGTTTTGCATTAGATTTAAACACATTTTTGTTCTGATACAAATGCAGCTTCAAGTAAAGATCCCTCAGATTTTCATTTTTATGTTGCCTTACACATGCCCATTAGTCTGTTTGCATCTTATTGATTCTACCTTGGGAATGTAACAGTCTGGTTCTTACATCATTCCTGTATGAAATCAAGAATTCACGATTACAATCCACAGTTCATGCTCACATGTAGTGCTTTGACCTTAGCCACTATAACCATACTATATCCAAGTCCAGGTAACCTTGTCCTAAGCTTCATATGTTTTTTAGTTATATATTATTCTTATATATATGTGTACAGTATAATTCTTGGATCATAATTGTTTTAAATTTACTAGTGCAAAGTTAGGTAAATGTGTGTGAATATGAGAGACCAAATGTTCCACTAGACAATCTGAACTTCAGTATAATACAATGGACTTTACATTCTAGTTCTAAAGTCTTTTGTGATATGAATGCATTAGCTTGTTCACATGTTTATGTTTGATGAAATATGTCAAATGGTCAACAGTAAAAGGACATTTATAAAATGGAGAAGATGAAAAGATAATTACCATTCATCTTCTGCCATGATGCTTTTCGCAGCTCTGATTTGAATTTAACAGTCAGTGAGAAAACAAACTTGAAATGTTAGTTGTTTCATCATGGAAATTGTTCTTCTTCAAGAAGAAGTTTACTTGAATATGTAATGTTTTGAAAGAATGTTATACTAGTATTCAAGCTGGGACTTTTGTGTGCATGATTCTAATTGATATGTTTTTTAAGGTTCATCAGATAGAGGTAAATGTGATGAAAAAATGGCCTACTTTGAAATAAAATACTAGTAACAAAATGACATTTAGATGGTGTGGATTATTTTGTACATTATAACAGCTGATGTGTTTTTTTTTTCCTAGGGTCGTGAGGAAGGTGCAGATATCGACCCTTGGGAAGATCCAGCCTTTGAAGTGTACCATGTAACAGATAGATATGGATTTATTCAGTGAGTATTAGATTGCATAGAAAATGAACTGCTGTACACATCATACTAATTAAATCACAGTACAGTAATTGTGGGAGATTCAGCATGCTAGCTTATTAGTACACTGGTATTTTTTCTCTCCCTTAGCATAATTTCCTTGAAATATGTAGATGTGAACGTTTAAACCAATTGCCTTGTTCACATGAAGATGAACTCCTGCATAAAACTGACAGTCCAGTAACGATTCAGTTCCTCACATAGGCCCGTATTGTCCACTACAAAAGATTTTTTCTCCTGGAAATGACTAAACTATACANTAGACATTGCATGTGAACGAAGCCTTAGTCATATAATTCCGGTAGTGTTGAGGTAGCACTATTGATCACAGTATGTACATTTGAAAGGGTAATTTAATTTGAAATGTAAAAGCTGGGCTTTACGAGAGGAAGACGCAAGAATCAAGGTAGTATTGATTTTTTTGTTCAGGGGGGTCAGTGTAAGTCATCAATCAATACATGGCACCCAAAAGCAGGCCAAAAAAATCTGTGCAGAAAGCTACATTTGCAAGACATGTCAAGAGTAAGGTATAAGTGCCCCCTTGTGCTATGTGGAGGTATATAACCAGGTATCTGATTGCTAATAGGAGTGTGTAGAGCTGAAGTAGATGTGATGGTCTAGAGTAAGGTATCTTGGCCCTAGGCTAGGCATATGACTGAAATCAAATTTCAGCCCTCTGGCTTCAGCATTTCTGTTGAAATGACTGGAATATGGACATTGGAATCCCGATTAAACGGTTTTCTCCTTTTCATATTTTTGTGTTCAGAAAGAAGATTGCTATTTACACTTTGTATTTATACATTATGTATCGCCAGTTTCCCTGCTTCAGATTAAAGTAGGGACTTAGAATACGATCAAAGCACTTGAAACATTTATCAAAAGATACTTGTTTCTGTTTACTGAAAGCCACATTTGGCTTTGAATTTAGTTGCCTGCTCTGAGCTTTGCACTGAGACTCAGTATGATATAGAATTTATTGCAAAGGGCACCTGTTGGGAAATCAGTTTATTAAGATTAAAGAAAATTCTGCTGTTTTGACCTTTTAGCAAGGGGTGGATATTAATATCAAGTTTGCCCTTAGAATTATTGATAACTGTTAATTTAGTTTTAATTGACATTATCACAGAGCTTTTTTAGAATCACAATAAATGTCACATATTGTGCTTTATCACCTGCGATAATAATGGAAGTGATAAAAGTATGTTAACTTTGGCAGTAATGCTACTGGCTTGAAAAACTACTTCGGTATCAGTTGTTAGCTATCATAGTAATATGCATTCCCAACGTTAATGTAGTTCTGCACATCAACTGATTGATACTCTGAGTCCCAGTGAACTGAGATGATTTCAGAGTTTTTGGATCAGTTCCAGGCATTTCCTGAAACTTGAATGTCAAAGTCAGCATGCACTGTGTGCTGTTTACACAAGCTAACTAGCATACCTACTGCTCAGACTTGGAAAACTTGGAGAAACCATTAGCTTATAAGTTATCTGTTTTATGCATGAATTTTCCTCTCTCTTTACTTTCCTCAGTCTTTTTATCTATCTCGACATATTGATACACAAAATAGAAAACTAACTCTCTCTCTCTCTTGATCAAATGAATCTGTTTGACCATGAAAGTTGTTTGAATTGTTGTTTGTTGACATTTAATGCTTATAAATTAAGTTTGAAGCCAACAGCAGCTGGATTTCAACCTTTGATCATTTAAACAGAAAGAAATATTCAGAATGATGTTGCTTTATCTTTTATATTATTAACAAAAGCTTCTTTGTAGCATTAGACAAGCTGCATTTATCCATGTACACATCAAGCAGTACTCTATTAGACTTTCATTTCAGAATTAACAAAACACATTATCAGACTTTGTGAGTAATTTGTCAAATCTCAGTCATAGACCAAAACTGACAAAAAGTAGTCAGCTTGTGTGTAAAATGCTTCTGTGTGGAACAGACTAATATCACACAAGTTATAGAGTTATGGCCAGCATCAAGGTGTATGCTATTGGTAAGCCAATATATAACACTTAGAGTCACTTATATCAAGGCAGCAGATGGATGGTAGGTTTATCTTAGAGAGTTAATGCTGCTCTGATCTTCCTTGGAAGCCGGGAAATATACCTGCAGGGAACTTTTCCCCCAATTTGGACATCTGCCTTGTACTGAATATTGCTTTAGAAATCAGAAAAGCAGGTGTTCAGATTTAAGACTTTACCTTGTCCCCCCAACCAGGTTACTAGTATGGTGGCTGTGATAATTTTAACTGTGTAAAAGAGATTCTGGATGACGTTTGTTATAGAGGCCATTCAGACCAAGTTGATCCGCAGACTAACAGATCCACAGAGTAAAAATGGCCGACTCACTTAAAAGCAGTGCCAACCAATTCCATGATGGCGTCTCTGCCTCCGTATGCGCCATCGCTACAGGGGCCTTGCAATTTGATGGCGGATCTGGGATTTAATAAATTTGATGGCACTTGTGGAGGCAGGGAGACCATCAGAAGATTAAGCGGGCACTGCTTTGAAGTTTGGTCAGCCATATTTAGACGGTGGATCAGTAAGTCTACTCTGAATGGTGTCATAGACCCACTAGTATGTGAAATAAGCAGTCACTCCCTCTTTCCCAAATTGTGTACTTAACCTATATTTTATTCTTTCCTACTCTTAAAATTTTTTTTTTCTTCTTGAAGAATAATACCATAATTTAAATCACTCTATTTTATTTTAGTGATCAAAGGCTGCCAAGGAAGAGAGATGCTGTGGAACAAAAGGTTAGTAGATGACATTATATTTAATGCATTTGTTTTTCTTTTTTGTGTGAATAAGGTAGAATTTCTGAATTGATGTCTTGACACGCTTGATAAAAACGAGTTTTTGATATGATAGGTTCTTCAGCAAGAGCTGGAAAGGACCCCCAAATGGCTGAAAATGATAGGAAAATATAGGAAATACCTGGGAACAGAAAAGGTAAGAAAACTAAGTATTTACAATAACCTTAATTTTGGATTTTAAATTTAGTATAACATAAATAACACACTTGGTGGTTATCTATTCTGAATTCAGTGGCTGTTTTGTTCCCCGTATTGAAAGTGTGTTTTTGTACAATAGAAATTATTCTTGTAGAGATAATATTTTTATTTATTATACAATAACAGGATATTGTCCATTTTCTATTGGTTTTGTTTGAAAAAATGAAAATACAGATGCAATCTAGCTTTATCAGCATTGAGAAAACTAAGCCCTTGGATAAGACTATAAATTACCTGTACATCAGTTATACTGCGCTTAGGTGCTGAATTGAAACATTGGTTAGAGCAAAATGGATGACAAATAGCACCCAGGTGTATTTTAGTCTGTTTAATCAGAAGTGAAATACATGCTTTTGATATCTTTTAGCAGTAATTCAGAATTACCCAAGAAAATTGCTTATTTATTAGGTCATTAGACCAATAGGCTGAAAAGTAATCCTCAGATCTAGAGTTTTAGTAGTTCCAACATGTTCATGATTGATGTTCCGATTTTCTAGAAGCAGAGTGTACCCTATTTGAATTCTTCTTAGGTCAGATATACTATTCCACAACATTCATTCAGCTGATCAGTATTCACTTACTAGTAGTTCATTTGCTGTGTTGGGTTAATGACCTACACAATGACTGTAGTAGATACATGATATGATATTCACAAGAGGGGGGGGAGGGGCTTTCACAAAAGAAATTAGGAGTGAAAGTTGATATTAAAATTAAGGCTGGAAAATTTAGTCTCCCTATAGAATAAATTTGTGGTAGATTGCTTTATCATGGTAATTGTATCAAGCATTAGCCTTTTTTTATTTTGAAAAAAAAAAAAAGAAAAAGAAATGGTAGAATATTTCATTAATTGAAAAGCTTATTTAGGTGGGCTGAGTTAAAGTAGACCCAAAACTTTTGTTCTTGAGTTTTATAACATCAGTCAGCGTTCAGTTATTTTTGTGAGACATGCTGCTAGAGTGGAAGAATATTATAGTTATATGGACATATCCCCAGTGATTTTCTGCAAAAAAGGCAAAGCAAAGAAGTTTCAGGTCATGTGGCATTACATGCTAATCCTCTTTGTATTGGGTGGAACTTTCATTTTTTTCCATCACCTGGGGACTGTGTTCAGTTAAGTGTCTAACATTAACTCCTGTCATCATACTCATTATTGATGTTACAGTTTTTAAACGCATGCTGGTATCTTAAAATCTAAATTATTCAAGAAGTAAGGAGAATTACATTAGGTTGGCAGGGAAATGAAGATATTCAACCAAACATAGAACAATAGTATCCACTGCTGGGGTAGCGCTAACACTCGCCAATTTAGCCAAATGCTACAACTGACTTAAATTGGCTAAACAAAAAGGACTTGATTTGACTAATTTTAGTCAAATTAAAACCAATTGGATAACAAATTGACAAAAAAGTGGTGATTTGGCTAAGTGAAAAAAATTGCTAGCGCTACCCCAGCACTGTAATATCAACTATAATATGATATTGTTACAGAATTTCCAAAAACCACACCCATCTTTTAACACGGTGACTTTGGATTCACCCTCTAGACACAAAATCTAGTCTAAATGGTATCATTTCAGTTTGTGCGGAGGATTTATAAAGGAATCCCACAAAAGCTGAGGGGAGAAATGTGGTGTAGGCTGCTGAATGTACATGCCCTGAAGAAAGAACAACCAGGAGTCTATGAGGTAAGTGAATTCTTTTACTAAAAAAAATGTTCAGACACACCCTCCAGTCTGTTTGAATCGATTTATATTTCCAGCAACAAAGAGTGAATTATGGGTGTGGAATACTCCCTAAAAGGGAAGTTGATTGTTATCCCTTATCCGTTTTCCTCTAATTGCAAGTCATATTATACCTATCAGTTATAAAACTTACTTTTTTGGAGTGGAAAAAGAAATGTTCCCTCATGTTTTTGGATCCTGGCAGAAGATTCATATTCAGCTCAGCTCTTTTCTGGGTTCTGAATATCAAAAGCCTTCTCTTTGTTATTTTATATGTAAAGTTGATAAAAATATCCATACTAGTATTTATATTTAATTTCAATTTGAAGAATTTAGTTGTTTGCATACTTAAACTTGGTTTGACACATTATCATTGATTCTACTTTTACAGAAAATGAAGGAAAGGGCTCGAAAAAGGTCTCCAGATATCCGCCAGATAGATTTGGATGTAAACAGAACTTACAGGAACCATATCATGTTCAGGGAGCGCTATGGAGTAAAGTAAGCAATATGTTGGGGAATATAGATGAACCAGAAATATACATATGACACTTGTATTGTTATACAGACTGTGTTGATTGAGCATAATGAAAGTATGATTCAATTTATCCTAGATAACAATAAATTAATGAAGTTTTATAAACCTAATTATTAGGTTCTGCTATTAGGCTGAGAAAGTTATTTTTTTCAGGAGGCACTTATGACACTTTGATCACTTATAGTATTTTTCAAAATAAACCCACATTCTTGATAGATAATGCTTTGAAGAAAGAGAGAGAGATTTTTGTTCTTTGTCTTGTAGGCAACAGGCTTTATTCCATGTGTTAGCTGCATACTCCACTTACAACACTGAAGTCGGATACTGCCAGGGGATGAGCCAAATAGCTGCACTTTTACTGATGTACTTAAATGAAGAGGTTGGTTGTGGATATATATGTGCACACCCAAACATGCATAAACACACACACACACACACATCTGTGTTGTAAGACAAATTATTCTTTAACTAATCCTGTTATTACTAGATTAACAATGCTGTTGTGAAGATTAAATGACTAAAGACTATGTCAAAAGATTATAGGCAACAGAATCTATTTAATAGAGTATTTTGCACCAATAAACTGACTGCTATGCCTTTGAAATGCTAATACAGATTGTACTTTATGAAGTTTACACATGCTCCTTGGCCCTTGGATACATTAAGTTTTTCCACAAATAAATTTCAGCCTTACAAAATAATTAAATTAACTGTTGGATTAATGGTGTGAAAGTTTTTGAAAGAAGAAAAGTTCCAAGAGTTACTCTTTATATTTCAGGATGCCTTTTGGGGTCTTTCAGCTCTGTTAACTGATAGAAAACATGGCATGCATGGTAAGGAAAAACTCTTATTATTGTTTACATTTCCCCGAATAACAGATATAATAAGTGATATGGAAAAAAAATTATGAGAAAAAAGATCCACACTATTCAATTGGATCCTCACTCCATAGGTGGATGGTTTTAATGTTAAAGGTAGTCCTCAGTGATTTATACTTGCCCAAATTCATTAGCTTATTTTTTTCCTAGGTATTTTTATTCCTGGTTTTCCGAAGTTGAAAAGATTCCAAGATCATCATGACAAGATATTGTCAAAATATCTTCCAAAGGTCAAGAAACATCTGGTAAGAGACACATCTATGGTAAACCAATGCTACTTCATAGATATGTTGCAACATTTCAAACGCTTAATGGATCCTACCTTGTTGATTTATAAAATTGCACATGTTCACAAGACGTGAGCCTAAAATCTTTATATTTTCAGGACCGGAATGATCTCTATGTCTCTCTCTACACCATCAAGTGGTATATGCAGTGCTTCCTTGACAGAGTAAGTTTTCTTTGATTGTTTTTATACATTGTTTTCTTTGCTTCTTCTGCTTCTCCCAATATTGAAACAATAACTACCACTTTCAGTGATGGTTTCATTCATTAAGTTTGGCATTTCTAACACAAATACACTGAAATATTTAAAGACATAAGAAAATGTATTAAAATTATATATATTAAAGGTGCCAACACACCAGAAATACTAGAAATCAAAGGCAGATTTTCACCAATATTTTTTTAAAAGCAATAAAGATGGGTGTCAAATGCGAAGTTAAATTTTAGGTCACACGCATTAATCTTCGGAGCCCTTATGCTATTTTCTTTTTAATTTATAAATACAGTAAATTACCCACTTCAGTGTAAAAGTATTTTTTATGAATTTGTATTGAAAGAAAATTTATATTGACCTTAGGGTGGCATATTTATATGATTTGACTTTGTGCTTTCAGGTTCCTTTTACACTAGTGCTGCGTTTGTGGGATGCATACATCTTTGATGGAGAACGGGTTCTTGTAGCCATGTCATACTGTTTGCTGAAGATCCACAAAAGTAAGTGCTACCTTATAAGATCAGTAATGAGTTGGAAGTGATTCGGTGTGAAATATGGGGAAAAGATTCAGATTATAAGCAAGTAACTTATAAAGTAAGTTTATAAGTTAAGTAAAGTAATAATAAAGTAAGCATTATGCACCACATATTCAGTTCATGATTCAAGTTTTGAATAAGAAATTAATTTATGATACCAGCATAACTTTTTACTTATCAGAGCAGATGGTATGAATGTGTTTCTGTTATCTTTTCAATCAGGAAGAATCTTAAAGATGAAGATGGAGGACTTAGTGCAATTCTTTCAAGGAAGTTTAGAGAAAGAATTTGGCTTTGATGATGACATTGTGATGGAAAATTTGCAAATATGTATGGAGGAATTGAGAAGAGCCAACATGGACCTTCCGCCCAAACCTAAAGACAATTCTGAGCTTCCAAAACTACCGTTTGGGCTGGACATCAAACCCAGTGTGGACCAAATCATAGGCAGACGTGACTCTCAGGACCACAGAGCAGACGTCATCACCAATGCAGACAGGAAACTGGAGGGAAGTGTCAGAATGAAGAGATTTCAGAAACACAAACTGGCAGCTGCTAGCCGAGAGAGCTCGGTTCCCCCTGATGACGACACACGCTCAGATTACACCATGACAGCATCACGCGCCTCGCTGGCAGAGGGCTTCACGTCTAGGGCCTCCATGGCAAACACTTCACGCACATCGTATTATGATGGTTCTGACATCGATTGGGAGAGTCAAGATCACGATGACACTTTCACTGATTACTCACCAAACCAACCCAATGGGGACATTGGGTTTATTTCGGGAGAGGGGTCAGGGCAGGATGGACAGAGGTCACAGTCACGAAGTCCAGAGGACCAGTCCTTTCAGACTGCACTTACGGTCCAAGTGGTCAAGCAGCATAGTCATGTTGTCCAGCAGGTTGACCCTGTATCTTCTCATTCATCTCACAGTCAGGGATATATGTATGATCACTACCATTCTCCTTCACCACCTCTCGCATCTCCAAATGATGGCGGTCGAACAGAGCTCCCGGTCAGTCATACCAAGACCCCTTCTGACTATGATAATCAACCCTCTGGAGGGAGTTCTCCACAAGCAGGAACATACATCCATGTTGGATATCCTGTGAAGAAACAGTCTCCAAATGGAGATAATTCTTACACCACAGACATTATGAAAAAGGAGTTTCGGTCTGAGTATAAAATTGAACGTAAACCGTCAAACTCTTGGGAGCGACCGGTATCTTGGCACCCTGCCAGCATGCCACGGTCCTCATCAACATCGTATCGAGAACAGGAAAATGTTCAGCACACCAAGATCATCAACCAGAAGATTGAGTACAGGGCTTCCATGTCTTCTGGGTACGACAGTTACAATAACACTTATGAAGATGAAATGGAGCGATCACTGGAGAGTCTGGGGGTTATAGACAACAGTCCTAATGGCAATCCATGGGAAAATGATGTTATACAGTATAAACAGGGAGTAGCGGTGATTAAACTAAATGGCCATGGTGAGTCGCCAGGCAGGCGGCGGCACCAGGAAAGTAAGGAAAGGAGAGGGGAGATGTCACCTAGAGCCAGAAGTTCAAGGTCACCAACCTCTCCCAAGAAACCACCAATCTCACCGAAACGTGGACAGCCAAAATACAAGGAAAACCAACATCCAGTGTATATATGATAGTGGTGTGAGAGCAACTTTCCTATTATGCAGAAACATTTTATTGGTACAGATATACTGATTAAGAGGTATATTTGATTTTTTTAACAGTTAAACTTTAAGAAGATCTTTCAACTAATTTTAATGACTAATTTGTAATCTTTTTAACACCCAAAATGTAGTGTCTGATAAAGTTTACATGGATATGTAACATTTGAATGCTACAGCAATGTTTTATCTTACCATATAGTCTTTCCCAAGTTTGAAATCTTCAGGTGATGAATTTAGATGAGTGCAATGTGTCACATTTTTTCCTTGCCAGATAATTTATAACAATGGAAAATTCTAATGATAACACGGGACAGGGACAGGCATCACATAAAATTAAGGAAAATGGAAACTGGTCTTTGTAATCAGTGGTTAGAAAATTTGTTGGTTTTCACTGATATTTGTGTGTATTAGTCGAAGAAGGTTGGTGTTTAATGTATTCATTTAAAAAGAAATTGTAAATAAATAATAATTGTACTTACGTGTACATAGTGCTTAAATAACAAGATAATAGGCACACCAATAATGCATTTTAAATTCAGATTTTGTTAACTGCTGAAATATTGTAGATATTTGCTGTGTAATTTATGATGGTTGTTAGTATTCTTATTGAGTCACATGTTTACTATGACAGTGTAAGTCTTACGCCAGTGAATGTTGTATGGCCAGATGTATTCAAAACTAAATGAAAATTTAACACTGCCATGAAAAAAAAACTGACTTGATGTACAATAACATTCATTTTCTGAAATATGATTACTAGTGATGTGGCTATATGGGGGTCATTAGAGCAGTATGTTGTACTGAGTGCCCTTAATTATGTACATTTTAAAAAGATACAATTTTATTCAGTCAATTAACACTAAAAGAAAATATTAATTTCAGGTTTTAGCATGTTATGAATGAGGCAATATTACCTTATGATATTTTTCTTTGTTAATTTAAACAAGTGGTCTTTGCATAAACCACCATTATACAAAAAAAAGAGAAAATTTTTAGATACAACAATTGTGTAATATCATATAAAACTGATGCTTTGGGGAGGAGGAACTTGTACAGTAGAAATTGAGCATTTGAATCCTTTTGGTAGTTGCAGTTTCTTTGCTTTTCTCTGCAAACCTAATTTGCCCCCTGTTGTTTAATGGGAAGTGTCATCAGAGTGAATTGTCACTTGCTAGATGACAGGTCTCGATAAATTAATAATTCTGCTCAACATTTTAACAGGGCGTTTGTCCCCTGCGGATAATTAGTGCTGATAGAGAGTGAGATTAAGGGCTTCAAGCTGTTGTTTTACTGGCTTTACCAATCAAAAGTATTACCAAGGATGTGACATATTTTTAATGTCCAACCAGAAGATGGGGTGACATGGTCAGCTACTGCTGATTGCCCTGCTACAAACTAAAAGTGCAAATACTCTGCTTTTCTTTGCCTGCAAGATATTTACCACCTAGGTAATAAATAAAGGATAAATAACCAATATAATGTATTTTTATTCTTATTTGTAATTTTCTATATATCTAGTTTATATAATAACCATCTGTATCTACATGATTCGAAAACTTTTCAATATGTAGCAACGCATCTTCAATCTTTTAGTATCATATACTTCATGTTTCGAATGTCTATTCGTGTTTGTTCACAGTTGCATTAAACTGTGTTAAAATAATATTTATCAGGATGGAAGATCACTTAATGCAATGAGCCCCATGAATACCCACTGAGCAGTCAACAACCTTCCAAGTTGTGAGGCCAACTTGATAAAAAGTTTGGGGTCTGTTTAATTATAAAACTTGAGACTGAAAATTTACCTCACTTTAAAGACCACTTTGACTCAAATCAATAGTTGTGTGCTTCAACAAAATATTGAATCTATTCTATAAAAAGAATCGATTGGCTGTTTTCAAAGCCAACAGTTACTTGTTTTAGTTGACTACTGCAGATTTTTCCTGTAATGAAGTTGACTTTTGGACTTCAATTCTTTCGTGAAACCAGCCCATGGAATGACAGATTCATAGATGTCACCATAAAGCAACAAGGTCTCATCTCCAGCTCTGCCCTGCTCTCCAACCTTGTCTTAACCATGTCAATTGTCAAGAAGATGAATATAATCAACCTTTACCAAAGACAATAATAGCTGAATTTTGCTGTGAAATTCTTTGTATGTTACTAAATTAGATGGTAAATTGGAAGTTTTCAAAAACTGAAACTTCATATGAGTATCAGCTGTGGGGCAGATATACTTAATATAATTTGACAAATGTGCTTATCTGACATCAGACATCAAATTTTTCCTCGCATATTTCCTGTCCATGTTCTTCAAACTCTGCCTTTGTTACCACCATTTTCTTGAACTGAGGATCTTGTGCCAGTGCTGCACCACCCTCCCAGCTGAATGTAATGGGACTGAAAAAAGTTGAAAAGAGAACCTTTCATACTTTAGGAAAATGTAGCTGAATACATAATACAAACCTTGTTTGCATCTAGTCAAATCATTGTGAAAATACAAATTTATTGTTGATACAAGGACAGCACGAGTAAACTTTCTTCTAATAGGTGAGAAGCACCTAGCTTTCAATATATTTGTGAAGACGAATGAGACTAACTTGTTTGGTTGAGTGACATTCACTTCATAATCAGCTGGTGTTAATGATCGTACATCTTGGTACCTGTAAATGATATGAACACATGAAATTTCTGTTATTTTCAATTTCACAAATAAGAAAAAAAACTAATTCTTTCATTCTAAACCTTATTTCATTCTAAATCATTTTTATAAAAAAATACTTTATAATATTACTTTAATTTAATACACCATCAAAAAGAAGATTTTATATCTAAAATTATTTACACTCTGTCTTTGAATCCTGGAAGCATGCAGTTTCCTCCTGTCAGCACAATGTTCCGGAGTAAATGTGGCTGCATCTCTGAAAAAATAAGAAAAAAAAGTAAAACATCCATCTATCATTGATATATAGATGCATTTTTCATTTTGAAACATGCAAAGAAGACAAAAACAATTATTTCCACCTAGTTGTTAGAACTTATTTATAGTATTGAATAATTCTGCATATACAGATATACTGAATAATTATCAAACCTCTCTGTATCATAAACTTGCCTTCAGGTGCTAACTTGACCACATAGCTTATTGCCTCAGAAATTCCCATTTCCTGAATACCAACATCAGATGGGTGGAAGAGTATCTCTGGCACAGCAAACCTTTCATTGTTCATTCGTATTATCTGAAATCACACAAGACATAAAATACATCAGTTGTCAATATTACAGCTACAAATCTCAGTTTTTATGTTTATGCTAGCTAGAAAATCTCACTAAAAAAACATTCAATATTCTAAATGACCCATATTCAGCAAAACAAGTGAGACCAATTCTTATTTACACTTATTTTTCTTCTAAAAACTAACCTGCTCTGATCCCTTTGCCTTCCCAGTGCTCTCTTCTCTAGTTTTGGCATAGCCTCTTTTTATGTGTGTGTAATCTGGCAGAACGTAATCACATGTGACGGTGTTATCAGCCCCCTTTTTCCTGCAAGTATTATTTCAGGCAAGCTTTTTCAATTATATGAAAATTTTATCATCTACATACAAAAACGGTTGAGAAATGCATCTAGACCTACTGTGTAGCATGTAAAATTAAATTTCAGCCCTCTCATATAAAAAAATATTTAAACAATTATCATGGTTCACAATACTTTCCAGTAAAAAATTGATCTAATCACTTGTTTTTATAATGTTTTTGTTGAAAAAGAGGAAGGGACTGGCAATGGTATTTCCTTAGCAGCTATACATATTTTCATTCTATGAATTATTCACATCTGAATCTTGTTGAAAATGAAAAAGGAAATGCTAAGCTGACCTTGCTATATCCATATCCTTCTGAAATTGTGTTGACACGTAGCAAACATCTTCCTTCATCTGGTTGATGACATATGTCTCATCCATTACCATGAGTTGCCTATATTAGGAACAAATTGTGATTCATAAAATTAAAATTAAAATTTTTGTTCTACTTCTAATCATATCAGCCTTTACCACACTTACAACGACCTAAAAAATTCACCTTACCTGTATGATATAATTTCCTTCAGGTGATTTGTTAATATTTTTCCACCAACATTTGTCCTGCAACAAAAAACACAAGAGTAAATAATGTACCCAGTCATTATCAGAATCAATCCATATCATAAGTTTTACATGTATTTAGGCACTCACTTAAATCTTCATAAAATATGTCATAGAGTTCATAGATGCACAAAGATGTCTTTATGTAAATATTCTTATATGCAAATTAAACCAAGTAAAGGACTGACTTCTATTGTACAAAACCTACCTTTTTGTTGCACTTTTTATTTTTTTCCCATTGTGATATGGAACAATGTGACTAAATGAATATCCTGAGTCGACCACCAGACTGCAGAGATGTTTCTCAGAAAGACTCTTTTGGTGTTTGTACTGACTTAAAAAAGCAGCTAAAATAGCAAACAAACATCAGCTTTAACAATTTTTCACTTTTTAGGGCATGTAAGTTTTAATTACAACATATGTCAAAGGTTAAACTGTCAATTCATTAAAATTTCTCTATAAATCTTTGACTTCGAGAAAGAAGCTTGAAACACTACTCACGATTAGTTCTGTAAATATACTGAAACCCATATTCTTCAAAGAAAATTTCATTGAGAGATTCTTGAATGGAGGCAAAGTTGAAATATGGCTCAGTAAAAATAAGGCCTGTGTTATCAAAATCAACCTGAAATAAATATATTGCAAAATTAATTTATATAATATGAAATTTCAACCTATCACTATACATAATTAACTTTGTACAATGTGCTGAAACAAACATGGAGTGCATTTTTTAAAAACTTATTATTACTATTATTATTATTATTAAATAATACTTAGTGCCAAATGTACAACAATGTGTGAAGAAAAACAGACCTTCCGTGCAAAAACCAAAATGCAAGGTAAAATTTAAATACTATCAAACATCTATTTTAATGAGCAAAGTCTAGGGATACAAAAAATTAATTCTGTAAAATACAGATTGAAACAAGATTACTGCAATGATAAATAGTTACCTTCATACACTCCTTGCCAAACACATGGTCCCATATTTGATGCTCTACTTCCCAGTTAACCAAGTAACCCTGCAAATGGGGAAAACATTTAATTTTCATATAACTGTTTTCTCTCAAGGATAATTTTTATTTCATAAGACAAATAGAACAGTCTGAGAGTGCATTCTCAACAGGGGACTAACAGATCTTGGATCAAATATGGCCAACCCACTTGAATGCTTGTTGCATAATCCATGCAGGGAATATATTCAGTGTCTAATTGGGAATAAGCAGCAAGGTTTGTAATGGTTCGCCATATAAAATTATTTGTTCCGCGGATCTGTGGGTCGGCTGTTCTGAATGTGCTCTGAGTATACCAGTATAAGCACAGTATAACGATTTCAGTGAACCACACTGAGATGATAATACCTGTTGTCAGCTAAAAAAAATCTTTCCGAACATTTCAACTCTATATAAAGATGTAAAACATGGTAGGTATACAGTACCTTTTGTGATGGTAGAATATAGAAAAGACCTGACAAGTCTTTGCAGTCTTCAATTTGATCCCCAATGAATATCCTTGTCCTTACATTCCTTGCTTTTGTAATGCAGTTTGGTATGATTCTATAAAGTATAAAAGCATTCACATAGAGAAAAAAATATATAGTATGAAGAATCAAGTAACATGCTAAAGAGAAAAGTTTGAGGATGATTATACAGCTAGCATTATTTATTCCATCTGCCTTATTTTTCCCTTTCCCCGCCAACATAAAAAGATAGAATAATTACTGCAATAATAATAATAATAATAATAATAATAATAATAATAATAATAATACATTCTTTTATGAAACATTCCATAAAAATATAAATGTGGTTTACTGAATATATCTGACGTTTTTCAAAACACTGATAATAAAACAATAAAATGACACTGACAATAAAAAAGAACACAAATAAAACTTTTTAAACAGCAATATTACATTGCAGGTTTGAAAATAGCATTTTTTAGAAAATCCTCACACATCTTGAATAAAAGATGTGTTTCGATCCAGTTAAGTTTTAAAAGAGTCGGTAATTTTTTCTTGTACTTCTCGTTTATGGCAGATTATTCTGACTCGCCAGAACATGTGCACCTGGGGGGGGGGGGGGGGGGGTTAACTCAAAATAATTTAAACAACTCTTTAACGTTATGGCCAGGCTTTTAAGATCGTCTTTCAAAGTGGGGCGTAACAGAAAATGTACCGCGCATAATGCCATAAAGAAAATCCCTTCAGTGCCAGTGCGGCAGTGGCTTAGAAACTCTGGGCAAACAACTCTATATATCTTTGGTCTATCTCGTCATACAGCACATTTATATACATAGTAATATACATATAACACAGCAACCCTTTAAAACTCTCAGTATTGACTTACTTTGGAGAAACTGCAGTGGAATACCCCACTTTGGCGCTGTACGCGCCGTTGTCCATGACAAGCACCGCCATGCTTGTTGTTGTTAGTGGATAATTAATGACGTAAACAACAGAATCATTCTTTATTCATAATTTCCAAATCAGTGGTGTATAACTGCAAAGGTATGTGATTTTCACATTACTTTACTCACTAAAATGTTACTTTTAAAGGCTCAATATTTGGGCATTGATATAATTGCTTGTCGTAAAAGTACATTTCTTTTTGCGTCACTTCCTGTGATTAGTTGCCAGGCTCTTTGTACACAATAATGGCAGGCACCTGTTCGGTAGCTACTGATTAAATTACAGTAAATTGCTGCTCGTTGCGCAGTTATAAATTGTAAGTAAAGGGTTTTACCGTTTTTAAGACTATATTTATTGTTAAAAAAATTGTAAAACCGCGTAGTATCTACGCAAAAAGGAGCTAACTTTGTTATAAATCTCGGTTACAGGTGCCAGGCTTCAGTGAAAGCCAACACGATGTAATTTAGTGGTGAAGACAAGCCAATATGATGAGCATTGACCAGCCCGGTGCCTGGCAATGGCGTGGTCTCGGTGGCGGTCATGCAACGATGGTATCCGTGGAGTTTGACCGCCAACTGGACAGGATATCTTTGTGGCTGGAGGAGTGGACACATCAACAGGTAATTATCAATAATATACTAAGTACATGTACTACATGTACATGTGGTACTGTATATTGCTATGGAGAGGTTGACCCTGGCACAGATGGTTTTGCTTATATACATATATATTGAGTTGACTTCACACATTTAGGTGCATTTAGGTGCACAACAACATGAGTACTAAGTAGTAAGCTTTGTTGATACTGCCAAGATTCAAAAAACAATTCAGGGATGCAAAGATTGAATAAGAAAATACTTGACTTAATTGTGCTTGTGCTATGCATAATCTGTTTGAAGGAAACTGCTAACAAAAAGGCATCTAAATGTGACGAGTCTTAAGAAAGCAATCCTTAATTTTTTAAGACAATCAAATTAGATCTTAACAACAAAATGTTAAGATTTTAGAGTATAACTATATGCAAGCACTATCTTCTTGAAGTGGTTTTATTCATAACTATGGAAAAAAAAAAGAATGGGAACACTTGGAGCCTGATTTGGCCTGGCTTCCCAGAAATGTAGCCTTCACAGCCATAGTCAACAAAATATACTTGAGGATTTCATCCTTCACAAAAATTAAATTTTATCTTAAATTCTAAGTATCATCAATGATAAGAAAATCAATCAGGAGCTCAGACTGGCATTGATCAGTTAAGAAGGAGGTGGTCTCAACTTAATGTTTTTAATATATAGATTTCAGAAAAAAAGTATATCATACATTTTCATGTTTTATATAAAAAAAGTGATGTACTGTATGTTCAAACTTAAAAGCCCGGAATGAATTGACAGCGTTTTGTACTGTTCCAGAGATGTGATATACTGGAAGGTTTGTTGGTGAGAAGTGGCTACAGCCAGCTGCAGTTCTTGTGGACTGTACTGCAGCCTGCACTTCACAGGGACTTCATGTATTCTTCCAAAAAGGAATTCCCTCTCTTGTCATTCCCACCAGTCAGCACATACAAGAGTAGAGAAATCAAGGTACATGTACTAGTAGTATCTCTTTACATAGGCATCTTATAAAGGCATATATATATAGGCATCCTATGTAAACTTATTTAGAATGCATGGAATTATGGATCTAGGTATGTATAATAGTAAATCTAACTGTATATTGGTTACCATGGAATTTATATGCTTTACTCTCATTGGAAGTTTATATAGTAGCATTCATATTATTTTCATTTACAGATAAAACTAATCCAACACAGGCAAGATGATTATTTCCGTGAAAACAGTGCCCATTTTCGTTATTTGGATGAAGTTAAAGGTGCCAGCAGGGAACCAAAAATGACAAACTTTGATACATTGGAAATGATGAACAGAGAGAAACCAACAGAGTTTGAAAAGAGCAGGTAAGATTTCTCATGTTATGATGTGCCACACTTTATATTTTATTATATTTTAGGCATATATTTAGATGTTTTAGACATATTTTATAAAAATTTGTTTTAATTTCTTTGATAATGAATACCGTAACTTACACTGGAATACATTTCTTGGATACAGTATTGCAATACGTTATTGTTGTATCCAGTTTTTGAGCTCATCATCTCTCTTATTCCAGTCACGCAGGGCTTGGTTTACTTCCAACCATTGGCAAAAACAAGAGACCCGACAAAACCAGCCACAGTCAAGGCAACATACCCATGGGCCTACGGACTGCAGAACCACTTAGGGATAGCTGGGAATTCATCAAATCAGCACCAGCCACTCTGAGGTACGTATAAAACACTTTTAGAGATTTCATATTCATTGTTAGATATAAATATTGTGATTTTATTTTTAACAACATGGGAGGGTTGGAGATTTTTTTTTTTTTTAGTTTAATTGTTTTAATGACTAGCTGAGATTATTAGTAAGGTTTTCAATAAGTAAGTCTTTTTTCAGAAACTTTTGTAATTGTTTTAAATTCAAAATGACATTGAATTAATGATTTGTTTAATAGATAAATGCTCCCTATTATGCATTATTCACATATTTGTTTTAATGCAATTCAAAGAGTAATTAGTTTTTTTAATTCATACAAATCGTGATTTTATGTTTAACAGTGAGAGTGACAGGTAAATAATTGAAAGGGTGCATTATATTTTAAGTTCAATTAATTTTATATATAACTGGTTTAATTGCAGTGGATATAATAATTATGTGCACATATTTATAGCCGCTTGAAAATGCATTTTTTACTGTTTTGTTACTTTTGTTAGCAAAGTAAGAAGACATTCTCACACAGTATTTAACTTTTTGCAAAGTTTTAAGTATTCATCACATATCACAATTTGCAGTTTAGATAATGAGCACACAATAACTTGAGTTACTTTTTTTTTTAATTTGTTTTTGTGCTGTTTATTTATTTATTATGCTGCTGCAAATAGAAATTCTTTGGCAGAGTGATGTGAAGACAAGAATTTTAAAGCTTTTTTAACAAATAATAAGTGCTGTATTAATGCAGTTGATTTTGAACAATTTGCTGTCAATGTATTTTGAGCATCTGAAGTTAACAAGACAGATCTGGCTTTTTTGCTGTTAATCATGTGTTTTCGGCAACTTAACTTTTGCATTTAAACAAAGCTTATTCTCTATGTGATCTTCAAGTAAAGTATGTAATCCATATATGACTTTTATGATGAATTGCTTTTACCTATAGGTTTATTGAAATGCCAGTCAGGAGACACATTCAGAATGAAAGAAGTCCACGCGATCGCCTGAGAGCAGAGATTAGACAGATGTTAGGAGATGGAAAGCCACAGAATCCCCGCACTGAACATTATGATTTCAAGGCTACATCAGCGCCCCCTCTTGAACAGAACTGGAACACAACCACACCAATGTTAGCTTTAAAAGAGAAAAAGAAATTTAGATTGTCCCGTAAAGATGATGGGAATAAAAAGGAGAAAAAGGTATGAAGATTAGTGTTTAAAGAAAAATAATTAAGTCCAATATTAATTGGGTTCATTGGTACTTTTTACTAATGACTGATTTTTATATAATTGTACACAAAAATTTATAGAGTACATACATGTATCTATCTCTATGGCAATTTTGTTAAGTGTGACTGATGCCACATTACACACATTAATTTTAGCAGATCAAATAATGAAAAGTTCAATGAACATTCAGTAGTTTAATAAACAAAATTCACAATTTATCTCTTTCAGAAAATCCTAAAAAAGCAAGATGTTGTTGTGCCTTCAGACCTACCACAGGAGGCTTGGGATTTGTTCCACTGGTATGCAGATTTATGGGATGGTAAGTTATATGCTATGATTTGCAGTATCATCAGTAGTTAACTTACAGTGAATTTCCATACATTCAACTAATTTTAGTGCAGATTAAGTGTAAATTTTAGCAACATAAAAGTACAAAGGTACATGTAACAGAATCCTGTTGAAGTTTGCCACAGGGGGTGATCTGTATATTCTTAATGGCTTGCTGTATCTTTGACTATGTGACTATGCATATTTCATATTTAGATAAGGTATGAGTCGGCATGTTGAAACCCTTGTTGACACTGATTTTTGGTTTGTGTTATAGATGTCCAGAGAAATGAGTTTCTCCACAAGGTGGTGTTGAAACTGGACCCTAGACAGCATTATTTCATTTCCAGTTATCTAGCAGTAAGTATGTAGATAGTGAATATAGGTATCATTTTTTATATTATTTACTATACACACAATTTTAAAATGCAAATTGTATGGGTTGAAATAAAATGTCATAGCTCGAACTTGTTACACACACACACACACACACACACACACACACACACACACACACACACATTTAAGCTTAAAATATAGATAACATCTGAAAGTAAGTTAAATAAATTGCAGAGATGATTTTTTTATTCTATTTTTCCTTCCAGGTAAAGCAATACAGAGATTTCATATCATTATTACCTGAGCCTCTTGCTCTCAAGATTTTATCCTACCTCAGTCCTGCCGAACTTTTAGTGGCCAGTTCTGTAAGTTGACTGTGTATCTGACAATATAGAAATACTGCATGATTTGAAAAAAGATACTTGTTATTTCAGTAATAAACATTATAAACACTATATTTCTCTCTCTCTCTCTCTCACACACACACACACACATTACTCTGAATTCTAAAGATTTATATATAACACTGAGTAGACTTAATAAGGTCCATATGCACAAATTGATGTCTTTTATTGAAAGATGAGAAAAAATTGAAATTGAATGCAATGAATGTTTCCGAATAAATGATAAAAAATGTTATAATACATCATTCATGGCCATATTCATTTTTTCAGGTATGCAGAACTTGGCAGAGATTAGCAAATCACAATGAATTATGGAAATCAAAATGTGATGAAGTGACCCTAGGTGAGATATGCCTGTAAAAAAATATGAAATATAACAGTTCATTGTTGGGAAGAGAAAAGAAGAACTTTTTATGCGTTTGTAATATCCGAATCCCAATACAGGCTACACATACCCAGTACCAGTGAAAATTTTAACAATTGCATACATTCATTTTTTTCAGAAATTCCAGTTTCAAGCAATCCTTTGTGGAAAAAAGTATTCAGAGACAATCTTTTCTTAAAGAACAACTGGTCATCAGGAAATTGCAGAGTCATAGAGGTCAAAGGTCATTCACAAAGGTATGTCAAATAATAGTGGAAAAATCATTATCTGACCCCAGTCAAGAACAGAATTTGGGGCATTGCTTTAAAAGTACAAATATGAATAACTAACTTTTATATTTACATCTATTTTCTGTTCTTTTTTTCAGAGTTTTATCCCTCACCTTTGAGGGTAGAAGACTGGCAACTGGCAGTGCAGATAAATCAATCAAAATTTGGGATTTACGTAATGGCCATCTAATTCAAACATTAAGAGGCCATGCAAAAGGTGTCTGGTGCCTCAGTTTTTTCACCAAGAATCTTCTAGTCAGCGGCTCCTATGATGGAACTCTAAAAGTAATTAGACACAGTATTTATCTCATATGTGTGTGCGTGTGTGTGTGTGTGTGTGATTGTTATCATATTAGCCTTATTTTATTATCAAACTTTAATAGCCCTGGGTTTCAGACTCAGTCAGTAAAATTGGATTTTTTTTAAATACAGCTTGTCAGATCATCATCTAAATGAAAACCATTGCTTTTTACAGGTATGGAACTTAAAACAGGGTACAACTGTGCGTACAATGTTTGGCCACGAAGGTCCAATCTACTGCATGGTTAGAAAAGACAATATAGTGGTCACTGGATCTCAGGACAGAACTGTAAGTTTGGGACACTTGTAATATTGTTATATCTAAAGCATTTTCTTATGATAGTATTTATTTTAAAGTATTATGCATAGACAATAATGCATTTACAATACTAAAGACACTGAATATGAGTAAACATGTGTGGCTTAAGATTGTTCAGTCTACATGCAGTAAAAGCCTTGATTTTATGTGTATTACATATAAGTTATTTATTTCCCATAACCTATACCAAAAAGTACTCTGAATATTTCTGTGTATGTTAAATGCTTTGTGATCTATTAACTAATTATTTTCAGGCCAAAGTATGGGATATAAGTCGCTGCTTATTGCTGAAGTCATTAGCAGGACACAGTGCTCCTATATTTGCTGTAGACATGGATGAAGAAGGCAAATTGGCCATTACTGGATCAGCTGATAGGGTAATGAAGGCATTATGAATGTATTTCATAAAAAAAAAAGTCTCCAGTAGTGCATGTTTGACCAATATTTTTATAAAAAAAAGTGTGATATTCTAAAGTCATTTTAGGTGTCGTTAAGCAAGGCAAGAATAGAGTTTTTTACCAAAATTCTTTTAGGCAGTTATCTGACAAGAAAGGTGCCATATGTTCAACCCCTTTAGACCCTGTTGTATAATACATGTATATCACTTGAAAACTATAAATTATCATTTCACTTTTAGAGTGTTAAAATCTGGGACCTCCAAGCTGGGAAGTGTAAGAAGACAATTTGGGTGAGCCCCACTACCTCCATCATGTCAGTCAGCTACAGTCAGGGCTTCATTGCCTGTTCCTATGGAGAGGTGATATGCCTGTATAAACTGGAAGGAGCAAGTCTGATCAAAACCTTTGAAGAGCACCAGAAAAGGTGAGAAAAGTTATTTTTTGAAAATAAAACTAAACTTTTCAAAACATTAAGTTTGTTACATTTAGCTCTTGTATACAAATAAAGGACACTAAAAGAAATGAAATGAGTTTGAAGCATATTTAAAATGATTTTTCATTATAATTTTTATTTCTTTTTAGGATTGAATGCTTAGAGTTACGCATCACTGACCCTGTTAAATTGGAAGGTGTAATGGTCAGTGCTGGCAAAGATGGAGAAGTCAAATACTGGGATATATCACAGTAAGTGACCAGTATATTGGTTCTTACCTTTCTAAACAACTGACTCAAATTCCCTAATTTAAAACTGGAAAACAGATTTTTTTAAATGATTGAAAAAAGGAACTGAATGTTAAGACTATCTCATTCAAAATTGCTATTTATACCTTTAATAGAGTCAATTGTTTTTTCAAAATCAAAATCCCTTTTTTTTTCAGCCACAAAAGTTGCCATTCTTTTAAACATGGAGAAAAAGAGGTGACTTGTATCCATTTCGACAATCTACGAATTGCAAGTGCATCAGCAGATCAGAGAATCAAGATCTGGGACTTCAATGTGTAGAAAGCCAAATATTACCAGCGAACATATATTTATTGTATTAATTTTTATATAATTTTTGTATAAATACTATGCGTAGAATTTTTAAGCTCAAAAAAATGTCATTGGACAAAATTATTGACTGTCCATGTTGACATCCCACCTGCAGATATGAAATAACAACAAAATGTTAGAATGTTTATATTTTCTGACAAGTCACCTGCCTCAGAGACAATCTTTTTTTTTATGCGAAGCTAAAGCTTACAAATTGGGTGCAATTTTGCATTCCAGGTTTGTAGTATTTATAAACACAAGAAGAGCTTACATTGGTGAATGGACAAAATTATAGATTTTCCTTGATGACATCCCACCCACAGATATAAAATTACAACAAAATGTTAGAATGTTTATCTTCTCTAACAAGTCACCCACCTCAGAGTCAGTCTTTTTTTTAAATATATGAAGCTACAGCTGACAAATTGGGTGCAGTTTTGCATGCCAGGTATTTGCCAATGCCAATATTTGTTTTAGAGTTAGGTATATTTTTGCAGCATAAGAAATTATATATTTGATGTATATACAATATTAAAATATACCATGATTTTCTTATATGTGCATTAAGCAGGAAAAATATACAGATTTACACATAATCATGATATTTCCGATTGTACATGATAGTCTTTAATAATTATTGACAAATCCTAAGCAAAGTCACACATATTAAAGTGTGAACCCATGTGATAAGCCACTGGTAATATTTTTTTCTTCTTTTTAAGTTTCAATGCTTGAGAGCACAATCACAATTACTTCTGTTTTATTCAAAGTGTAAAAAATCACCTTTCAGTTATTTGGTGATTGCCCATTTGCTCATGCCATTAGCCACAGTGATAAACCTTGCCATATTTACGTCATGGATCTCAAATTTGGCATTTTTCCAAGTTTTCATTATCTGGAAGCCATGCCTACATTCCTTCCTGTGCCTTGTGTGTATACACAATATTTTATGCAGAGCATGTGATCAATATAAATAAAAAGTATGTTTAATAAATAAAATATAATAATGTATTCTTTTCTTTAGTTTGTCATATAAACATCTTTATTTGGATAAGAAATTGAACAGCTTCTAATTATAAGAGAAACATTCTGTGATAAAAGAAGTTTCCACAGTATATCAAATACTTCAAGGTACATTTATCTCATCTTTTTATTAAGAGTACAATTAAATATTCTAGTACAGGACAGTCATTGTAAATATATAACAAAGTTAAAATTTCTTTTTGCCTACTAAGAAGTATCTATGAATCTAGAACAAAAATATGTTCTTTTGTATCTATGAGCATAAAATATCTATTCCTTTTATCCTAAATATAACAAGGTGATCTCGTTCCTACAGGAAAAGCATTATTAACCATTTAAAGGCTGCATCACGGGGTCCTCTTTGGTAGAAACTACTGAAAGCTGTCTTTTTTTTACAAATATAAGAATGCACACCCACACAAACCACTCATGATAATAGCCATCCATTCCACAATGCATAATCCTGGACTGAATCCATACTATCCTATTCTATCCATAACCATCCTTTCTACTGCCATGTATATTTGTCATAATTTAGATGATGATATGTGGACTCCTAAAATGGATGGAACAGAATGTTTAATATTAATGAATTATCAAGCAATATTCACTTAAATATATCACTTTGTCATGGTATGAAAGCCAGCAAAAGACTATTGACTAATTTTGCCTTCAAGACTTGCTTTTTAAGACCACAAAATGGATATACAACTTTAAAATAGTTTCACACATGACCAATGCACTCCACTAACACACCCTGAGATGTCATATGTATGATTATGATAAACATTCACTCCAATTCATTCTTGACTTTATCTTGAAATAAAACTGACAGGACAAAAACAAAAACTTGCTCATCAAACATTGTTCAAAAGTTTTGTAAAGCAATGCTAATCTCAAATATGATCAATAAAAGGCAATTAAAGATCTTGTTACAATATTACAAATGTCCAGACACATAGTGTCTATCCATAAAAATCATCTTCAGATAAATAATCAATAAATGTATATACATTCTCTTTTGTTGTGTGGAATAATCAAAGCACCTTATGATGTTGTGTCTTGAACCTGGCACATTCTACCTTAAAGACATATATGTCTTCAACAAGACTTTATTTTTTTATATTCAACACTTTGAAACTATCACATGATCATCTTACTGCATCAGATTGACAGAATTTCTCCCTTATCTAACCATAAATTCTGCATGGCATAGCATATGACTTCTGGCATCAAAAATCTAATGAATTCCACCATTTGTTTCGCTGATTGTGCCAAAAGAGGCAAGTCTCCATCTTTCATTATCATTCAGCCTTATTTCAGCTGTTTATCTACATGAAGTTTGGTACACTTTTTGTTCAGGCAAATTTGAGTACGTATTCTAAGCTAAGACAATAATGACCATCTTAAGCCTTTTTGGCAGGTGAGCTTGGTGATAAGTCCTCTTGCAGTTTCAGCAGCTTACTTATAATGTCAGAATACCAGTAACCAAATACTGCCTTGTTGTGAGCAATGAGGCGGAGGAACTGGCCACAGACTTCACTGAGTTCATGCTCTACAGCAGAAAGTCCAGGAGGTATTTTGAGAGGAGATCTGTGATTGGACATCAGGGTGTCATGGATGAAGTCCAAAACTCTGGTTTCTGTGAATGAAAAAACAAGTCTATAAAGTCACCATCCTGGACTGTCAAACACAGGGACCCGTTCCACAAAAGACCTATTGCTCAAAAAATGGTATAAACTTTCAGACCACAATTTTGTCCACTTTGTCACAAAATAAATTAGCAGTAGTCCAATTCAAGGAAACTCTCCACTGCTAAATAACAGAAGAGATATGGTTCATGTTTTAGGCTTATCAATGCTCATTTTAAGTAGACCGCTATGGATTTATCTTGAAGTTAGTAGACCTAATTTTGTGTCCAACATTCAGACAAAAACTTACTGATCAATTTGTTCACTGTATGGTCCTGCTTCACAACATCTGTAATCTGACCCTTCAGCACTTTTATTCGTGCTTCATCCATAGCTGGGAAACTGTGTTCTTTTAAAGATGCCTGCACATCAGTGATTATTCTGTCAGCTATGCTACCTATCAGATCATGAATCTGACTGAAAGACAACAGAACAATTCACTGAACACTTATTTCTATTCATTTTCGTAAAGATCCAGATATTCAAAATTATTTCACATATTTTAAGACATTTTGTGCACTTGTTTCTTTCAGAAAAACAAGACAAAACATGACACTTCTCTACTATGAATCTCTTCAGAATCTAAACACACTTTATGAAATATCTTTGCAGATTCTTAAATACTTAAGTGTCAGCTATAATTACCTCTCATTAACACCCTGCAACAATACCATTAATTCAGTTTTCAGTTTGTCTTTGAGATCCTTCACTCCAGCAATAGGGGCCCCCACAGTGTTGTATGTTACAAGTAGAATCGATGAAACAAGGGAAAACCTCCAAGTCTTGTCTCTGAGTTCCAAATATCTAGACTGGTCCATCAACAGGGTCTTGATTAAGAGAACCAGATAGTAACCTCAGCAGGGTGTATATATGAAGTGCTTAAATTTGGTACATTAAAAAACATGCGAGAGCAAACACAATTTAATAGAACATTTTATTTTTTTGTGTGTTTTGTTTTAATATACATGTTGTTAATGGTTAAGACAGCAATTCAGAAATGTGGAATACTCCCATTTGATTTGATGCTGGTTTTGAGACGAAAACCTCCATACTATGATAGTCTTTCTGATAATTTCCCCTGTAATACCAAATATCTAGTTTTACCTCTGGAAACACAGTTTCATCTCTCCACTCGAGCAGCTCCATGTAAGCTTCATTGATGATCCTGGCAGGAGTCACATAAGTAGGTGGCGTTGCTGTAGCCTCAGCCTCTGCAGACTGGCTTGCCTTTTCCTGCAGCTTTTCTAACTTATCCACACTCCTCTCCAACCAAGCACTGGTAAACTCCAAACCATTTGTTCCAGCCTCTTGAATAGAAGAAAACCAAAGATGCAAGAACTTCCTGTTAACAAACATTAAACTGCTACTTCTTCTTCTTCTCTTTTTTTTTTTTTCAGAAAAATATTATTTTCTTAAAGGGTAAGATGCCACAGAGTACTTAATATGCTCTACCAATATTCATAAAACACAAAATACCTTGTTGTGTTTTCAAAAACTCTTGAAACTTTTTCTTTTCATAGTCCACAGACTGCTGTTGCAAGTAGGGTCTCATTTGCTGAATGGTGAAGTTGGCCATGTCCATCTTCATTAGGTCTAACACTTCAAACATCTCCCTGAAAGAAAGGCAAGTTACAATTATTGCCACAATTTTCACAAATCAGCATGCTCCTTTGTTCAGCCTACCAGGACAAGACTGAAATTAACAGCTCTGATAAAGATTGACCTGATGCTCTCTCTTTTTTTTCAGAATACTGTTACTACATCTATTCAAGTTATTAAATATTCCAAACAACAATTTACATTCCCTTTTAATGTGAAAACATTACTCAAGAAGAGAGAAAGAAAGACAGATTGTTGACCAAATGCGATATTTGAAAAGATTGTATGTTTATGTAAGGAGATACAAACTCACTTATAGAGAGGAACAACTTCTTTAATTTCCCTCAGATTTTTAATCCTTTCATCTCTGGCTGGAGCACAGAGTCGGGCCATAATAGAAATCACAAATTCAGCATAATAATGAAAATCAAATGCATCATTGTCAATCTTCTGTCTAATGAGATCCATGTCCAGCACTTCATTGATATGTGCTTTGAGGCGCTGATGCTGTGGCAACAATATTCCAAGGAGATTCTGAAAATAAAGAAAACACTTTAAAATGCTGCTATACAGAATTTTTTTATAAAATTTAACACTTACATGAAAAAGTGTTAAAGCATTTCTGTTCTTTTAATGCCAGTTTACACCTTAAACTTTTCAGCCCACTGGCCACTCTGACTATATCATATCCAATTAAATTTTATTAGTCCGAAGATGAAATCTGCAAATAATGGGACATTATTCTAACACAACTGCTTACATTTCCATTCATCAAATTTAGACTAGTAACTTTGAAAAAAAAAAATTGGGGGGGGGGGGGGGGGGGGG